TGCTATGCTACATGCTATGCTATGCTACATGCTATGCTATGCTACATGCTATGCTATGTTATGCTACATGCTATGCTACATGCTAAGCTATGCTACATGTTACATGTTATGCTACATGTGACATGCTATTCTATGCTACATGCTATGCTGGCTATGCTACATGCTATGCTATGCTACATGCTATGCTATGCTACATGCTATGCTATGCTACCTTCATGGCAATCATAAAAAGTATAGCATGTTTTGAATCAGATATTATGTTATGGTCAGGAAAACAATAACTGCAGAACTATTTTAAACAATCGGGGTACAGTATGTTTTCATCCAGTCAGACATAAGAAAATCACCCAGTAGGAGAATTTTTGCAACATTACAAGTTCCGGCTGGTATTGAAGTTTTATAACCAACAAGGCTCCTGAGTCATTTTAGAATAATTTTTAAATTGTCACATTTGAGCGATTTCAGTCACTGTTGGTCGATTTCTGCTAATTTTTGGAGTTTGAATCTTTTGTTGTTCGATGTATGTAAATAATTCCTCTCAGTTGAATTTACAAACAGAACCTAGGTCATTGCTACATGCTGCTACAAAGGTAGATTAACCAGTTATTTTGGACAGCGACCAAGTGTGAAGCGAAAACTGGCAGCTAACTGGAAGCCCAGCGGGTACTATTTATGTTTACATGAGTTTTCCCTCCAATTGTAATCAACCCCTCAAATGTCTAAAAAACATGTAAGTGTACTTTTTTAGAATCTTTTTTGGAATATTTTCGACCAATCAAAGTGTATATGCAAATGAGCTGCAGAACCATTTCAATCAATCAGATCAGATTATTGCACTCTTTGACCCCGCCGCCGCCACCGCCGCCGCCCCCGCCGCCGCCACCGCCGCCGCCACCGCCGCCGCCGCCGCCGCCGCCGCCACCGCCACCGCCACCGCCGCCACCCGTTGTGCCTTTAATGGCAGGTGATATTTATATTTAAATAAGTTTTCTATCAAATTGCAATCAGACCCGGTAAAAAGTAAAGATGGCGGCGGCGGTGGCGGCGGCGGTGGCGGCGGCGGGGGCGGCGGCGGTGGCGGCGGCGGGGTCAAAGAGTGCAATAATCTGATCTGATTGATTGAAATGGTTCTGCAGCTCATTTGCATATACACTTTGATTGGTCGAAAATATTCCAAAAAAGATTCTAAAAAAGTACACTTACATGTTTTTTAGACATTTGAGGGGTTGATTACAATTGGAGGGAAAACTCATGTAAACATAAATAGTACCCGCTGGGCTTCCAGTTAGCTGCCAGTTTTCGCTTCACACTTGGTCGCTGTCCAAAATAACTGGTTAATCTACCTTTGTAGCAGCATGTAGCAATGACCTAGGTTCTGTTTGTAAATTCAACTGAGAGGAATTATTTACATACATCGAACAACAAAAGATTCAAACTCCAAAAATTAGCAGAAATCGACCAACAGTGACTGAAATCGCTCAAATGTGACAATTTAAAAATTATTCTAAAATGACTCAGGAGCCTTGTTGGTTATAAAACTTCAATACCAGCCGGAACTTGTAATGTTGCAAAAATTCTCCTACTGGGTGATTTTCTTATGTCTGACTGGATGAAAACATACTGTACCCCGATTGTTTAAAATAGTTCTGCAGTTATTGTTTTCCTGACCATAACATAATATCTGATTCAAAACATGCTATACTTTTTATGATTGCCATGAAGGTAGCATAGCATAGCATGTAGCATAGCATAGCATGTAGCATAGCATAGCATGTAGCATAGCCAGCATAGCATGTAGCATAGAATAGCATGTCACATGTAGCATAACATGTAACATGTAGCATAGCTTAGCATGTAGCATAGCATGTAGCATAACATAGCATAGCATGTAGCATAGCATAGCATGTAGCATAGCATAGCATGTAGCATAGCATAGCATGTAGCATAGCATAGCATGTAGCATAGCATAGCATGTAGCATAGTATAGCATTTCACATGTATGTAGCATAGTATAGCATTTCACATATAGCATAGCATGTAGCATAGCATAGCATGTAGCATAACATAGCATGTAGCATAGCATAGCATGTAGCATAGTATAGCATGTAACATGTAGCATAGCATGTAGCATGTAGCATAGCATAGCATGTAGCATAGTATGGCATGTGACATGTAGCATAGCATATAGCATTGTATGTCAATGTTTTCACTGAGCTGGGTTTCTTACATCTGATTGGATGAAAATATACTGTCCCCCAATTGGTTTAAATAAACCATACATACTGTTTCCTGATTGGTTAAAATCATTCTGCATCTCGAAACCTGATTGGTTAAAATATACTGTACTCTGATTGGTTGTTATAATTCTGCAAATTAAAACCTGTTTGGTTAAAATAATCAAAACCTGACTGGTTGAAATAATCAACCTTAAAACGTGTTACTCTGATTGGTTAACAAAAACTGAAAGTCAAAACCTGATTGGTTAAAATAGTCCAAACATCCTGTTTCCTGATTGGTTAAAATGATTTTGCATCTCGAAACCTGATTGGTTAAAACATACTGTACTCTGATTGGTTAACATAATTCTGCAAGTTAAAACCTGATTGGTTAAAACATACTGTTTTCTGGTATAACACATAGTCACAAGGTTATGTTATCAATTAACCTCTTTCTTATCAGAAACCCTTGATCTTGCACCAATTATCAGAAACCTTTGACCAGTAATGTAAAGTGGTATCATGGTTCTACGGGTTATGCATCATATGAAGTATATGACAAATCTAATTTGTCAAAATTTTCAAATTGGTATATTGCAGTCTTGTGATTGGTCGAAATTGTTCTGCAGTTATCTTTTTCACTGTCTTATCAGTTTGTTATCTCTCTCTTATTGATTATCAGTAACCTTTGACCAGTTATATCAGTTACCATGTGATAATTTAGACCGGTACTGAAGTTTTATAACCAGCAAGCTCATTGGTTGATTTTCTTACATCTGATTTGGTGAAAATATACTGTCCCCCGGTTGGTTAAAATAGTCCAAACATACTGTTTCCTGATTGGTTAAAATGATTCTGCATCTCGAAACCTGATTGGTTAAAATATACTGTACTCTGATTGGTTAACATAATTCTGCAAATTAAAACCTGTTTGGTTGAAATGGTTCTGCAGTTATCTTTTTACTGTTTTTATCAGTTTGTTATCCACCTTTGACCTATAACAATGAAACATCCATGAAGTAGACAAGATAGCTTATCACACAGTCACCAGGTTACCTTAACAGTGTTTGTTTGATTATCTTATCAATTGAGCTCTCTCTTATCAGTTATCAGTAACCTTTGACCATTTATATCAGTAACCATGTGACCTATGACATCATTTCTGTGCATTGGGCATAGAACTCAAACCTATGTTCTTTTATCAATTATCAGTAACCTTTGTCCAGTTATATCAGAAACCATGGTAGTTATCTTTTTCACTGTCTTATCAGTTTATTATCTCTCTCTTATCAATTACAGTAACCTTTGAAAGTTATATCAGTAACCATGTGACCTATGACGTCAGTTCCACTTCCGGTGCATCGTCTTATCTTTTTTAATGTTTTATCAGTTTGTTATCCACCTTTGACCTATAACAATGAAACATCCATGAAGTAGACAAGATAGCTTATCACACAGTCACCAGGTTACCTTAACAGTGTTTGTTTGATTATATTATCAGTTATCAGAAACCTTTCACCAGTTATGTCACTCCAAGTGCACCATGTTATCACATGACCTCACTTCCGGTGGAACTGTAACATGTGACCTATGACGTCACTTCCGGTGGAAGTGGAACGTGGAAGTGGAACAGTGCCGGTGCCGGTTGTAGGTCGAAAGTTGCAGCCTATACTACTGCAAATGTATCAGTTATGCAAGTTTTACATAGCGGGAAATAACAATGCTTCTTTCACTATCAGATTTCGGGAAATGTTGCATGCGAACGTGACCTGGGCCTCAGAGCGTGACAGATGTATTCACTAATGATGAAATAAATAAAAAAGAACATGAATTTGAATATTTATTACTTTTGGTACTCGCTCTGTCACACCATAATAAATGAAGTAAATTGAAAAGAGATGTTTGAAAACAAAATGTAGAACATCAAGGCTCTGGTATCTGTCAATAAACAGTTAAATTGAACACAACAAATATAACAAAGTAGTTTATGCCAAATGTGATCTGTATTTAAACAGTTATATGAGAAAGATTATAGTGAAATATCTCTATCACAATTTAAAAAATGTATATAATTATGCAATATAACCAGCAGCAATACTCAACAGCTCTTGGATATGATATAATATAATACTTTAATAATTGTAAAACATGTTCAATTTCATTCTGATGTTTCTTATGAAATTAAATTAGTTTCAAATGTCACACGGTGACAAATGAAGTGGCATTTAAATTATTTTGTAGCCAGTTGCTATACTATGTATATATATAGCCTGTGATAACATCCAATTCTTAATACAATTTCAATTTAGTAGACTAAAGTGTCTTTGTTTGTTTTGTAAACAATGTGTGTTTTGCCTCGTCTGTCTCATTCATACCTTGCTACCCCAATGTACATAATATTTAAAATAGCAACAAGGGAAAGCATGTGTTCTTTTTTCAACCAAGCGTATTTATGTTTCCTTTCAATTGATTTAAAAGTCCTCGAGGAGAACGCCCATGGGCCCTTAAAGTGAAGGATTTTTTAATTTTCATGACTCCCTGTCTCAAATAAAGACCCATGGGAATTTTGTCGAGAAACTCCAGAATATATATTGAAGCTTTATTAATCATGAGATGGAGGATCGACTCGAAGTTGAATATATTTTCATCCTGGATATAATGTAGGGATTGCTGAGGTACATGTAAGCTCAGCAACTGAAAGTTGTCTGTTATGCCTTATTCTAGCATTGCTTATCTTTCTTCCCAGTACGCGTTTGAACAAATCGCGCTTTTCAGTTCACCAACCAAATTTTCAACAGCAACAGGATCGCCCAAGTCCATTTTAAAAGCGTGCTCTTCAATCGGTTCACTCGGTATTTCCTTTCTTTCCTTCGCGGCAATCTTTACCTTTTTTCGGTTCTTATACTTCTCCCTCAGTTTAATTTGAATCATGAACACTTCTGCTCTTTCAGACTTCAACAATTTGGCCTGTTTGATCGTGCGCCATGAGTTATCATTAGGTGCTGTTACCCCGTCACCGATCAATACAACGGTATTAGGCACTTCCGATCGGTCTCCGTGTGTTTCCGTGAAATGAACTGTGCGTATCTTCCACAAGGCTCCATATGTCTTCGTCAAACATCCAATCGGGTCTAAGTTAATTTTAGCGGCATTAACCTGGTATTCAGCACGCGTCTTCGAATCGTTGAGAAAGAATTGAGTTTCGGCCCCATCGTTGTAGGTCACCACCGCTATTTGGGTCTCGTCAGCATTTTGGCCGATTTTGAAGAGTTCACCGAACTCTCCAACAAAATCCTTTACCTTTGATTTATCGTCCATTCTGATACTACAGGAAGTGTCGAGAGCGAAGACGATGTCCCGGGCACAAGCTGGAAGTAAGACAAAATAAATTGTCTATAACTCTTAGTCATATATAACAAACAACATGTATTTTTGAGGCGGACGAATGGTTTGATCATTGAGTAACCCTAAATCAGTTCAAAGCCACGGATATTACCAAATACATAATTTATTGAAAAGTATGTTGAATGTATGAAACAGTACCGTACCATCACAACTCTGTCCATTCAGGCATTCATTGATATCTGACATGAAGGGTGCTTTTGTGTAGACAATAGAGAAATCCCCATTTAAAGAAATTTCTACCAGGTGATTTCTACGCTGTGTGATACTTGATCCATTGTCAGTTGCAACAACCCATACATTGTACACTTTCCAACTTAGTTTCCCGGCGGAGGGATCAACTTGGATGATTCCCGTTGAAGGATGTATTGTGAACAGATTTCTAGCCTCTTGATCGGTATTTGCACTGATATAGTAACCCACTCTACCATTTTCACCACTATCGGGATCCGTTGCATGTATTGTAGTTACGTATTCTATTTGGGATGAGTTAAACAGTTTCACGTGGATTGGTCTGTTTGGTGGGTTATCAAATGTTGGAGAATTATCATTAATATCCATTATTTGAATGATAACGGTTGCCTTGGAAGACATTGGTGGCGATGCGCCATCCTCAACAATAACCTCAAAGTCAATTGTATCATTCTCCAGAGACTCTCTGTCAATCACAACAGCTGTTTTAATATCACCCGAGTCTCTATCAATTGAGAACAGTCTATTAGGCTCATAAAATCTGTATTTCAACTTTGCATTTCTTCCAATGTCACCATCAGATGCATTTAGTTTGCTCTCAAAATAAATGCTTGTTCCAATAGGGGATTCCTCAGGAACAACTCCAGTATAATATGTGGCATCAAATACTGGGGGATTAATATTTTGTCCGATATCCATTTCACAACTGACTCCATCAAAATTTCCAGAGCATGTACACAGGTTCGGAAATTCACAAAATCCGTTATTCGAGCAGTTATTTCTTAAGGAGCAATCGGCGATATCACATACTGAACCCGACCATCCATCATTACACGTGCAATTATTCATGTCAGTGCAGTTCCCATTTCCTACAATTATCAACATAAAAACGGATAAGAATTATGATAGTTGTGGTCCATGAACTTCGAAAGTTCTTCTCAGATAATACTTGTAAACACTGAAATACAAAATGACTTTGACTCAAACTTGTTGTGTTTGGGGAAACTACTTAACCGACCTGAGCAATATAGAAGCCATTTGCAGGAGAAACTAGAGCAGTCTTTGCCCATATAATCTTCCTCGCAAGTGCAGATGTTTGGTTCATTACACAACCCGTGGTTGGAGCAGTTGTTCAGATCAGTACAGTCCACTTCTTCACATTGTGAGCCAGTGAAACCAGTATCACAACTGGAAACAACGTTTGGAAATTCAAATAATATACGGTATACATATTGAGTGGACTATTCAGGTTAATTTTCAGTGGCCATCACGAAAATTTCTTCTTAAGCACCATAGGCATCAGCAAGTAAAAAAGAACCAAAACCATAAACTGGTAATTGAGTTCAAAAGTTGCGGCCATTTTGCGGCCATAGTGAATTCTTTCCAAGTAGAGTTCCTAAACTCATAAGGCATGAGCCTACAACATTTGAACAAAATATTTGTCAACTGGTATTTAAGTTATTGCCAGGACATACGAGCAGACAGACGGACGAACGGATAACCTCGTATTCCTACGAATTTTGTTCGGTGGTATAATGATTAGTTTTTAATATCAGTTGCTTTGGATTATTTACTTTTGGGCCATTGTGCTAAAATGTATACTATACAGTATCCAATAATATGTCATCGTGATTTAAGATTCAACAGATTTGAATAAAACAAACCAGGAAACATATATAATCATTGATGTGAAACAATATTTACAAAACTTACACACAAGTCTTTCGACTTCCCTCATCCACACAAAGCCCATGCCCTGAGCAGTTGTCCAGTTCTGGGCAATTTATTGTATTTTCACAGGATTCACCATAAAACCCTGGATCGCAACGGCAAATATTTGGTGAAAGGCATACGCCATGTCCGGAACAGTCTGCAACTTGTGAGCAATCTGGCTGTGAACATGAAGTACCTCCCCAAACATCGTTGCATGAACAGATGTCATACCCTTGGCAGGTGCCATGTTGTTCGTGTTCTGTATGGGAAGAAAGTTAGGAACAGTAATGTACCTGGGTATTAACATTTGGCAAGTGAGGGAATTATTAAAGCACTGACAAATGAGCTTAAAAACTTTTCACTTTGAATCTATTTGCACATGTCTCAGTATCCTTCCTGGTTCAAGATTACTCAGTCTTGGTAGTTTCTATATACATAAGGCCCCCCTCACATATGAACGAATCCACTAAACACAGTCTTGCGAATAGAAATTGAGTAAAATTCGTATTAGTATGTGTACGTTGTACTACATCGTTTGGGTGTAAATATCCTTTTGGAAAGCTTCTGAAGCCTGCGCAAAGATGTTCTTCGGTTCGTATGTTCACGTTCCCAACTACCAGAATTGACATCGCAAGACTGCATTTGGTAGATTCGTTCATATGTGAGGGGTCTTTATGTACAAGTAACAATTGATGCTTACCATTACAATAGTCAAATGCTTCACAAGAAGGTCTGTCACACATATCTCCTGTCCACCCTTCGTCACACATACAGACATCATGGTCAACACAAATGCCATTGTCCGAGCAGTTATTCATGTTGAAGCATACGGCTGTCTCGTTACAATTGTCACCTATTAGATTTAAACAAATATCAAAATAGAATGTAGTGTTTCCACTTAAACACCAATATTGCTTGAAATTCTAAATCAATCATCTTTCTTCTTTGGATCTTCATCATTATTCATGTGTATGACACTAAGTCAATGTATGACACCAATGACCAGTGGCATTGATTTGAACCAATCAGTAATTATGTTACATGTATAAAGTGATGTTGTACTGCATTGTTTATACTATACCATTTTTCAAAGTCCTGTACCTGTTAATCCCAACCGACATTGACAAACATTGTGTTTTACACACTGGCCACGATTCTCGTCTGTACAGTTGTCCACACCATCACAATTTGCTGAAAAATCCATTTGTAAAAATATTAAGACAACAGCCTTTTTACATATACTTATATCACATTTGATAATAATTAATATAATTATTCTCCCTAGCTTTTACACACTGGCAATAGTATGACCTGGTAGATAATTTTGTAAACATTTTAGATCTTAAATCAACAATATGATCATCCAATATTATAAATAAATATAATTACAGCATATGTTTTTAAAGAAATGTAGTGTATCGAGACAACACGGTTATTGAAAAACGACAGATAATAATTATAGCCAAATATTAAAAATTCAGAATGAGAAACAATATATTTCCAGCTCTTGTATCATACCTTCTTCACCACAAGTTTCTCCATCCCATCCGGAAATACAAGAGCAAAAACCAAGAGTGCAATTGCCATGGATGCAATCATATGGGCACATACCTAAACATGTCGAAAACCAGGGAATTTATCATCCTGCCATTTTAATTATTATGGTTTTATGTCTCACTTTAACTTTCAGTTGTGAATTTTAGATTTCACAGATTACTACGCACATCTTTCCTACGTTTAACCGATGTTTGCATTTTATTAGTCTGATTTTTTTTACCAATTTCACATGCATCACCCTCCCATCCCGATGTACACTGGCATGTTGAGTTTATGCACTCTCCCCGTCCACTACATTGACTCGGGCAGTCTGAAATTATATTGATACTGGGTGCTAGCTCGGAAAGGAAAAATTACTACTAGTCTTCCAGGACGAATACGTGTAATCGAATCTGCGCTAATTTTACGGAATTTTACATTATTCTCTAACTAGATTTAACATCGGTGTAGAAGCATACCTGATTTTAGATACTCTTGAGTTGCAAAAGTGGAATCTTCAGTTACAAGGACATCAAACATACATTCCTCTAAAAGTTTTTTATCTCCGATGTTTCTTGAAGAACAAATATCTCGACTTGCCTGGAATTTTTTTGAAATTTTGTAAGTATTACCCACAAGAATATATACGAATATGTATGGATACATATAAACTTAATTTTTATTGAATTCTGATTATGATATATATCAATCGCTGTGTATATGAAATACTAAAATACAGGTAACACTGGTAAAGACACATTAGATAAAAATATGTGATGATAGCATGGGTTTCTTCTAAGGATATATCAATATATAAAATAATCATTACATTCATTTGGTGATCGGAAAATTCTCGTATATCATACACTGGTGAATACAACGATGTATCAGTATAGCTAGGGCCAAGGATGTCAAGGTGGTGAAAATTTGAAGAAGTCCATGACCAAGACCCTTGTAGTCCAGAATTGCTCTGTTTTGGCCCATCAACTCGCCCTTTAAATATAAACACATATAACGTATTGTATACACAAACACAAGATTTGCTAAAATGATTAAATGGTTTTGCTGCAAAGAATCAGCAGACAGTTTTTGTTAAATAAATCTAGCCAACTGATTCATATCCAATCGATTAACTTTAATTCATAATGTTTCTATTCTACAATTCTGAAGGCACTCTCAATACTTTAATACATACATGATTCAGCAAATTGTATAATAGAGGATGTGTTGTACATGACCCCATTTCGCCCGGTGAAGTCATTGACTGGATCGTCATCCATGAGTCCACACAGACCGGAAGTCTTTCCAGTGAATGCAGATGTTAGTTGCAGAACCATATTCAAATACTGTCGCTTCATTTTAGCACTATATCGAACATATGCAGTGACCATTACCCCTAATGATGTAATGTACCAGTACATGCAATTATGCATACGGTTGAGGAAAACACAAAAAAGTTTGTAAATATGTATGCAATCAGATGTGCACATTTTTGAGCAATTGTAATTTAACTGACTTTCAATTTTTGGAGACAATCACATCAATATTGGAGAAAATATGCAGGAGCTTGTTAAGTCTAATGCAACAAAATAAGGGATTTTTAATTCTTTCATATGATACAATGGAGAAAACAAAGAATGTACCTGTATTGTATTGAACTGTAACCAACATGACACCGTCTTCGCCATTGCTTTTTGATATCACCATATGTACACCACTATTCCTCTTGAAATCAACTTTGTCATTTGTAGTATCAACTATTTCACCATTTAACCTGGATAGAATATCATAAATACAATACGCTCGTGCATTTATAATACTGGCAAAGTTCTTTGTTTTGAAATACATGTACCTTCCACAAAAAAACGATTAACTTTTTCATTGAAGGATCAGAATTACCCTGCGCGCAGAGTCTAGTTATAAACTACAGTAGACAAGGATCTCTTTAAGAAGCGAAGTCAAAAGAATGCAAAGGGTACTTCAGAACCTGAGATGGACCGAGAACTACATGTAGATAACATAAAACATCTCACTTCACAAGTCAAAGTAGCGCCTTTTCAAAATGATTATCTCAACATGTTTTTCAATATGAGTTTCTGCCATTAAATCCTTGAATTCTACTTTAATATCAAAACGAAAAACAGTAATTTTAAATGCATAAATGAATATTTTTTGTCCCTATATCATGTCATATAACATTCTTTTCAGCTATATTGCTAAATCCATACCTTACAATTGGCAATGAGTTTTTATCTGCTGGTTGATCTGTCATTACTGTTACAATATTCTCTCCCGCTTTAATAGCGGCTCCACCAATGAGAGATGCATTGCGATATCCAAACATGCGCGTCTGTATTCCAAAATCATTGGCCTCACTCTTGCAGTCCCAGAATTCACCTATACCATGGAAGTCATATCTCACACCTAATAAAAGTAATTATATATAAATTTCAGTATATTCAGTTTTCATTATTTTGCCGTTTCAGTTTTCAGTATATAATTCTATTGCATTATTTCATGTTTCAGGGGATTTTTCAAAAGTTCCATATTTTCACCATCTAAAGTTTGAAGATGGGGATCTCCTCCTTCTGCAGATGGTATCCTAAATTCACAGCATGGACCCCTCCATTGGGCTCCACATTGACAACTTGATGAACAACTGTCTTGAGAGGCAGTACAAAAACCATTTCCCGAGCAACCTTGAACAAAAAACATTTTATTTTTTGTATTATTCGGATACTAATCTAGTAGTTTATCATAACTTTATTATTTGTTTATTTCAATATAGGAAATGTAACAACGTATTTTCATAGAGAAAGAATTACTTTAATTGAACACTGGCAAGAAGGCTATACACAAACTAATTTTCTAGGTCAAAGTTAACCTTGACATGTTCCACATTCTGGTTGGTCGCAGTTGTCTCCTCTCCTACCGGGGACACAACCGGGCGGAATGCCACATGGATGTTTAGCCACACAGGTACATTCACAGTTACGCCACACAACCTCTTCATTAACATCGCATATCATAGGGCAGCTATTAGATAGTAGCATAATCGTTTCATGATCAGCTAACAGTCCCGTAGCCAGAATTTGCCAAGGGGGTCACTTTTTGAAAAATTCCAGGGGGGGGGTTCACTTTTGACAATTTTGGTCCAAAATGGCCCAAATCACTTAAAAGTGCTCAGAATGAAACTACATGACTAAAAAATATTTTTGGCCAGGGCGGGGTCATTCAAACCCATCGAACCCCCCCCCCTCCCCTACGGGCCTGGTTAAGAATATTTTGGTTGGGGGTTATGTCTAGATTCAGTGGTGGACGGACATGACAGGGGCGGCCCAAAATCTTTTCCCGACTTAAGATAATAAATTGGCATTACCTTGTAATATTATTATTTAGTTGTGGGCTTTTTTAAGATTAGAAAACCACCCTTGGGATAGTTTTTACAATATTTGCAGCATGAAGGATCAGACGACATTACGATAATGCATTCCAAAAGAGTATTCCATATCATTATTTATAGCTATTAATGTAATCAAATAAATTAAGTATAACAACATCTATATAGACAGATAGAAGGAGGTCTCGGTTAAATACATGTATGTATAATCAAATAGTTTTCTGATTTAGGAGGCAATATACAAAGCCCTCTTTTAGTACTTTCTTACAACAGTCACGAAATCGCCCATAAGACAACAGATTATATGTTATTTGCATTTAACTCTTTTACATACACTTTCAATACTAATTCAAGATATCTACAGGATATCATAAAGTGAATTCAATGTGGTTGACTCACATATCATCAGGGCAATGGCATCCATTCGCGTCTCTTACAGAGTGCTGGCAATTTTTACAAGTGCAGCCACATGAACATTCTCCATTCTGGTCCAGGTTAGATATAGTTCCATCAGCACATATACAGTTACACTAGAATGTTACGGTTTATTTTTTTTTATTATTTATTATATTATTTTACGGTACAGAAGAGGTCATAGAGGGAGCAACTAATATATAAATGAGAAAAAATTGCTCAGATTCAGGTCAATAGGGGTTGACAAAATTACAAACGAATTCAAAACAATATTGGCCTACCAATCTATTCCTTACAAAGATTCATGTCATAGAAAATTGAATTTATGTATCAATGATTTAAATTACAAACATAGGGGGAAAATGTTTGAACTCTCCCAAATGATAAAAATAGTAACCATATTTAATCATAGAAAAATTATTATACTTTATTGTAAAAGTATATTTACACATTAAATTACTCTTATTTTTTCCTGAAATAAAGTACTTTGGGGATTATCAAAAATACATATGACAGCCAAAATATTCTTAAACTGAAACATCTTTTGTTTAGCTCCCTAGGTTATAGAATACACCATATTGTCTGTATTATTATTTTGTTCTATTGCCATTTCTTCCTTAGCCACAATCCATAAACCCTCGCAAGAACTTTAGCAGTGTATACTTACATTACATGTCCCATCTTGAAGAAGTGTGGAAGTAGATCCGTCATTACACACACAGCTACACCCTGGTTTATTGCTTCCATTTAAAGTTCCATCAGGACATGAGTTGCAGATGCACTCCCCATTCATAAGAACGCCCTCACCCTCCTGACATTTACAACATTGGCTTTGGTCAACAAGACAAGTTGACATTGTTTTAAAGCATTGCCTGGATGAAAAAAATACAATTTACATAAGCAGCATGTCGATGACCAGTCATGTACCGTGTAATATTAGTAATTCATCGGACTGTAGTTGAACTATCTCAAATGATCGGATACAGTGAAACCGATTCCACTACTGTCTTCCCATCTTCTTATAAGCTCTTTTACTCTTGCAATAGCTTTGAAATGAATCTTAAGCTCAGGATCAAGAATAACCGAGTCACCTGCCTTACAAACACTTGATCACTAATCCTTTGTGCGAAAGAATGCATGATTTGTATCAAATTGAACTTGCAATTTGGAATTACCTTATATTGGTCACATTTCCCTTTTCTCTAAATGGTTCATTAATGTCGCTAAAACTCGGAGCTTTTACATTTCCGTTGATTTCGATAATTCCAGCTGTAGTTTTAACGAGTCCTTGACTCTCTCCTCCACACTGATTGCATGAATCCGAACAAGAATCTATGGTTCTGTCCAATCGAATAGGCAAGTTAAACGTTACTTTGAAATCCGTAACATGGTCAGCACCAGCTGAAAGGTATATACTTTGGATAAAAAGTTTTTCGTGATTTAAATGACAGTTCAGTACATTGAAGGCCCCATATAAAGTCTCAACCACTTCGGCTTATTTTGTAACAAATATTTAAACATGAAACTTATATAGGCCAACATATTAAATATTATTTTATTTTTAAAAGCATATTTAGATACGATTCGAAATTCAAATGTTTGGAAACGAATGTACCAATAACTTTTTTCGAGAGTCAACTTTTTTCAGAAGTCATGATAAATCATATGTGGATGGTAAAACAATATTCTAAATCTTTGGTAGGGACTTAAGGGGAAATTTTTCCGGATTTAACCATGTAAGTAATAATGAGATTGTCTTTTCTTTGATATGGCAGATTAAATTCATTACAATTAAATTACAAAAGAACGTCTCGATGTTAGTTGGATTGGTTGAGAAGTATCGTTCTATCAAGGAAGCATTGTGGCCTCAAAAACTTAATTCCTCATATAATTCAACGCATTCATCACATTATTCTCCCATGACGTGTTGTATTGACAAATTGCCTAAAAATGTAATACCTTCACACAGTTCGTTCCCAACAATATCCCCTGGACACTGTTGTTCTGATTTCTTTTTGCCGGAGGGATACGTAAACGTCAGAATGTTGTCCAACCGTGATTTCACAGTAATCCTACCTGTTTCATTACCATACATATAGGTTTCGTCAAGCTCAGGTGGGTTAATATCCTGAAAGAATCACACGTTGGAATGTAGTTCACCGAAATGACTATGTCTATTGGTCTCCGTCTGTTTGCACATTTAAAGTCGATCCTGACTATGGCACTCACTTATGTTTGTGGAAACGGATCGAAACCAGTCATAGTTTCTTCCTGAGGACTTATACATATATACTGTCATAAACAGGAACAGAGTCTCCAGATTATGTTCAATATGTTTTTTTGTGTTTAATTAACATGCATGATTTTTAGATTATTATATTGCTTCCTGAATAGTGTGAAATTGAGGGTGAAAAAGTTTTTCATTTTGAGTTTGATCACAGAATTGGTTGGTTGTGATCTTAGATGTTTTTCTTTCTGTTCATGTGTTTTGTTAGACTCTCCAGTCTTCCCCCTTTGAGTAAATACAGGGTGACACAAAAATGACACCCACCTTACGTTGCATAACTTCTTTGTCTATGAACATATAGATTTGTCCTTTGCCACATTTAAAGTAGACTTAATGCGAAAGCACAAGTGAGAAATTTCAGATGTTTAGCTTAAGTTTTATAAGCGTTACAGCATTTGCTCTAAATATAATCCATTCCTTTGCAGACACACATGGATTTTACACAAAACTATAGATTTTGGCTTGTACTTTCAAGTAATTGAAGTTCATTCAATTAAACATAAAATAATGTAGTTGTCATTGATAAAATCATTATAACTTATTTCCAGAATTATATTACAAAAGGTGAGTGTCATTTTTTGTGTAAGATCCAGTTGTGCCAGCAAAGGAATAGACGACACCTTTTGTAACGCTCATAAATGTGCATCTAGGTGAGCTTGTCATCTGAAACTTCTTGTGGAGTTGCAAAATGCAATTGTAGTTTTAATCTGCGAAAAAACAAGTCAGAAATCCTTCAGACATAAAAGTTATGTAACATTATATGGGTGGGTGTCATTTTTTGTGTCACGCGGTATATGCCTATGTCTTAATATTTGCATAACAGACTAACATCCTGGAAGTACGCTATTTTCAAATATCGTGCCCCAAACGAGATAAAGACAGAAATTTGAATGTTTCAAATCACTTTGAAAAACCAAAAATAGTTTGAGTACCACTTACAAGAATCATGTTTGAGAAATGAGATTTTCCCATTGCTTTGTGGAATCCAACTTCAACTCCAACACCATTAGTTGCAGCTGCTGACAGTAATCTATCGCCAGAATTCTAAAAATTGAAGGACATTATTAACAATGATTTAAAGATGGTAATACTAAGTGTAGGAGTCTGACTATCCAATGAGATGTAAATGAATCTCCAAGAATACGGATGCAGAATCCGAATCACCTGTTCATCCTATGTTCCAATACAATACATCCACCATAGTCCGTTGTCACGCCGTTGTCTTTGTAAATTATTTCAAATTCAGATTCCGTTGTCATTGACGATCTCGAAGACGCTTTATTGTGGCGATTCACGACCCCATTTGATACAGTAGAAATTGGGATATTATACGATAAAGTCCCATGAAACGAGGACCAAGTGATTATTTAGTTTGTGCGATGGTTATGTCCGCTATTTGTGACATCGGTATCTGACTTTACCGTTGTCAGGCTATTCCAGTGTGATACCGGTATATGCATATATATATATCAAATATATCGAGAGAAAAAAAACACGAAATACATCCAATAAAATCTTGCAATGATCAAGTACCCTTTAGTTAGTTATTATAATAATTAGATAATTAGTTAAGCTTTTTTCACTGTTTTCTGTATAAGCTGTACACTTTGCCCAAAAGTGGGATACAAGTATAATTATATAGCTTTATTGTAAATATACTTGATTTTGATAAAACGTTGCACGTTTATGTCATGTTTCGTTACCTTTGACTCAGCTGAATACTTCAAAGTTGAGTCCAGTGTAAGTTTCGCTGGCACAGATAATTTGTTCCCGATTTTCAGAGACACATCCCTTTTCACACGATTGCACTTCCGATCCAGGGACATTTGATGCAGGGATGAATCTTTATGGCTGGAAATTGTAATTTTAATGGATTTATTCATTCTCCATTCTATGACGTTATATCATGGTCAGAGCAATATCAGGTATATAAGAGCAAGGACGTCTCTGGAGATAGATGTCCTTGATAATTGCAAGTGATAAATCACATATTTGGGACAGGGATGATATCAGGGATGATGTCATCCCGGGTGAATTCTAAAATTTTCCATTTAAAAAAATAGATATTGCTCTTGGCGATTGTATAAGGTCGTTATTCACCTGTCGGGATGATATGAGGAATATCCCTCGGATGATATCAATAATTCCCTCGGCCACTGCATTTCATCGGAAAATATTGATATCATCCTCGTGATATTCCCCATATAGCAAATCCCTCCTGGTGAATAACTTCTTCAGTATACATTTACAATATCAACAAGTTCTTTGCAGTATCCAAAAGGCTCTCTTCAAAGGTGGCCCGGGGATGTAAGTGTTTCAAATGTGCTGAGGGCTCAGTTGGTTCTTCGGCTAAGCTGATTCCTCTGAATGTTTGTCCAAACAAAATGTAAAATTGTATTTCCGTTTGAACAAACATTGCTCAAGAACAATGATTTCAAAGATTCTTAGTGACCTCAATTTACCCGTAACGAACTATCACATGATATCAAGGTTTTTACTCGACAATGTGATTACAACTTATTTTTGGTCTAACTTCTAGACTGTGGTCTCGGCTCTCTATCTAAAAATCACAGTTGTTAGAGTAGATAGTCGAGGGTCTTGAAGCAAGACTACTTATATTTTCAGAACATGGTACTAAAAACAATGATTTTCTGTTCGACTTCTACTCAGTATTTCATAACATATACCATTGTAGTTAAAACGTTGGTACTTACTTCCAAGTAATTCTGTTGTCTAGATTATATATAAATTGTCCCTCAAGGTTAACACCAAGAGTTGATGTAATCGGTCTCTCAGATGTCATGGTCTGAGAGAGAGTCACACGAGCATCGTCGTATTTAACCTTTATATTGAAGTACCCACTGTGTCCATCTTGATTGACTGCCTTCTGAAATTTGATGCCAAGTTATCTGTTAACGAATTTTTGCCTAGGTAAATGAGATAAATCAATATAAATATTGCAGTTTTATATGTTGTACCTATGCAGTTTTATATATTGAAAATCTGCTTTCTAGCAGAACTTCTACCCCCATAGGACATAATATGTGTACAAAATATGAACAAAATCGGGCCAACGGTAAATGAGTTATCGCCCAGGTGGACGGATGTGTTCCTTGTAATTAGATATGTGAAAGTATTTACTTACAAATGTAGCTTTCTTATTCAATGACAATTGTTTAAACTGCCTAGAATAACTTGTGGGTGTCTGTCGTTTTCTTCTTGAGATCTCAGATATTTCAGTTTCGACATAACCATCATCTCCGACTGACACAACATTAGTCATGACATAAAAGTTATATCTATCACTTGAATATTTGTCCAGAATCTGCAATAAATCTTTGAAAACAATTATTTTGGTTTATAAAGTTTAACGTTTTGTTGATTCCAATGGCCTCAGAATACACGATACGTTCAGTATTTTACAGAAGATATCCTAGAATAGTGTTCAAACTCGAGAATAATGTAATTCATACCTTTGCCGAAAATTGCTTTGTTTTTCGCCCCTGAATGAAAGAGCCCTCAACTACATTCTGAGATTCGTAAATCGGCATTAATGCTCCACCCTTCAGATTGTTCTCTCCAGAAAAACAATTCAGTTTTGGTTTATATTCATTGTGAGTTCTTGAACCAAAGAGAAGATACAATATTCTGTTAACGACAATCATAATAATAATCATGATAATTGCTAAACTTATCATTCACTCTTAACTACAATTATCGACAAGAAACTTAAGAAAGGACAAATAACTTAAAACAAGATGTCTGACTTGACTTCCAGAATTTGGACTATGTTGATATTGATTACTTTCATGTCCATGAAACACTTGGCTTCTACATTAGTAACTGTTATTTTTCATAAACATGTACATGCTGAAAAATAACGTACATGATATCAGCATTAATATATAGTTGTGTTGTACATTTCGTCAATTCTGTCTTAGCAATTCGCACTTTTGAATCTTGGTCGATAGATGTCACTTTCTCGATGTACCCCAATGGAGTCCCAACTAGAATATCGCCCACTGCATACATTGCGTTGCTCAGATCTTTTGGTATTGCAATAACAAAGGACGCTGCATCATCCACATGTTCTCCAAGACAGCGAAACATTGTGTCTAAAAGAAGAAGCAGTATTGAGCAGTATTGGGAGATTGACGACAGCATAAAAAATTGTAGAGAACAAAAGGTGAAGATCTTTAGTAAAAATGTACTTTCTTGTGTTCGATGGGAAAATGTAAAACTTATTTGTTTGCAAGATATAATAAAAATGTAGAACGAATTTCACAACAATATGTACGTCACTAGTATAAGTAGTACAAAAATACAAAATCAAACTATCCTACACTATGGTCCAGAAAAGGATACATAAATACATGAACTCAAAAGAAAAAAGGGCATGTGGCAAGTGTATCATACCATTTATTAGATGTACTCTACTTCCTTCATTTCTCATATTTTCAAGTTGATCAAGCAAGTCTTCATCAGTTTCATGTTCAGCAATAAGTATGTCATCTATGGGGCGGATTTCAACTGCTTCATTGAAGTCAGAGTAAGTAATTAAATCATTTAAAGATGCAGGAATACCGGACATAATTGTGACTTTCCCTGAAATGAAGAAAGTCGGCTATATTTCTGTATAATACATTTTTGTCAGAAAACCTTCTTAATTTGAGTATTATGGAAATGAGATATATGCGAGCAGATATTAAATTATATTTCCCATGTCTGGTATGAATACAAACTACATAGATACCCGAGGAAAGCTCGGAAAATCTGTGTGATAATATCTTATGCGCAATCCCTCCTGATTGTGGGGACACGACAGTCGTGATTTTGTAGCGAGGGAGTGGTATCTCATTAAGAACAACAAGAATATCTACAGTTTTTGTTGGACACCTCAGCACTGGGGTAAAGTTCGGATCAAGAAACAGCACACCATTCTTCATAACGGTTTTATCGAATCTGGGCTTTGTGTAGTCAATATTGATGAGTCCATTTGGGCATTTTGTTGAGTTCCATACTTTGCAATCAATTGACTAAAAAACACAAATCACCTCATGTAAGAATAATTGTACTTTGACATACGTATATAGTTATTTGTGAATGTTGTAGTTTATGTCTATCGGGAGCTCACATTGAAGATATATAACCTACCGGGTCAGCATCAATGAAACATTTTTCGATGTCAACACAACGTGTACATTTCTCTTGTGTAAAGTGAGGATTCCTCTTTCGATTGCATTGCTTTCCTGAACAATCCATAGCCTGGAATTTCAAATTGTTTCATACAAAAACACGAAGCTTATACACCGGGAGGAATTTGATATGGGGAATATCAAAATAATGATATCAATCTTTTCCAGGGAACGTCGTGACTCTACTCAATGGTAGAAATCTTATTATAATGTTATACGTATATTTAATTATTGAGACATCTAGTAGAGAATCTCGTCTAGAACAATACTGTTGGCAGCTGTCACAAACAGGTAGTGTTATTTCTATTATTCAGTTCCCATGTTATTTCTATTCATAATTATTTTGTTATATGAAATACACGTAACGCTATAATCCCAAATTAGTTTTTTGTTTTCTCATCCAACAGATGATTCTTTAGGTAGTATAGATATTGCTTTTGATCATGGTGTAAGGTCGTATTCACCTGTCGGGATGATATGATATCTATCGGATGATATCGATATTTCTCTCGGTCACTGAGTTCACTGGGGAAATATTTATGCACAGTCATATTTGGAAGCTAAACGATTTAATTACCTGTATTTCATTAGAACATTTTGAATCTGCTTTTGTAGTAAGACAATTGTAATAAAACCAAGCAGGACATGTAGTTAGCGTTGGAGAATCACCTCGACCAGGCATACATTGTTGGGTTTTATCACACCATCCACAACCGATCTGTTTGGTACACGCTAGACATCCGGTGAATCGGGGGCAGTAACTTATAGAACAACCTACACCCTGTGTTCAATAAATGAAAATGTAGAACAAAAAATAAGTGTCATTTATTTGTTCAAAAACGTGCATGTGATTTTGTGATATGTTATAGTATAAATCTTGGATTTCAATATTGGAAGCAGTGGCGGACATGGAGAGTCCCCCCCCCCCCCTAGATGGGTCCCGAAACAAAATTCGGGCCAAAAATGTGCTCCTCCCCACATAAACTGGACAACTTAGATAACAAACTGACATTACCGGCCATTCTTTTTTAAGGAATGTGGGCTTATTTTTATGATGTTATCCAAAATTTCAAAATTGGGGCCCTTTACCTATAAGAGTCATGGTAGTTTTTAACCTTCAGTTTGTAATGCATATAAAGAATTCATATTAAGAATAAGCCTTACATTCCATCCCTGCTGACAACGACACTGGTTTGGACCGACACAGCTACCAAAGCGACCACAATTGTTAACATCTCTACAATGATATACAGAGCAGTCATCTCTTTCCCAGCCCATGTCACAAGTGCATGTTTTTCCAAAACATTTTCCATTGTAAGTGCAACTGTTGGGACACTGGCTTTCTGAAACAATTACAATCACATGAATATGATGTTTAAAACCATATTCAAGCACACAGTCATAGGTACATGTACATGTTAAGATAGTTATGATTAGACAGAATGATCAGTTTACACATACATGTATACTGGTATATTAGGGTTCTTCAAAAAGTTCTACACGAAAGCTTCTCAAAAGAAAAGATTTTAGTATTTTAACATTAAATTAAATTCAGATATAGATTCATCATTCCTTTATATATACATGTGTGAAACATGTAATGTAATGTAATGTCGCTGAATGTCGGGTGTAATGTCAATGAGTTGAAATGATTTTATGTATCGTTCAGTTATTGCTTACTCAATTACTATGAATTGTTAGTTACTTTGAACTCATTGTATAAAGTATGCTATTAATGTATTCACTTTGGTATGGCTGACATAATTTTTACCTTGTTCTTTGTAGCATATTGTCGAAAAGTAGCTGGTACAGTCTTTGGTTTTAGTCTCTTTCGAATTGAAGTCATACACTCCACATTCCTCAGAAATTCAAATTAGAGGTAAGCAAGTTATGCTGTGTAACAATTGTGATTATTTAGCTCTAAATGAGACTTGCTTACAGAATTTTTTTTCAAAGATTAAACCTTTTAATTATGTTTACATAAATATTTTACTGAAAGCTAAAACCTATTAATTTTTAAATTGTATCAGACCTCTTGAGACGCTTGCCGTGTCCAAATAAGAGGCGATTCCATGCCCTTTTCATTTAGTCTTTCGAAAACATCATCCAAGAGATTTTTCAATGGTTTTACCATTACAGCACCTCTTTCCTGAATTAACATTAAAATGTAGATCATTATATTAAAGTGGTTATATACTAAGTGACTAGATTCATTGACTTGGAAAGAATATCCCTATCTTAGAATATCCTAAATCATCTATAAGAATGTTTTGGCCAGTTTATAAACATTTAAAGCTTATTTATTATGTAATAAGTTTTGAATTGACCTTGCATATTGTTAGAGATTCACTGAATGAGTCTGTCCCTCTTGTCAGATAGTAACATGTTCCTTTAGAATACTGCCAACCGAAATCACAATTTCCTACGAAATAATAACGTACGTCAGGAACTGTTAATTTCATAAGCTTCATGGAATTATGAGAACTATTATTTATGATACTGACTTCCAAATAAAAGAATGGAAATTGTATTTTTTGAGTTACGAATCGGGTCATTGTTGAAATATAAAATATGATTATTACCTAATATTTGCTTTGGAGACGTTGCAATTGGCTCAAAACTAATACCAGGAAGAAATGGGTCAATATTAGTACTGCGTAGTCTAGTATAACTGACATCTTTGAAGGAGACCCCCTTTCCCCACCAGTTCATTGTTGCTTGCACCGTTGGGTATCCAACGACTGAGGTCATCTCAAATGTATTTGCGGGATTTTCCAACCAGTTGTATGTGTAACTTGTATCTTTTCCTTCTGCTACAATTGTAATTTTATCATGAGGGTGTTCACCAGAGTTGTGCCGTACAAGATTTTTCAAAAACTTAGACGGTTCTTGTCTTTGTTTCCACCAAATTAGTTTACTTCCTCTGTTGTTGGCAAACTTGTTTCCTTGTATTACGCCATCTATGTCATCAATCCAGATCATCGGTGTGGTGGTGTCCGTAGAGTTTGTTTCATTGAAATTGTTTGATATATCATTGTCCATAATACACAGGTTTCCTCTGTCCATGAACGCGTCCGATTTATCTTTGATATGAATCAAAGTCTGTCCAGTATTTTTTGTCACGTTATTATAAGCGAAAATAATTTTTGTCTGACCATTGTCCGATTCAGTGAGAATCCTAGCTACACGTTTATTTTCCTTGAACTGGTTATGAGATATTGTAATTGAGCTATTTTCAGAAGTTATATTGATGCTTTTTAGGTTGTTCATAAATCTCGATGTTGTTATATTGATATCTGGAGTTGAGGAACCTGTAAAAACTGCCTTTACACCGTTTCCATTATTTTTCATAACACCGTTTTCTACTGTAAATGTTCTTTTGGGGGATTCTGTAAATAGTTAATACAACACTTAACTTATATCATATGCAGAATGAGAATAAAATTATATACATTCGTACTTGTGGTGTCATATCTACCATATGCCTTAGTGGTAAAGTTGTACTAAAACCATTTTACTCGATTTAGAGATATCAATGCTATCTTACCGTATGAAAGCCACACTTTACGATGGTGAACCATCAACAATTCCAAAAATTCATTTTATCATGATATCGGGAATATAAAGTCAGCACGTGTCTGTTTTCGCGGCAAAACTGATTTCATTTTCAGAGTAGAAGTTTTACGTCACGTGGCATGACGTGTGGAAACAATTTGCCGCGAAATACGATTTTGTAGCAAGGAGGATTGGCTCCCAGAATGCACCACCGATATTCTGTCCCATATATGGTAGCGGTGACCTTTGACCTCACAGGTTTCAAAATGGTTTCAAACCTGTCACGTGTCAACAAGGTCAAAGGTCACGCTACCATATATGGGACAGAATATCGGTGGTGCACTCTGGGAGCCAATCCTCCTTGATTTTGTAGATAAAAATGAAACCCTGGCTTTCAAAATCGAGTTATTCACTCTTATGTTGAGCCAATTATTGCATGATTGAGGCTATTCTCATCAATTTTGAAAAGGGTATAATGTCACTTGCAATTGAGTGCGGAATCAGTCGAGCTGAAACGCTATTGAAAGCATGTAAGTTATACAACAGCAAACATTGCCAGTCTGCCAGTGTTTGGGGATTAAAACTTTTCAACCCGAATGTAATGCTGTAAGGCCAAAATATAATTATTGGGTTAACATTTTCAGTTATCGATATACGGTTTCACAAATACATTTCAATCAATTGAATATGTAATGAACAATATTGCAGTGCTCTTTCCTCAAAATTTATTTTTGTGAAGTTCTATCAATTAAAAATATATTTGGCTATCGGAATGGGTGCAAATATGAAACTAATTGTTTATTTCCACTTTCGTTTAGTTAAACAAGTTAAACCCACGGCTTTCATTTATTAATCTGAATGTTATTGTTGCCGTGTTTGGGTTTAACCTCCGTGCTATGCTTTCATTGGTTGCAAATTCTCATTATTAGTTATTAATTAAACGCGCGTGGAATTTCATACGCTTCCATAGGCCACCATTAATTTTTTTGCATCAAGGGCCGAATAGGCACGGACGTTCAACCTAGGGCGGGCCACAAGATGTGTCAGATAAGAAATAAGGCCCAGACTAGGTTTAACTTGTTGAACTAACTTTGGTTCAGCCTTCGTAGTAGTTTGCAACTTTTCGATTTAGCGCCAGAATAACTTGGCACACGGTACGTCATGGTCAGATGACCTCAAAAAGTGCGCAAAAATAACAACATTTCAGAGATTGACAGTCTTATCTTAATAAATCGTGTGTGTGGAAATATCACAAGCTTTGTAGTCAACATAACAAAAGGGATGCTATTTGTGCTAAAAACAAGATGATAAGAGATTCTTTAATTGGTTTTAGTACAACTTTAAAGGAGACGGAAAGTATCGCAACAGATTTCGGACTGTCCGAAATCTGTTGCGATACTTTCTGTGCTTAATTGAAAAGAGAAACACAAAGTACCTTGTAACTTATAGTTTTCCTCATAAACCTCTACAGCGTATATGGAATTGCGATATCGTCTCATCGTCAGTCGGATGGTAAAGGTATCTTGGTTTGTTTTGTGCATATTAGAAGAAGGAAATGTTTCATACAGAAACCTCTCGCTATAAGTCATGTTTCTACCATTGTAGGCTTCCAACTTAAATGATCGAAATTTTGAATGGTATATGGTTCGAAAATGCAGAATCTTCCTATTAGTAGAGAAAAATGTTTTGGCACAAATCATTTCTTCCGGATATTTATTCCTATCACCATAGGCAAAGATAGCAATCATTGCTCCATTAACTTCGAAACCTTTTACCTTGTAGTCACACATATTTGGAATACCATAGGTTTCATCCTTGATATCGTGATATCGTTCTATGCTATATCTCATAGAGGATCCAAGATGAGATAATCGTATGGCTGATCCATCACAATTCTGTATTAAAGTGTCAGCTATCCGCATCCCATCCAAGACATTTAACCCAACCACCCCATCGCTTGGGTAGTAACCGTGAGAACAAGTCAGATTGATAAAAGACATTAGTGGTGGTTTGCCAACTATTGTCACAAGTGGCTCTCTGTCATCATACCAATATCCGCGCCTATAATCAATTTTTACGTAGGACATGATCGATTGTGTTTGGCCCTCGTTCACAGAAAAATAAACTCCGTTCCAGTTATTCAAAGATGTCAGAATGACTGGTTCTGATAAAGTGCCTTCCGCAAGTAGAGTTCCGAGTATGAGCATCCTGCTGCCTTCACTAAACTGTATAGTTGTACCGGGACCTACTTTCAAAACCATATCTTTTGGAACTATTATATCCCCGTTAGTGATGTAAGTCTCGTTTGGAAGTAATGTAGTGTCAGAACAAAGGATTCCTCCAATACTGGATGTTGTGAATGAGAATGGGCATTGAACTTGCGACATTGGTATACCATTGGGCTTGTCTAGATAAGGCACGAAATTGACCAATGCATATCGGCTAGAATCTGCGAAATGCGTTATCCTTTTTTCTATTTCAGACAACTCTGTAGTTCCCCAGTAGTTTTTCATAAAGTCAAGGCGGTTTTTGTCACCATTGGAGTAGGATTTTATGCAAACTTCTTGGCCTGCAGATGGATTATTCAGACTATTGTTTTGAAACTGTATATTCTGTACGCCGTATATATCTATAAAGCAGTTGTTTATGGTATTGTTCTCAAGAATGTTTCTGTAAAACCTCGTTGTCGGCTTATTCGGAATGTCCATGTAAGCATGCTCTAACATCGCTAAGTTGATTCTTCCACGATTGCCATATATCAAATTATCAGCTACAGTAAGGTTCTTTTCTCGACCGGTGATATCAAATATGTTATTGTTATCATGGAATTTATTTTGATTTATTTCAAACGACGCTCGATCACCATCCAATACCAAAGCATCGCTGGAACAATGAGAAAATGAACTGTTCTGGATATAAACTTTAGGATTACGAACATCTTCGGAGGAGTAAATAGCTTGATAAAAATGCATCCCATACTGTCCCTTGATCACTTCTACATTTTTAACAATCACCATCATATCACCCTGGTATCTGCCGCCATATTTGTAGAAATCAATCCCAGCATAATAGCTATCTATTATCACATTTTCAATATGTATGTTGACATCATGAAACGGTCCATCGCTGCTACTGTCTCGCCCATATATTTTCATATGAAAACCATATGTACCTCGCAAAAACGAGTTGACAATTTTGACATAAAATGGGACCCTGAATTCCGTGACTTGCCGTCCTAAATAATTCCATGGCTTGAATTGAGAATTATACATATTATCATAGATGTATATTCCATAGTTATGATCTGAAGTTGCACTTATGTTTCGAATTTCAATGTCTGGTAACTGCTTCATTATCGGGACACTTTCTTCCTCCACACTTGAAATTATAGCACTAAACTGGCATGAAACACATCCTCCAAAATCAAATACTATTTCATTGGCACTAGAAATGACCCAGGTTTTCAAATTACGCCTTGATATCTCCGTTGTTGAACCATTTTCACGAACTCTAATGACATCCGAAATGTAAAACGAAGAAACATAAACAAGTTGAAATGATATTCTATTGTTTGGTCCCGTGGTGAACGTAACATTTTTTCCAGAGCATCGATATTTACGTGTATCAAAGACAAGAGTCTCAAATGTGGACAGAAATATGTCTCTGTCCTTGCTTTGGAAGCATACCTGTAGCGAATTCTGCTGAAGAAAGTAAGCTTGCGTTTGTGCACTATATCCTGTCTCTGGTTGTATTCCAATTGCCTTCTCACCACCATCAAAAATCGAATCTGATATTTTGGTGTCAAGACTACGGATAAAAATGCCTCGATTTGACCGAATGTTATGAATATTTGGAGTATACACGGGATCAGAATGATACAAGTCAACAGAATAGCTGGAATGACAGTTTTCGAATAACAAGTGGTCCATTTCATGTTTACCGACATCGCTTACAATACAATTCACTAGTGGGCTAACGTCTCGTTTTCCGCATCCATCGAATATAATATGGCGAAGGATGCCCCGTTGTGCGGAAAGAGAAAACCGTATTCCCATCCAACCTACACTGGCATTCATGACAATCTGATCTTTTACTGTACCCTCAGCTATCAACTGCCCTTGAACGATCATACCAATATAATCATCAAACATCAGTCTCGCTCCAGCAGTGATCACTAGTGTAACATTTGGGTAAACATGAATGTCATCTGTGATTCGGTATTCCCTGTTATACAAAACCATGTGTTCTGTTACAGCTCCACCAATTACGCTGCCTTCTGTTCGTGAGTAGAGTGATACAGTTTCGTTTCCCGTCGTTGTCATTGTACGGTCAATATAGTAGGGTAGTATTTGCAAGGTAAGACGCAAATCGTAACGTCTTTGTTGATCCATAATGCCATTTTGAATAGACTTTAAATCACTACTGCCCCAATAGTTATATGTGGCATCCATGGAGATTGACCAGGAGGAATATCGAGTAGGAAAAACCACAACTTGTAAGTCACTCTCGGGGTTGTGGAAGGAATTGTATTGTAGTGTTGAGTACTCACATTCTTGCAAAATTACTGCTGAATCTCCGTATCGTGTCCGTGTAATAGAGCGAATGATATTGTTGGTAAAACTGTTGTTGAATATTTTCAATCGTTGAGACGAGTCTTTTAAGTTCAAAACGTAATTTCCATGATTCTCAGTAAATTGATTGTTTGTAATATATGTATATTTGTATGGGTACCCATCCAGTAAAAGTGTGTTTTGGTTATTCTGAAATACGTTTCTTTCAATTGTAGCTGTACATGAAGAACAATAAGATTCTGAGACCATCACAGCTGTTTCGGAATTACTGATGAATCTATTGTTTTTCATTTTTAGTGATTCAGTCCAAATATAAACTGATCGATACCTAGGGTTTTTTATAATTCCATTTTCGTTTCGTTCAAACAGGTTCTCTGTTAAGTTGAAAAAGATGCGTCGTCCTGCTATACAAGATGCTCCGATCGATTCATCAAGTCCAAAATACAAACCATACACATTGTTTATAAAAACACAATTTTCAATGTTTACATCTCGACCATCTGGAGTTATCTTGAAATAGTCATTGTCAAAGGTAGACTGCACCACAGATATGGTAGAGGCGCCACCTATGATAGCCGTACAATTTTGGGTAATTCTGTTTACATGTTGTCTGTAGCAATTTCCAAAAAGTTCCACTTTCTCAATGGCAATATGTTTTCTTGCTTCAACAATGAAAAATCCACCATGACCATTTTTCGTAAAATTGGATGACTTTATTTTGATATCTTCTTTCATCCCATCACCTATTAGCAAAGGAAACATTATTGAAATGTTCGGATTAATTATTTGGGTCTGGCATGGTAGATAATCATCTCTAATTAATTTCTCAACATTCTCGTCGAAGAAGAAAGAATCTCAATTCTCCATTATAGCAAAAGCTACATCCATCTAAATAACTATTTCGAATGTGCCATTTTGTAAATGATTCGTCAAAATCGCGTAAAATATCTCCACTTAAAAATGCATCAATTTAGAATATTGTCATTCTGATTGATCAGTTCTCTTTATCTCAAGCTATTCTAAGGGATAATAGAGACTGTGGATCCCACAATGGAATTTTGTTCTTGAGTAAAAACATAGGATTTTTAATAAAAATGGTGGCTAGGTTGAATTATGAAGTCATTTTGATAACTTTCTATTCTATTTATAGATGAGACTGTTATCTCAAAAGTGGAATAATCAATTGAGTTAAAGCCAGGAGTGCCAGATTTCGAAAAATGGAGGAGAATGGCAAAAATATTCTCGGTCAAAGGTATAAACGAATTATGTCATGCTTCTGAATTTCTAATGAATAACTAAAATAGAACAAGTGAGTGAATACGACTATTTTTAGATCCCTGACCTTTTTATGAAATACCCTTACACGTACGAAACTGGGGACAATTAGAGTAACATTATGGCGTCAAAATACCAAAACATTTACAATGGGCGCAATCAGCATTATAACGTCAAAAACGACAAGCGTTACATTTTGTCAAGTTTAGTCAACCTAAAAATAAGATGCTTTATTCTTATTAAATCCTGGTAAAATTAACAGAGCAACAAGATCTCGAGGACAATATTTCTAAAATGTTTTTGATTTTTGAAAAACGGTCAGGAAGTCGGGGCGTTAGTAAAAATTGATATGTATGGGATTTGTGGTAAAAAATCGATGCGTTACATTTTTTCAAGTCTCTAAAAGCAACTCTTATTCTCTTATTATTTGAAAAATAAAGAAATCGGTTATTGTTTTGTAAATTCCGCCATGACAATATTGTGCAGTTAAATTTTTTTTGAAATCAGACCTAAATTAGAAGGTTAAATAAAGGTAAACTTATTGCTAGTCTCATTCGCCTTCAAAACCTTACACAATTTTGAAAATCTTAAAAGCGTTCATATAAGACGATTTGAACTGTAGCCGCTAGGCAATTGTGACGTCATAAAATCACACGTTTCAATGAATAAAATGTGAAATTTTAGTAAAATTCTGATCAGTATTTCAAAAGTTATCCCGATTTCAACGAACCGTGTAAGCTTGAAATGTTACCGCCTTACAGCGCATTTGACGATGTCGGAGTACATTTAACTTCAAAAATATGGTAGATCCTATCACACTTTCCATGGAAAAATAATTTCAGTGAAATGCGAATAAAAAATACTTCAAAATGATATATAATGCACATAGTTAGCTTTTTAAATAAGGCAGATATTAACGCTTAAAGCTGAGATTACCCCGTATTTCCCGAATTGTCCCCAGGTCCGTGCACGTCATACCTATGATGATACCAGAGGCAAACTTATCTCTAGAGTTAAAACAATACTAAGAGGTAATAGGACCCAAGACCACATACTGACCACTACACAAATTAATTTTTTATATACACTGTAGTGCCAACGGCAGATTAGGTTTTGAGCATGCTGGGTAAATTACATTGTGACAATTTTGCTCTTTCAGGGTTTGGATATTTCAAATCAACAATAACCATATATACCGTACAAGTCTTTAACATGTTCATCATTTTACATTTTGTACCATAATTATTGCATTTCTTGTGATTTCCGTACAGTCAATTTTTAATTTTCTAAAGAAGTATCTGAACCAATGCTTACGTAGATCTAGACCCCAAGATATCAAAATTGATGACATATTAGTGAATCAATTACCTCCACTTCTAATTGATCGAATCAAGATTGTTGCTCGGACTCGATAATAGTAAGACTGTGAATTCAATCGGAACCACAATTCTCCACCAGTGCTTGACATGTCAGGTGTATACGCTTTTCGACTTCTTACCAGGTGTATTTGTCTTATGAGCCTTCCTCTGGTCCCGTTCCCATCCCTAATGTCTAATCTATTATATCCAGTATTAGAACTAAACCTTGTAGCATCAATGCTTCTGAATGAGGCAAGTACGTTCCAACCTTCGACAGTTTTGAAACTCTAAAAAAGTTATTAGATTTGCATGAAAATCATTCAGATTTTCAACTAAATTATAACTACTGTTTTGGCATCTTCAATTTTCTAATAACATAATGCTATTATACTCATTTGCTCTTTTGCAATTTTTAGTCTCGTACAAATATTCTTTATTGGTTCAAATCCATTGATTCTACATCTCACTTGTGATCCGCTCGATTACGCTGGTTACCGAAACGGTAACAAAATGTCGGAACATTGAAGGTGCGATTTTTCTTTTTTTCCTTAGTTCACGCGTTGTAGCCAGAATCCCCACGACGTTTTTTCTCACAAACGTATATCAGTATCATATATTTTAGAAAATGTACATGTTTGCGAAAAATTAGCTCAGAAGACAACAGAATCGTCGATTTAATTCCTCACTTAAGTTACAGAACGGTTTGGGTTAAAAGTGCAGATCTTAACTGTTTTTCAAAATACCGTTTCTGTAACTTAAGTGAGGAATTAAATCGACGATTCTGTTGTCTCTGAACTATTTGTTCGCAAATATGTACATTTTCTTAACATATGATACTGATACACGTTTGTGTTAAAAATCCTACCTTCGATGTCCCGACATTTTGTTACCGAAACGGTACCAGCGTAATCGAATGGATCACCAGTGCATCTCAAGCGCACATCTATTCTAACGAAAATGCTCCAAACAAATAATTTTACATATTCAATGATCTGTAAATCGATTTGATATATTTTTTAAAAATATGCCGATATCATGGGAAATGGTACTTACTTGAGAACACCCACTTCTCGCGTCTTTATGTGTGGAGTCTACAGTCACTTCGATAGCTTCTCCTGGAGATAACTGAGTCATCTTCACCCCAGGTGTACAAAGCATCGTCTTTCTCAGAGGAGGAGGCGGGAGTAATCGTATGTATGTGATGCCCGTTTCACCGTTACCAGATGCCTCGACGCGCTCTATGTTCACCTGACCAACGTAAGTCTCCACTCGAATGCCACTGAGGGTGTTGTTGGTGAATGATGAATCAGAGATTGTTACTGGATTGCTCATTCGTTTTATTTGTAGTCCATTTCCTGGGGATTCCATGACAGTCACGTGTTGTAAAACTAATGGCGCCGCGTATTCATCCATACTAAGTTGACATCCGTGTATATTTACATAGTTTGCCGAGATTATGCTCCCTCGATGTAAATGTATTCGGCATGAATCATCTCCTTAAAAACAATTAAAACAAAGGGTGTACATGTTATAACTAAAATTTGCTCAAAATATTTTATCCCGCACTGGAATGTCGAGCTAGGCACAGCCTTTAAAAACAAAACCAAGAAGTATTGAAGAACTTACCCGATAACCACGATAAATTTATCTCTTGGCCACGCTGTCCAACCACCTGTAATACCCCATGGACTTGAACTGAGGCTCCTGGATCAAACTGCACTATGACACCAGGTTGGACAGTCAGCTTTCCTTTCTCAGTTATGTTCAGCTAGATGAAAAAGGCAGATATTAAACAAATCGTTTAAATCTTTATATTTAGGACATTACTAATGGCAATTTGGTATATATAAATAGAGGACATCCTATTTTGAGGAATACTATTTTTATCCATGAGTGGATATCGCTTATCTCCGTTTCCAGAATTCGTATAAAAGTCATAGAAAAATTGTAAAAAGCGCACGTTCTTGAGATATTTCTGAAAATATAACTGGAGATTTTTGAACCATCATTTTTGTTTACTTCAGTAGAGTTTATACTTAAACAGTAATCTCATTTCGTCAAATGTTGCAAACATACGAATGGGAAAATAATATTTTGCATATGAGAAAAATACTGACAACACATGAAAAATGTTCTGGGATATTAGAGGTCAAACCAATTTCGCAGTACGTGAAGTATATCTCTATTCATTCCTGGAGTTCGTAACGACATTACATAAATTTGATTTCACGCCCCTTCGAGGTCTTCAAGGAATATCAGTTAAGTGATGCCTGGATATGCAACTGAATAAAAGATCGGTTTATCAAAAATACCAAAATGAATGCTAAATGCAGTATGAAAAGAGGCACACCTGGTACGGTATAGAAAATTATGATTCATTACATATGTCAAGCTTGCACTGTTTTTCAAAACGTAAACGTGAACGGAAAGGTTTAAGCATATGTACACGTACATCTTATTATTTTGAGATGTTTTTAAAATATAGCTTTATCTATTCAAATGAAAGGCAATTTAGAGTAGATTGCAAATATTCCTCGTTTTTTATTCGGGCATCGTAAAATTCAAAATGGCCGTCTAATGTGGGATTTCGCAATAATTTTCTGATCTCTTCGAAGAGATATCATACTCAAATTGAAGGAAGGAATTTTAGAGTAGATCACAATTATAGACTTCGTGGTATTGTTTTTTTCATTTGTGTTTCAGAAAATTCAAAATGCCTGCCTAGAGAAGGAATTCGCCATTACTTAAAAATATTTTTAAAGCAAGGTTTGTTACCCTACTATCACACCAAACTAGTTCTCACTACGTTCTCGAAAACGGGCTTAAACTGTGCACGAACGGATTTAACGTACTAAGAACCAATTGAGAACCGTTTTGGATCTGTTTACAAACTTCATAAAACTACTAGAACGAGTAGGTTCAGAACTTAGAGCGGCCTGAACGAACTGCGAATGAGATGGACGTATTGAAGACTGTTTATGAATGAAGTAGCTGATTATTTTAGAAATATTTCCCGACCACAGCCAGATTGGGCCCGTTTTACGACGTTTTTGTAGGACTGGCAAGAACGGGTAAGAACTAGTTTGGTGTGAAAGGGGGGGTTACATGCTATGACACTACAATGATCTCAAATATGTATTGAAGGGAAGAGTAGATGGTAAATACTACATTGTGACTGTATAGATTCATGATTTCGTTGGATTTGCAACTCCGTGGAGTCGCCAATTTAATGCTGTACGTTTTTACAACCAGAAGATTATTAGTTTGCATGACAAAATATTTCAAATCCAGATTTAGTTTAGTTTATTTGAAATGGAAGGTTTCGATATCGAATTTTGTCTACCATTTTGAATGACTTACTCCAGGGAGTATCATCATTCTGCTGTTAAAATTAACATTCTGGTGAGAATGGTTTCTAATGCTTATGATATACAGAGGGTGTCCCAGAACTCATTTTTGAGGAAGGCATGAGGCATGCGTGATTTTTCTTCAAATTTGGTGCACTAATTAAACATATATTTAGGATTAACTGACGTGAATTTCAGGTACATATCTTTTAAATTCCCGAGTTTATTGACATTTTAATTCGACATCGCCACAAACCCCGGAGTTGTCGGATAAATATGATAGTTTATGTCACATTTTTACACAAATTCTCAACTATGATAGCAATATTCTTTAATTAGATTAGCTTAGCATTTCCCCAATATATATATAAAGAGCACTTTGATAAAAAAAATTAATAAATATATTTGATAGAGATTAGAGACCGGAGGCCTCATTATCAGTTGATCGCAAACTATGTGCGTTGCGTCTGCGTTGCGACAGCGATCGCAGAACGCAACGCTTGAGTTGTTGAGCGCAATCGCAAACGCAAAACAATAGAGCCGCAAAGTAGCGAACGCAAGTCTCAAGTGAAATTTGGCGGGAAATACAAATCGACCTCCGCGCCACTTCTTGACGTTGATTGATTGAAATTGAGAGGAAATCAAATTATTGTTCAACAAAGTGTGATTTGATTGGTTGCTATTTATACCAGAAAAATGCGCGAAAAATGCAAAATGTAAACCAATATTGAACGCTCACTCATTGCACAGTGCACACAAAGAATAAGAGTAGAACGATGTCTTGAGCAAGAAATTTGTCATTCCAAGAGCAAGAGTTATTAATATGTCTCATTGAAAAAGAGGCACATATTTTATTGTATTTCATACCGACTGAGGTTCTAGGTACATAACGAGCGGGAATATATACTGTATCTAGCCAAGGCCCAGGGCGGGATGGATACACGCTGTATCCATCCCGGTCCCGCTCCTGAAATTTTTTTTCATAATTTTTTTCAACATTTTTTTCAAATTCTTTTTTTGAATTTTTTTCAGATTATTTTTCAAAAAAAAATTTCCCATTTCTTCCAAAAGATTTTTTCACATTCTTTTTCAAAAAAATGTTTTCACATGTTTTCACATTTTTTCCAAATTTTTTTCCAAATATTTTTTCAATCAAATCAATCAAAGAAAATGCGTATTTTAAGTATATTTTTGAATTTTGGAACTTTATAAGGTATATGACGTACCTAGAACATCAGTAGGTATGAAATACATCTGTTATGTACGGTCGGTTTTGGATACAGGGTTTATCCCTCGGGAAATATGTGTATATCCCTCGGTCCCTGCGGTCCCTCGGGATATACACATATTTCCCTTGGGATAAAACCTGTATCCAAAACCTCCCAGTACATAACCCTTATGTCTCCGCTAGGTAGTTCTGTTAATGTGTCAACAGCAATATGATATTTTCCGAGGCCAATATCGTATTTTCTCGAAAAAAATTCTTATATCATCACGATCATCAATAACCTTTTTTTTTTTTTTTTATTGCATCTTTCTTACACAAAACATTATACATAATATACATACAGATCAAATCCATATACATTGAATATTCAATAATATTATTACATATTTATATTTAACAGTTATATGTTTTTAAGCTTTTCAGACCATCTCCATTCAGAGTATTTAATTTAACTTAATTTAAAAGGGTACCATTTGAAAATACAATACATGCAATACGATTATCTTTCAATCGTATTGTGCTGACAATATTTTAATATAAAAGGGTATAAAGTAAAACAAAAAATTCAATGCTGTTGGTTTAATCTATCTATAACCCATCTCCAAGTCTCGCCGAAACTTTCCAGTGTGCCATTTAAGTTTGCAATATTTCGTTCGTCATTGATTTTGTATTTTATGATTTCTTTTATTTGCATAAATGTTATTTTAGTATTAACGAGTCTTGATTTATGTATTAAGCTTTTTATATACAATATGCAAAAATTAATTGCTTTTGAAGTGTGGTCGCGTTCTTGATCTAATTTCCCGACAATTATGTCTTTAATTGTAAGATCAATATTGAACATTTTTTTAAAGTCATCCCAAATCTTGGAAGAGTTTGGGCACTCTATGAAGAAGTGTATCGTATCATCTATTTTATCGTTTTTACAAAAGTCGCATAAATTTGAATTTTTTATTTTCTTTCGAGTTAAAAATTGGTTATTTGGTGTAACGTTTAAAACAAGTTTGTATTGAAGGCATTGTATTCTGGTTCAAACAAGTTTATCAACTCCATCACCAATGCTCTCGGCATTCTATACCTTTGCAACATCTCAGAATAATCTAGTGTATCAATTGGATTGATTCTATCTCGAAATATTCTCAGTCCTATGCGATTGTGGTGTCGATTCAAAAAGAAGTGGAACATTCAAAAAGAAGTGGAACATATTTATTCCCGCAGCTTCCGGAGTGCTATTTGCAGACGATATATGCGATGCGTTCGCATTGTTTGGAAACAAACATGATATTCTTGAAGGATTTACAAGCTTGACAAAATGTATGTTTCAATGATATAATATAGATATGATTGAATCATTCCTTCGATAAAGCTATTGTTAACTTAATAGGTAATGAGATGATTCACAAAAAAACGGAAAAAACCGTTAACATATAAGAAATAGAGTTTAAAGATGCACTACATTTGCGTTTTGATTTGCGGCAGGGTAAAAAGAATCGCAAATATGAGTTCATTTGCGTTCAGAAAATTTATAATCTTGCGTCAGAACTGCGTTGCGTCAAAGTGGTAATTATGTTTTTTATGAAATGTATGCGATGCGATGCGTTGCGTTGCGTAGTGCAACGCATGCGATTCTGCGTTGCGACCAACTGATAATGAGGCCTCGGGCCATTTTACATCAACAGATTGGTTTACATGGGAATGACGTTTTTTCAAAAATTCATCAAATTTATCATCAATTTTCGACCTAAATACCGTACGGGCGCCGGCAAGGTAGCCTACAATGAGTTTGATTGAGGAAAAAATCGGCGAGACTTTTCTGTCCGAGATAAAATTCTCCCGGCGCCTATATGATGTCATCGGCAATTGTTGCCGGTGATCGGCAGGCGCCCGTACGATGTTGAAAAATACTAATCGGCCGGTGCCCGTGCGATGAATAGGAGCTCATGTGAGCTAGGCATAACTTTAAACATAAACAATGAACTTACGTTGGTCGAAAACGTGTAAGGACTGTTGTCCAACGTCAGGCTGGTGTCGATATCAATGGTCTCCAGCGCCGCTTCATATTTCACATTTCCAAATAGAATAGCGAATAGCAAAGTCATACGAAACGACGATGCCATATTTTTAGGTCTTGTATTCATCACACTCGCTTACCAGTATGATTCTCAATCACACTGGTATCAGTGAACCTTTATTCTATTCGAAAAACAAAAATCGTCTGATTGGCGCACAGGATATAACATTGCACCAATCAGATGATTTCTTTGTTTTATCTACGATCTCATTGGTTCTGTTCTATAAAGAATCCTTTAAAACCATAGTTTATTGTCCTTTATTCACTGGTACTGCACTCTTCAAACTAGAGACCAAACGAATCCGTTTCAGAAACAAAATGTCGGAACCTCGAAGATACGATTTTTTCCCTCATTTCGCGGGTTGTAGGGAGAATCTCTACGACAATTTTATTACAAAGGTGTTGTTTAAGAAAATCTATGTACGTTTGCGAACAAATAGTTCAGCAGATGACAGAATCAACTAAATAATACCTCACTTTAGTTACGTGATCGCATTGGCGAAGCCATTGGATCGTGGCTGAAACCTAAGAACAAAGAAGCTCTGTTCAAGCAGAAATATATGGTGAGAATATTCAAATAAAAACGGATGGCACACCTAAGAAAGGGCTGTTTCAAAGCTATACGATGGAAAAAAGATCAAGGAGTTATAACTTATGACAAAGATAATTGACAGAATGTTGAAAATATAAGATTTGACCTAGTTCTTGACCTTCAACCTAAATAAAAAGCTGGCCTTATTTCCCAGACCCATTTTAACTAACCATTAAAGCTGCGAATAGTACGCTTTTCAATCTGGAGTCTAATACTGTATTTCCTAAATATTAAACCAGGATGTTAAAATACGTTCTTATGCCTATGCACAATCACAATTCTACTATCTCGACTCTATTTATTAATAGAAACATTTAATGGGGCATTACATGATTTTCGTTTTGAAAAATGGTAGAAGCGCATTAATTAATGTAAAACGAGGAGTAACATTGTCGCCTCAATTCGTTGAAAAATAGTTTTCCATTCCTCAACAACCTATGTGGTCAACTGAGCAGAACTTTTATTTTACAACTTGTGTCATGGTTTCATAAACAGTGCCATGATTGTTAAGAGTGTCGCCGTCGTCATGATGCATTGGTTTCATGATGAACTAAGCACTCCATGACAGTTAACAGAGTGACGGCATCACAACTTACAATTGTGGTTTCATAAACAACTAAAAATATCATTTTTTGTAAAAGAATGATAGTTTATATAAACTATAAAGAACCTTGTGTCATTCTTTATTGGATTTTTAAGTATTCGTGTATAATACCTTGATATAAATCACAGTGATGAATGGACTCTGGCTTCGCCCTCACTATTTGTACCGGTTAGTACATGATTCTTTATTCCTAATGTACGTATTGTTAAAGAGCTCATAGCTGACTCATAATAATATATACAACTTGCGCAATCGATCGTTTGCACTTCAACTTTCTTTTATGAAATGCCCAAAGCTCGAAAAAGATTCTTCATCTCGTTAATTCATCTAACTACATTTATGAATTGCAGCTGTAAGCAGAAAAAGCTGTTTATTGCTTGTTGAGATTTTAAATGACTTTAAATGACACAACGTGCTGATAAATGTGATTCAATAGACTAGATGCGACTAGAATAATCTTGATTTACGTTTACGTTAAAAATTCAAAATTCAGTCGAACTGATGTCATATTTGGAATCTACACGTTAAATTAGTTCTAGAATGTGGTTTTGAAAAGAGTTTATCAACTTTGAAAATTTAATTTTCTTTGAAAATGTGACTTTCTAGGTCGGGGAGATTCCCCATAGACCCCATGTCGTAAAGTCACAATAAAGTGAAATATCTTGTGCTGGGCAGATAATATTTTCTGTTACTGCACATATTTTGATTTGTATAACTTTCAGATACATAAGGGTAATATGAAAAGTGAGCCACTAAAATTGATGAATATTCAAGTTCAAGGGAATTTTGTAATATCCTGCCATGTTATTTCCCCCCGAATCAGCCACCTGGTGGCAAAACTGGTAACTACCTACTATCAAACGAGTAATTTTACACTCCCCTTCACTCCCCCTGCTTTATAAAACGATTTTTAAGAGTGATTTCTCAGACATTCACTTGAACAATGATGAATGATATGTGATTTCAGTTACTTCAACAATCCTTTTTTCTACTCAAATTAGCTCTTTCCATGTCTATACTTTATATCATTGAGACAGGTACATGTAGCTGTTGAAAAGTATTGATGCACTATTTCTAAAAGAACATTTTAGAAAGGAAAATAATAAAATGTAAAAAAGCATTGATGAAATTAGCCATTAACCAATCTGATAAAGATACTATCCATCAAAAAAAGATCACGAGGGATAGGCTAATTAATTAATTAATTTAGTTTTTTTATACAAACATGCAAATTATAATAATTCACACATTGTGTCTTCAGTAAAATTAAAATCCAAAGTCAAATTCATAATTTTGAAAATGAGTCTATTTTTGCAAAATGGTGACTTCGTGTCCATGAAAATGTACTGTTTATGCAAGAGAAGATTTTACCTTTAAATAAAGTTCAATACTGGAAAATAAAAAGTGCTGAATGTCCTTTGTCAAGGATGTCTATGGTTCAATAAATGGCAACTCATCAATTGGCAACTCATCAACAGGAGCAGCTGTTGCCTCCTTGACAGCTTCAGTCCATCTCCTCAGAATGAATCTATCACAGCCAAGATTTTTCATTCTTCTAAAAACCTGTCCCTTGAACTTCCTGGTCTCATCCTCAGAATCCCAGTACAGAAGATTCAGTGTGGCACACACAGCATTCCTTTCACCCTGGAAGTATCAAAAACATTAACTGTTTCACATTTTACAGAAGATTCAGTGTGGCGCATACAGCATTCCTTTCACCTTGGAAGTATTGTAAAACATTAACTGTATTATATTTCACTGGCGGATTAGGGGGGGGCCCAGAAAAAAAAATTTGGGCCCAAAAAAAATTTTGGGCCAAAAAAGGCCTTAAGGCCCCAAAAAGTCGGCCTTTTTGGTCATTACTGGGCCTTTTAAGGCCTTATTTTTTAAATTCAGGCCAAATTTTTGGGCCCCCCCCTTGTTGGTTCCCAGATTCGCCCCTGCATTTTACAGAAGATTCAGTGTGACGCGTACAGCATTCCTTTCACCCTGGAAGTATTATAAAATATATACTGTATTACATTTTACAAAAGATTCAGTGTGACACATACAGCATTCATTTCACCCTGGAAGTATTATAAAACATTAACTGTATTGCATTTTACAGAAGATTCAGTGTGGCGCGTACAGCATTCATTTCACCCTGGAAGTATTATAAAACATTAACTGTATTACATTTTACAAAAGATTCAGTGTGACGCGTACAGCATTCATTTCACCCTGGAAGTATTATAAAACATTAACTGTATTACATTTTACAAAAGATTCAGTGTGACGCGTACAGCATTCATTTCACCCTGGAAGTATTATAAAACATTAACTGTATTACATTTTACAGAAGATACGGTGTGACAAATACAGCATTCCTTTCACCCTGAATGTATTATAAAACATTAACTGTATTACATTTTACAAAAGATTCAGTGTGACGCGTACAGCATTCATTTCACCCTGGAAGTATTATAAAACATTAACTGTATTACATTTTACCGAAGATTCAGTGTGACGCGTACAGCATTCATTTCACCCTGGAAGTATTATAAAACATTAACTGTATTACATTTTACAGAAGATACAGTGTGACAAATACAGCATTCCTTTCACCCTGGAAGTATTATAAAACATTAACTGTATTACATTTTACAAAAGATTCAGTGTGACGCGTACAGCATTCATTTCACCCTGGAAGTATTATAAAACATATACTGTATAACATTTTACAGAAGATTCAGTGTGACACATACAGCATTCCTTTCACCTTGGAAGTATTGTAAAACATTAACTGTATTACATTTTACAAAAGATTCAGTGTGACGCATACAGCATTCATTTCACCCTGGAAATATTGTAAAACATATACTGTATTACATTTTACAGAAGATTCAGTGTGACACATAAAGCATTCCTTTCACCTTGGAAGTATTGTAAAACATATACTGTATTACATTTTACAGAAGATTCAGTATGACACATACAGCATTCCTTTCACCTTGGAAGTATTGTAAAACATTAGCTGTATTACATTTTACAGAAGATTCAGTGTGACACATACAGCATTCATTCCACCCTGGAAGTATTATGAAACATATACTGTATTACATTTTACAAAATATTCAGTGTGACACATACAGCATTCCTTTCACCCTGGAAGTATTATAAAACATTAACTGTATTACATTTTACAGAAGATACAGTGTGACACAAACAGCATTCCTTTCACCCTGGAAGTATTGTAAAACATATACTGTATTACATTTTACAGAAGATTCAGTGTGACACATACAGCATTCCTTTCACCCTTGAAGTATTGTAAAACATATACTGTATTACATTTTACAGAAGATTCAGTGTGACACATACAGCATTCCTTTCACCCTGGAAGTATTGTGAAACATATACTGTATTACATTTTACAGAAGATTCAGTGTGACACATACAGCATTCATTTCACCCTGGGAGTATTGTAAAGCATATACTGTATTACATTTTACAGAAGATTCAGTGTGACACATACAGCATTCCTTTCACCCTGGAAGTATTGTGAAACATATACTGTATTACATTTTACAGAAGATTCAGTCTGACACATACAGCATTCCTTTCACCTTGGAAGTATTGTAAAACATATACTGTATTACATTTTACAGAAGATTCAGTGTGACACATACAGCATTCCTTTCACCCTGGAAGTATTGTAAAACATATACTGCAATTACATTTTACAGAAGATTCAGTGTGGCACATACAGCATTCCTTTCACCCTGGAAGTATTATAAAACATATACTGCAATTACATTTTACAGAAGATTCAGTGTGGCACATACAGCATTCCTTTCACCCTGGAAGTATTGTAAAACATACACTGTATGACATTTTACAGAAGATTCAGTGTGGCACATACAGCATTCCTTTCACCCTGGAAGTATTGTAAAACATACACTGTATGACATTTTACAGAAGATTCAGTGTGACGCATACAGCATTCTTTTCACTCTGGAAGTATTATAAAACATATACTGCAATTACATTTTAAAGAAGATTCAGTGTGACGCATACAGCATTCCTTTCACCCTAGAAGTATTATAAAACATATACTGCAATTACATTTTATAGAAGATTCAGTGTGACGCATACAGCATTCCTTTCACCCTGGAAGTATTATAAAACATATACTGCATTTACATTTTACAGAAGATTCAGTATGACGCATACAGCATTCCTTTCACCCTGGAAGTATTGTAAAACATATACTGTATTACATTTTACAGAAGATTCAGTGTGACACATACAGCATTCCTTTCACCCTGGAAGTATTATAAAACATATACTGTATTACATTTTACAGAAGATTCAGTGTGACGCATACAGCATTCCTTTCATCCTGGAAGTATTGTAAAACATATACTGTATTGCATTTTACAGAAGATTCAGTGTGACGCATACAGCATTCATTTCACCCTGGAAGTATTATAAAACATTAACTGTATTACATTTTACAGAAGATTCAGTGTGACGCATACAGCATTCATTTCACCCTGGAAGTATTATAAAACATTAGCTGTATTACATTTTACAGAAGATTCAGTGTGACACATACAGCATTCATTTCACCCTGGAAGTATTATAAAACATTAACTGTATTGCATTTTACAGAAGATTCAGTGTGACACATACAGCATTCATTTCACCCTGGAAGTATTATAAAACATATACTTTATTATATTTTAAAGAAGATTCTGTGTGACGCGTACAGCATTCCTTTCACCCTGGAAGTATTATAAAACATATACTGTATTACATTTTACAGAAGAATCAGTGTGACACATACAACTGTCCTTTCACCCTGGAAGTATTATAAAACATATACTTTATTATATTTTAAAGAAGATTCTGTGTGACGCGTACAGCATTCCTTTCACCCTGGAAGTATTATAAAACATATACTGTATTACATTTTATAGAAGAATCAGTGTGACACATATAACTGTCCTTTCACCTTGGAAGTATTATAAAACATATACTATATTATATTTTACTCTGATCCTGTGTTCAATTGAGGTAAGTGGGATCTTGAATAAGTTGTTTAGAATCAATTTCGTGAAAATATTATGTGTACGCTTTAAGTCTCAAATTTGTCCTAGTTGAAGAACTGTGAAGGAATTTCCATCACTGTCTCTGGCACTGGCACTTGGTTAGCTCCTGAATTTGAAGAATTTTGGCATCTTGAAACCTATCTTTTACTAGCAGTTGCCTTTTAATATTGATCTCTAGACATCCCCTGATGTGATCCATACCAGAATGTTCTCAATAGTTAAGTAGATCATACCTGTTGGTTGTGTTCATAAACACATGCATCATTGTTACACATATCACGGTATTGCAGAACATACTCCGGATATGTTGTTTCAAAATCAGCAAACGCACCCTCACAGAAATGAATACAATTATCAGCCTGTCGCTTCTTCTTTTTCCCTCGCAATCTTGCACGTCGTCCATCCTTAAAATCTGGTAACACAGCATCTGGATCTGGGTCTACACACCTAATAAGTACACAATGACTGTATTTTAAAACTTTTAAAAAACAAATTCAAATTAAAGCAAAATTCTTCCATAAACATTGAAAGGTTATAGGATAGCTACTAATTTTATTATTCATCATCAATAATTTTTCAATTTTCAACTACATGTGTACTCTTTAGAATAGTTTCATATAATACTTACAATTGCCAAATACATTTAGTCTGACATACTCTCCATTAATCTTATTCATTATAAGAGACCATTCGCAATGTAAAGCATTAACATTTCTTTAATGTAAATAATAACAAACACTTCTTACAGGGAGTCATCTGCATCAAAACAATGCCAGCTGTTCCCCACTAGTGTATCAGCAACACTGTAGATAAACCCATCTTGGTAAGAAGACACATCCATCCCATCTGATGTGACAAGGTCATTACTTGAGTCACCATCAAAGTTACCACATATACCGCACATCAAACCAAAATAGTCACCTGGGACTTGCACCTATTTAAATTACAAATAAAATTATACATAACAAAAGTCAGTAGGCAATTTGAATAGCATAAAGAAAACCTAATTTAAACCAGTGTTGTCATGTTTCTGTATTTGTTTGTTTATTTCTTGTTCAGTTAGGAGGATGTGGGTGTGTGATTCACTCACTACAGCACTGGATAACTTCAATATACTGAAAGACATTGTGCCAGTTTCTGGAGACTGGAGTAAGTAAAACTTAAATCAACCCCATTATCTCGGGTTAATATAAATATATTTCAATAAAACATATCATGATCTCCACTCTAAAATTACAATATCTAGCCATTCAAATATCGCCATTAGGTATAACATGCACGCGTACCCCGTATACGCGTACAGCACTGACAATATACTTTACATTATCTAATTTAAATGAACTCACAATTAAGTTTCATTAATTGCAAAAACTTACTTTGACATAATACTGGTCATAGTACACTTTTAGTCCAAATGATGCAGTCAGCAAGAAACCACTGCCCCAATATTCAGTGATGGTCATGGATTGACCAGATGGACCAAAGAATGTCAGTCCTCCTGGGGCAAGGGGGGATGAGTAAACAGCTCCATTCACCTTTTCATTATAAGATAAATATATTTTTGAATATCATATAATCATTCAGCTTTTTATTCAAACAAAACTGATGAAGGACCATAGATGTTGTTTGATATATCTTAAACTTATTTTAAACCAGGAAAAGAGTTTGTTAATTCAAAATACACATTCTTTCTTTATCTTGAAAGACATTTTGTAGTTGCTGGGGTGATTACACATCATATAAAATGTTAGATGAAACAATTTAAAAATGTGTTTACCGTGAATTGGTTTGGTTCAAGTACAACTTTGTAATCCCACAGCAAGACAATAACTTTCCCAACATAAGCAATAGAAATCATTCCATAGAGGGTAATTTGTTTGACCTTGACCTCAAAATCTTGAAGGTCGACATCTTCAGCACAAAGACAACAAGGTTTAGCGATGGTGTATGTGCAGTTGCCTTGGTAGTCAATGGAGTTGTGACCATCAAATGTGGTGTAATGGGTATCACCACCGCCAGTGCAGCACGCTTGTTTGACTGCAAGTGAATTTGAAGCAGGTTTGACAATCCAATACAATTGAGGGCCATTCAATAAATACTGATACGAATATGCTCATTTCCATGTTTTGAACTAAAATCTTTCATTTTCAGTGATATTTAAATTCAAAAATGATGATCAAGGAAACCTCATTCCTTTATATAGAAAATTACAGATATTGAAAGTACCAGAAGTAAAATAATTATGTTTGGCCAGTATGAATCTTCAATCCACAAAAATTTCAACTTGATTCCATTATGAATATGGAAATGAGAGCAATTTTTATTAATATTCATTGAATAGGCCCTGTAAAATTGAGAAATTGTTGTTCAATGATGACACCTGTATGTACAGTTGCTAATTGTATGTTCAACTGTGTCATATAGCTGTACATGTTTTAACTGAATGTTTTTTGTATTTGTTATCATGATGACACCAAGATGTACAGGTGATAAATGAATGTTCAACTGTGATACCTAAATGTACATGTGCCAATGAATGTTCAATGATAACACCTAGATGTACATGTGCCAGTGAATGTTCAATGATAACAATTAGATGTTTATATGATAAATGAATGCTCAATTGTGATACCTAGATGTACATGTGCCAGTGAATGTTCAATGATGACAACTATATGTACATATGATAAATGAATGTTCAACTGTTACACCTAGATGTACATGTGCCAGTGAATGTTCAATGATAACAACTATATGTACATATGATTAATGAATGTTCAACTGTGACACCTAGATGTACATGTGCCAGTGAATGTTCAATGATAACAACTATATGTACATATGATAAATGAATGTTCAACTGTTACACCTAGATGTACATGTGCCAGTGAATGTTCAATGATAACAATTAGATGTTTATATATAAATTAATGTTCAACTGTTACACCTAAATGTACATGTGCCAGTGAATGTTCAATGATAACAACTATATGTACATATGATAAATGAATGTTCAACTGTTACACCTAATATGTACATATGATAAATGAATGTTCAACTGTGACACCTAGATGCACATGTGCCAGTGAATGTTCAATGATAACAACTATATGTACATATGATAAATGAATGTTCAACTGTGACACCTAGATGCACATGTGCCAGTGAATATTCAATGATAACAATTAGATGTTTATATGATGAATGAATGTTCAACTGTGACACCTAGATGCACATGTGCCAGTGAATATTCAATGATAACAATTAGATGTTTATATGATAAATGAATGTTAAACTCTGACACCTAGATGTACATGTGCCAGTGAATGTTCAATGATAACAATTAGATGTTTATATGAATGATAAATGAATGCTCAATTGTGATACCTAGATGTACATGTGCCAGTGAATGTTCAATGATAACAACTATATGTACATATGATAAATGAATGTTCAACTGTTACACCTAGATGTACATGTGCCAGTGAATGTTCAATGATAACAACTATATGTACATATGATAAATGAATGTTCAACTGTTACACCTAAATGTACATGTGCCAGTGAATGTTCAATGATAACAACTATATGTACATATGATAAAAGAATGTTAAACTGTGACACCTAGATATACATGTGCCAGTGAATGTTCAATGATAACACCTAGAAGTACATGTAATAAGTGAATGTTCAACTGTGACACCTAGATGTACATGTGCCAGTGAATGTTCAATGATAACACCTAGATGTACATATGATAAATGAATGTTCAATGATAACACCTAGATGTACATGTGCCAGTGCATGTTCAATGATAACAATCAGATGTTTATATGATAAATGAATGTTAAACTCTGACACCTAGATGTACATGTGCCAATGAATGTTCAATGATAACACCTAGATGTACATATGATAAATGAATGTTCAATGATAACACCTAGATGTACATGTGCCAGTGCATGTTCAATGATAACAATCAGATGTTTATATGATAAATGAATGTTAAACTCTGACATCTAGATGTACATGTGCCAGTGAATGTTCAATGATAACACCTAGATGTACATGTGCCAGTGAATGTTAAATGATAACACATAGATGTACATATGATAAATGAATGTTCAACTGTTACACCTAGATGTACATGTACCAGTGAATGTTCACTGATAACATCTAGATGTACATATGATAAATGAATGTTCAACTGTTACACCTAGATGTACATGTGCCAGTGAATGTTCAATGATAACACCTAGATGTACATATGATAAATGAATGTTCAACTGTTACACCTAGATGTACATGTACCAGTGAATGTTCACTGATAACATCTAGATGTACATATGATAAATGAATGTTCAACTGTTACACCTAGATGTACATGTGCCAGTGAATGTTCAATGATAACACCTAGATGTACATATGATAAATGAATGTTCAACTGTTACACCTAGATTTTGCCAGTGAATGTTCAATGATAACAACTATATGTACATATGATAAATGAATGTTCAACTGTGACACCTAGATGTACATGTGCCAGTGAATGTTCAATGATAACACCTAGATGTACATATGATAAATGAATGTTCAACTGTGACACCTAGATGTACATGTGCCAGTGAATGTTCAATGATAACAACTAGATGTACATATGATAAATGAATGTCCAACTGTGACACCTAGAATGTACATATGATAAATGAATGTTCAACTGTGACACCTAGAATGTACATATGATAAATGAATGTTCAACTGTGACACCTAGAATGTACATATGATAAATGAATGTTCAACTGTGACACCTAGAATGTACATATGATAAATGAATGTTCAACTGTGACACCTAGATGTACAGTTGGTTACCACATATGTTTAGCTCAAAATTGCACACAAAATTCAAATATCACCTTGAGGTTTTGGACAACATACACCATAGTCTTGACCATCTATCAAAGTACATATTGTGTCATCTGGGCATCGTTGATACCGGTCCCCACCACACCATATAATGAATCCTGAAGGGTTCACTGCAGGAGATCTACATGGCAATCCTGGAAGCATTATCAATTTTGATTTTTTGTAATACCAACATTGATTCAATTATTTCAACCTGCTTAAAATCTACAAAGTAGTCTGTATTTTCTTTAAAATCTTTTTTTCTGTGATGCTCAATAAAATTGAATCCTAATTGAAAGCCCATGCTTACTCTTACATGGTACACTTAAAGGTGTTTTTCATATTAGATGAAGTCTTACTATAGTCAGAATAAGGCAGCTCACATCTTGCTCCAATAAAGCCTTTGGAACATCTACAATCCACCCTCAATCCCACTTCATCTCGTACACAGAGCCCATTATTCTCGTCACACAAACAACTAATTCAAAACAAAAACAAAACCAAATGGTATAAATGTCATATCATTATTCTAATCATATTTGAACTAGCTGAAGCCTATAAATACTTTACTACATATGCAGCACATATATTAATTCTTACACCTATACATCTTAAAAAACATGGAACCTCAGAAGTCATGACATATAATACAAATCATATCATTACCCTAATCCAAATGTCCCATCCCCCAGAAATCACGAAGGTCTGTTGAGGATATTATACATTTAATGAGTAATATACTGCATATTTATACTTACGGTAAGGGGTCATCGGCTAATGCCAGGAATGACATGGGTTGTTGATTTGGATCACAAGCTGGTGATCGGAATCGAATAGTTGCATTTGGTGATGTCAGTGTTACAACATTTACGCCTGCATCAACCTACCAATAAAAAGTTTACAAAATTTAAACAAGGCACATCTTTAATTAGATCACCAACCAACTTAGCAGTTGTCATCATGACATATCAAAAATAAAATTTACTTCATCTAACAAAATATTGCAAGAAATTCATAGAAATAGCAATTCTCCTGGTTTTATAGTGAAGTGGAACACCACCATGATAACAATCATTATCATAACACTAAAGATAGTGATTTACATCCACAATCCTGCCATCACCATGGTCGCAATATCTCACTAATGGTGCAATAAAAAAGATTTCCTAAAATCTATGTAAAGAAAATTTATTCTCAAAATGTTACCTTATATATACCAATTAAAATTTATGATGATAATACTGGAAAATAATTGTAAACCACATTTTCCTACACATTCAAAACCAACCCTAAATATCATAATAAAAACATCAACAATAGGCCTAATTGTAATAAATTCAAAAATACCACTATTTGGCAGATGTTATCAGATTCCTCATATGTTGCTACCATTTTGACGTAATATTCATCATTTGCAGGAGGAAGTATAGATCCTCTGGGTATAATACACCGCTTGTCATCTGAACCAGATTCAAATGCGAATTGTACGGCACTATAGTTGATGGTTTCCGAAGACAGTTCACAATCAAATACTATTTTTGTTCCATCACATGTGAAAATGGCTGAAGAGGAATTTGAACAAAAACATTTAGGTTGTAAAATTCTATGTAAATGAATACTTTCTTATGATCTCATTTAATATATATAATAAATACCAATTAAAAAGATACAGTTTTTGGTATCTTTTTTTGTTCTTAGCATAAGATTTCATCCTGTGTTTTAAATCAACCAATTAATCAAAATCAATTCTTCTTCTTGATTAAAAGTATCACATTTTTAAAAAAGGTTTCTTACCAAATGGACATGTGTTGTTACGTTTGCATGCAGAAGCTACCTTAACATGTAAATAAATAAACATTTTATTAAACTTGGCTGCTCAGTAAGCCTAATATGCATTGTATGGTATTGCATTTCCACATTGACATAATAATTTAGGTTACAAATACATGTTTAGAAAATTGATCCTATTGAACTACAATACAGATTTATGCAACAAAAATTTTTGTTCATGCATTATAATCTAAAATAAAAGATTTTCAAGATTACCTGGATCCCCACCAGAAGCAGCAAAATATATTTTCTCAGCAGCTCCATACTTCACAAAGGATTCTAAAGTTACCATAATTCAAATAATCAATAAATTAAAAGAAAATTGTGTTCACACCGAGTAAAGATTATCATTGAAAACTGATTTTCAGAACTTTTTGTTGCTTTGTTTAGTGGAATTTCTAATTCCAATGCAATATAATTATCAATATATATTTTATTTGATTCAGTAACTCTTACCTGATATTCCTTTGCAAAATACATTTACTGCCACAATCTTGTCGGCTTTATTGGATATTAATGTCACAAGAAGGATGTATGAAACTTTATTGAAAAACAATTAAATCATCAAACTGACTTTAATGCATAAGGATGCAAGATTCTTTAACATTGTGTTAATACAATGGGGATTTAGCTCAACCTTTTTAGAAAACATAAAAACACTGGGAAATTTAATATAAGAAAATAATGTGAATTTAAAAGTTCATATATATGTGTTAAAAGTTATTCAAACATGACTGTATTCACGCCTTCTATAAACTGTGAACAAGGTCAATGTTTCACTCGGGGCATATTCGAGATCAATGCCCTGGCTCTGTACTAAGTGTTTTGTTCAGTGCAAAAGCTCAACCGGAAGTAGAAATGAAAATCAACAATGGAGGACCCACGGTCCTGTGCTCACACAGTGTGGAACCTTCAGAGAAATGTATATCCGGACTTTCAAACAAAAATATTAATTTGAATTTGTAGTCTCAAACTTTGAGAAACTTAGATAGCACAGTTGTGTGACCTAGTTTGATGACCTTTGACCTTGAAAATTTTACTTATTCAGAGCTCAGTAAGGTCTTTTGTGATTAAGCTGACCAAAATTTACATCCAAAAATCAATTTGAAAAATCAACTTTTTTGACCTTTCGAAGGTCACTGAAGGTCAAGTAAAGTTCAAATCCTAAAACTAATGTCAGATTTGAACTCCTGACAACTTGTAGATGATTTTCCCAAAAAAATTTGGTCAAATTGAAGCAAGTTAAAAATAACTTATTTTTACTGTTTTTTTTATGTCAAATATCTCAAAAACTGTAAAAATTTGACGCTGACATATAGTGAGCAATATGTACGGAATGCTTTAATCTAGTAATGATGTAATTTATTGCAAGAAATGATCAAGTATAAGGTAAACTTTGAGCAACTTGTCGATCACAAAACCTGCCATTGACTTTATACATGAGAAAGTTTCCTGAAAATGACACGTCCTACTTTTTGTCAAATTTTATAGAGTAAACACCAAAAACTGCTTTGAAATCTTCAGAGGACATAAGTTGCATATATAGCAACTACTACAAGTTATTTGAAAGATCTACTTCAACAAAGTAGTAGTATTTACAGAAAATTTGACTTTTTAAAGTCAAAATCAGCAATTTCTCGGAAACCGGGCAAACTTGGGAAATGGCGATAATAGGTCAAATAGGCATTATGGATGTGCATAAAATGAATGTGGATATGACTCAATCTGAACAGCAGTTTTAATTTGTGCGGCCAATGTTGACGGACGGACGTACGACTCTCTTCGGTCATTCGGGGTTCAGAAAACGTTTGTGCCAAGCCCTGCAGGGTGTATTCGAAAATAGTAGCCCTGCTCTTCGTCTATATTTCTTAAATATGTATGTGTACATGTAAGTTTAACTTTATGCAATATAACAAGATGTAACTTAAACTAAATTATTCTTAGTACATGTATTTATATTTTCATGATTTCTTGTTCAAAGGAAAAACATAAATTATAAATATAAACCCAAACCAAGACAGATTCCTGACATATATTTTTAAATGTATTGACAAAAGGTAAAATGTAGAGACTACATGTAGAGAGGGAAGATTAGCTAATATACAAGGATGGTAATCCAGAATATTTTCTTCAATGCATATTTCAAGGCTTAAACTGCACTACACCATTTTATCTATACAGAAAGGTAAAATAAGTGATACCTTGCATAGGAGATTTCATAAAGTTAAATATGCTTTAATAAGGCACAGATAAAGTACCCTCCTCATCTCATAGTCTGGCATCATTAAACATTTTTAGACTTAAAGTCCATTTTAATCATATCCAGTAAGAGTCTATCAGTTCATTGTTTTGTCCATCTGATATTGATCTCTCACTATTCCTCTACAAGTAGTTTAGTCATATAAGGGCCTTCAAGTTCATAACCAAGTTTACTGTAGTAATTCCTAGTACCAACACCTGCAATTGAAATGGAGGTTTTTTCATTTGAATATTCCGACAAAAAATCTAAAGCATCATAAACAGGCAAATGTATTTTTACCTTACTTTGCAATGACTCATTTGCTGGAATTACACCATGTGCATTTTAGAAAGGTGCCTAAGGTTTTAACCCGGTTTGAAAAGTAGGTGTAATAACGATTGCGGTTTTACGAAAGCGCTTTTCCAAGACTTCTACGACCTTAGTCACTAAAAAATGCCTTAAATTGTTCGGCGCTTTTAGAGTGTAGTGTAATACCAGTCGGTTTTTGTAAAATGCCTTACTCGGGTTTTTACCATCCAAAACATGCAATAGGTCATCAACTTATATCGCAAAAATTGAATGTAAGTTCACATCACTGGCAAAAGTCTTGGTAACGTTTCTCTTAGATGCTAAAAGAATGCATTTATCGAAGATGTACACATCTGCTGGATAATCTCCATATCTACATAGTTAAAAGTGCATGAAAAGCATTTTAGAATTGACAGGTGTGATTCCAAAATAAAATTCCTAAGGCGCTTTAGAAATGTTGGTGTAATCAGGATGGCGATTTTGTAAAGCGCTTTTAGTGTTTTTTTTGGTGTAATTCCAGCAATCTAGAGTTTTTTAAAATTCCTATGGTTTTGGGGATTTGTGGAATTAAACTGTCTACTCTTATCTAATGCAAACCCCTAGCATACATTGGGAATAACCCAAACAACAGCCAAAAGTATGGTTTAATCTGACACTAACCACTACTATCCATTTATTCACATCAACCACTTTCCAACTCAGTAGATTATTAGAGAGTCTATTAATACATACACTTATGCTGCCATACTACATGTTATCTATAGCACTCACCTGAAATAACAGCAATTTTCCTGGAGCCATGCTCCTCCTGTGCTATTCTAGCTGCTTCTTCCATCAACAGTGTACCAAATCCCTGCAAATCAATCATTTTGTAATGTAAGCAAATTCCATTTCTATTGGGAACCAGGCAAATGTATTACTGTTGTCCATCAACAGTGTACCAAATCCCTGCAAATCAATTATTTTGTAATATAAGCAAATTCCATTTCTATTGGGAACCAGGCAAATGTACGAGGGTTGATCCAAAAGTTCCGAACCGTTTGCTCTAAAAATCGTAATACTTTATGAATATTGTTCATATTTGGCCACAACCAACCCATATATAGTAGTTTCATTTTGTGTAAAAATAAGCAATAAATTTGACCAGCAACATAGGTGTCTGGTTACCATAGCAACATGACAACAGGGTAGGTGGAGCAAGAGTACCACACGGTTATCCTAGTTTACTATCAATGGAGCTTATTATTAAAAGGTCAGTTACAAAACCTTATCACTCATTTATAAAGTTGTAAACTAGATTACTTTATTATCTATTTTGAGTCAATCAATTAGGTATGACACTTACTAAATTTAAAAATGTGTTCCATATACTGAAGAAAGATCATAAAGATGCTAGGGGAAAAAACGACCAGATATCCTTGGGAACTTTTACTTTCTCCGTGATAATGCCCAAGCCCACACAGCCAATGTTACAATAGAGGCTATACATGAGTGCTTGCAGGCCCAACTACAGCCCCATCCGCCATATTCTCCTGATATGGCACCAGGTGACTTTCATATGTTTCTTGAGGCCAAGAAACCACTGCATGGTATCCATTTCGATGACAAAGCTGACCTTATCCAGGCATTTACAAATAGCGTTTATGCTACAGCTAAAGGTGAACCTCACCATGTGTTTCAGGAGTTGTTGAAACGCTGTAAGAAATGTGTAGCACATGGTGGTGACTATTTTGAAGGTGAATGAACTTATAAACTATAATTACCTATTGTAGGAGATTTTATGGGGGTGAAACTCCACGAATTGAAGTGATCTGAAATAGCTCTTCAATTGCTGTAATTCGGAATAAAGTTAAATTTATTCTAACTCCACCTACCCTGTTGTCATGTTGCTATGGTAACCAGACACCTATGTTGCTGGTCAGATTTATTGTTTATTTTTACACAAAATGAAACTACTATGTATGGGGTGGTTGTGGCCAAATATGAACAATATTCATAAAATATTAAGATTTTTAGAGCAAACGGTTCGGAACTTTTGGATCAACCCTCGTATTACTGTTGTCCTAAAGCATAATTAATGGCATACTGACAAAAATGTAAGAGATCGCACTTTTATTCACTAAAAGTTGCTTCTTTTTAAAAATGGAATGTAATATTCTTTTATCCATTCCCTTAAATGTGATTGACAATGTTTGTGTGTGTACACATCAGGATAAATAGAAAACAGCTCCCCGTACAAATCCCCGAAGTAGCAAATCCAGCCCAACAAATACTGAACATATTTCATCAAATTATTTGTAATTTTAAATACTAAATGATAGGCCTATATGATGAGAAGAAATAACCATGCAATAGAATGAAAAATATAAGCAATTTCAATTTTAGCGACAATTTTGAAAAAATTTTCTTGACTAGAAGTCTGCAAGGCATCATCGTATAGAATTTGAACTTAATCTGTTGAATGGCATTTGAAGAATGAGTATTACTGCTTCAATAAATAATTAAAAACTTCAATTCAGTCCAAGCAACTTGTATATACCTGATGTTGGAACTTAGTTGGATCTCTAGCATGAACAGGTACTGCAGTACCATAAACATGCAACTCCCTCACAACAGAGCAGCTTCCCTTCAGCTCTGGCCTGAATACCTCTCCAGTACACTTTCTCAGTCTCAGCAGACCAATCAGGATGTCTTGCTCAGGGTCCTCATATGATAGGAAAGTCTCCCAACCTCCATTGGCCACATAGTCTCTGCGTATCAATTCGGCCTAGAAATATGTAGAAGATACATTGCACATAAAACACCATATGATAGGATACTATCCTCCAATAGCTTCAAGATGTGTATAAACTCAGAAACACATAAAAGAGTTAAATAAGTTTTGAAGATGCTGCAGACTCTAAAATATTATTTGAAATTAAAGGAACAAAATGCGTAAATGAAGTATCACTTTTGATCTTCATACTATTTTCAATGGATTAATAAGTACCATATCTTTCATTTGACACCAAAAACAGCTAGATCATGAAAAATATTTTCGATCCATCAATTTATATATTTGAAGTTTTTAGCAATGCCATTGAAAGATGGCATTGTTGTTTGCATTAATTGTTCATTTTTGATAGGATTTTCAACCAAACGCCATCTTTTAATCCAAGAGTTATTTAAAACACACTCTGTGAAAAGTGGTACTTCACTTGTCTCTGAACTTCAAATGCTGTTTTCTATGCAGGTAATTTTTTTCACTTCAGCATTGACCCAAATTAAAGTTTTAATCATATTTGATTGAGTGTGTGAGTAGCATGTCTCAAATAATATTTTGTCCATTTTCCTTCAAAAATAGGCACATTGCCTGTTTAATGTAAAACAACCATCTATTTTGCTGCTTTTAGTTCAGATAAAACTAATTGTCCAATATATTCCAAGAAATAAACATACCTCATATGGTTTCACTTTGTTATGTATTTCCTGTATTCCGACCTCTCTTGTTCTTACATCTCTACATTGAGTGCCCAGATCTTTCATCCTGGCCAAAGCCAATTCCCGCAGATTACCATACTCTACACCAGAAGATACTAGAGGCATGGGGATATCCCTTTAGAATAGAGGTATAATAGAATATCAACTTGACAAGGATGGGTCTCAAAATACTTTTAACTTAGGGGCCATTTTTTCTTATAAAGAAACATAATTAAAAATACTAACTCTCTAATCTGTATTATTAGTTTGTAAAAGAGCCATCCATATAATGTCTCAAATATTTTACTGACTATATTGAAAATTATAGACTGATGCCTATAAGGCTATTTGAGTTACTGAGTCACTGGTCAATTGAACTTTGTCTTTCAATCTTAAATTCATGTTTCTAAGGTTTAGCAAAAGTTTTTGTATTACCTCTGTACCCTGTAAATTCGAGTCCAAGGGGGAACTAATGCCAGTATACGGGCAACCAGGTCCACCAATACACTGGGTGGGTAGCTCTTATATCTGCCAGTCTTCCACAATTCATATAAACCTGTAATAATTAATAGCTGGAGATGTAAACTTGACTTCATGATCAATATATTCATGTTTCAAACATGGGGTGAAAATGAGAGCAATATAGGTTTACACTAATCAGATTAAGGTCATTTAAAGGTCAAGGTCACAACAAGAGTAAGTAAGGAAACTTATGTATGATTCATTTCTACAGAGTCATTCATAGAAAGTTGCTGTACTTTTAAGATTACAATTGAAATATGTCAATTTATATTTAAAAAATTCACAATTGGATCAGTCCGCAATATTGCATAAAGGCTTAAAGTCACAAGATAACATATGGTAGTAGTCAATGACAATTAATTATTCAATGAATTATTCTGAGTTTCCATATACATTTAGAAGAAGAGGCTTAAATGGTAATGTGCTTGGTACACAAAAAGTACATCCAATTGTTACTGTAAACCTTATTTATGTGGCATCCCCTCAAAATATCATACAAGTGTTCAATTCAATAAGATGTTCTTACCTGTTCCCCTTATTACCAGAGTAGGGTAGATTTTTAAGCCATCAGCACGAAATGCAGGATTTTCAAAAAATTCCTAAAATCAAATTAACTATTTTCAGGAGGGTACATACATGTACACATTGAGTGTGTTATCATATTAAATTGTATTACAGTCTATAAAAATATGATTAAGAATTCCAATATTAAGTTTCATCTGAGATTGTTTGATTCATTTTTGGAAGGATGTACCCATGCACTCATCACTTACTATGAATTGTTCTATGTCCCTTTCAAGATCAACATTAGGAAGATCAGGCATCATGTGGGAGACAACCTTGAAGCCTGCATCCTTGGACATTGTGAATGATTCAGTTACTGCCTTTACTGTATGACCCCTACAAGCAATAAGATATAAATATGGAAATCATTAGGGAGATCAGGCATCATGTGGGAGTCATTGACCTTGAAGCCTGCGTCCTTGGACATAGTGAATGATTCAGTTACTGCCTTTACTGTATGACCCCTACAAGCAAGAACATATAAATATGGAAATCATTAGGGAGATCAGGCATCATGTGGGAGACAACCTTGAAGCCTGCGTCCTTGGACATAGTGAATGATTCAGTGACTGCCTTTACTGTATGACCCCTACAAGCAATAAGATATAAATATGGGAATCATTAGGGAGATCAGACATCATGTGGGAGACAAACTTGAAGCCTGCGTCCTTGGACATAGTGAATGATTCAGTGACTGCCTTTACTGTATGACCCCTACAAGCAAGAAGATATAAATATGGGAATCATTAGGGAGATCAGGCATCATGTGGGAGTCAACCTTGAAGCCTGCGTCCTTGGACATAGTGAATGATTCAGTGACTGCCTTTACTGTATGACCCCTACAAGCAAGAAGATATAAATATGGGAATCATTAGGGAGATCAGGCATCATGTGGGAGTCAACCTTGAAGCCTGCGTCCTTGGACATAGTGAATGATTCAGTGACTGCCTTTACTGTATGACCCCTACAAGCAAGAACATATAAATATGGAAATCATTAGGGAGATCAGACATCATGTGGGAGACAAACTTGAAGCCTGCGTCCTTGGACATAGTGAATGATTCAGTGACTGCCTTTACTGTATGACCCCTACAAGCAAGAAGATATAAATATGGGAATCATTAGGGAGATCAGGCATCATGTGGGAGACAACCTTGAAGCCTGCGTCCTTGGACATAGTGAATGATTCAGTGACTGCCTTTACTGTATGACCCCTACAAGCAAGAAGATATAAATATGGGAATCATTAGGGAGATCAGGCATCATGTGGGAGTCAACCTTGAAGCCTGTGTCCTTGGACATAGTGAATGATTCAGTGACTGCCTTTACTGTATGACCCCTACAAGCAAGAAGATATAAATATGGGAATCATTAGGGAGATCAGACATCATGTGGGAGTCAACCTTGAAGCCTGTGTCCTTGGACATAGTGAATGATTCAGTGACTGCCTTCACTGTATGACCCCTACAAGCAATAAGATAGAATAATGTGGATATTTAGGAAGATCAATCAGCATAAGGGAGACGGCCATGAAGCATACATCCAAATGGCTGCAGTGAATTATTCAGTTTCTGAAGATGATCTTAAAGCCATAAGGTTTTATCCAAAGGAGTTTACCAACATAGAGGAACTGGTCTTGAAGTACAGTTAACTTTTATTTAGATACTTATGCATCACTCAACCAAAGTGTAGTGCAAGGTTCGTCCAAAATGTCTTGAAACTTTTGCTCTAATTCCGACCAAACATATTTGTTTATGTCATTACCTGTTTGTATCTCTGGCTATATCCTCATAAACACTCTGTACACCAATCTCCAGCCTGGTGCAACCATACTTCAACATATCACTAAGATGCTTCTTCAAACAATAGTCAGGTCTTGTTTCTATGGTGATCCCTATACACTTACTACAGCTCTTCTCTGAATACCTTAAATATAGATGGTGCCACGTTTGAATTAGATCTGAATGAATTTCTCAAAAAAAATAGCATTGATTCATACTTCATATTTATCTTACATGGAATACCAAAGTTGAAGCTCCAAATTCTAAAAACAGCTGCATGTTTTTCATTTGGGAACCATTTTTCATTTATTTTAACAACATTAGTATTTCTACAATATTTAAACAAAATTAACATTTATATTCCAATCATACATGAGTTTCTTTATGGGCTGACCCAACATTTTAATTAAAATTAAGAGAATAACTAACTTGACTGCTTCTTCTACATTGTTGCTGGTATGTCCTGATAATGCGTCATGGAGATTGCGGATAAAGTAGTCTCGGTAGCTCTCATCGAGTGACATAAAGGTACCCCCCATTACTATAAACTCCACTTTATCAACACTGTGCCCCAGAGATTTCAACTGTAATATAAAACAATACAATCTTTGAGAAAAATGTATGTATATTAAGTACAAGTATATTTAAAAAGTAACCTATGTTCATGAACATTTTTTTTAACATATGGACCAACACTAAATCAATGATAAAAGTATGTCTGGTAAAACGTATGAATGTGAAAATATCTCAATACTAAATACATGCATAGTTTATAAAATTTTTCAGTTCTATTTTCATATATACCCCATTGACTCCCAGATTCTCGAAAACAAACAGCGCCTTAGAGTGTTCCCTTGGAATGACATCATTTAACCTCTAACGTTAAGGAAGTTATTCACTTTGGCAAAAGATGGACTCATGCAACAGCATTGGAATAATGATTGTTCAGTTTAATAGGGACTATCATTGTATTTTCTTACATTACACTTTGGAAATAAGTTTCAAATGTATCCAGGAATAGTTTTCTTATGCATTTTTCTTATGTATGTAAAAAGAGTATGGTATGCTTTTTCAAAGAGCAATCGTAAAAATTGAGGTAAGTGACCTTTATGTTCTACTGAACCCTTTAAAGTCGAATGCTATAACATCTGTCTCACATTAACAATCTGTCAATTAAACAGGCAATGCGCCTATTTTTGAAGGAAAAAGGACAAAATAGTATTTGAGACATGTCACTCACACAGTCAATCAAATATGATGAAAACTTTAATTTGGGATAATACTGAAGTGAAAAAAAAATTATTCGCATAGAAAACTGCATTTGAAGTTCAGAGATTGAAAAAGGTGAATTACCACTTTTCACAAAATGTATGTTTTAAATAACTCTTGGATTAAAAGATGGCGTATGCTTGAAAATCCTATCAAAAGTGAATGGATAATCAATGCAAACAACAATGCCATCTTTCTATGGCATTGCTAAAAACTTGACACATATAAATTGATAGATCAAAAATATTTTTTCATGATCTAATGTCAAGTCTGATGTGGTCTGTTTGAGCTATTCTTGGTGTCAAATGAAAGATCAGGTACTTATTTATCAATTGGAAATACTATGAAGTGAGACTTCATTTCAGCACTTTGTCCCTTTAATTAATACTTTAAGAATATCATCTTAACAATATCATTATATGCATCATCTGCCAAATATAGAACCATTATAGTTGGATAAACCATAAATAGTAATATACCATCCTTTTACCCATCAGCCACAATGAAAGCACATTTCTTTGCCTACCTCGTGCCTGGCTATGGCAATGGTCTTTCAACCAAATATGAATCAAATTGAACCATTAGTATTTGAGTAATTGCCTGGTTGGGCTGACTAAAGAGCAATAGATGCAGGAAATTCCTATTTCCCTATCACACTTTATTCTTTGTGAATGGCACAAGCCATGAATAAGTACAATAAGCTGTTAGTACATATAAACAGATCAGTGGCCGATCTGGGGGAAAAGAGGGCCCAATGACCATTTTCAATATAAATTTAGTCTTAATGGTTAAAAATGCAGATCTACTAAAGTATCGTAAAAACTTCAAAGCTTCAAAGATTTCAAAGCTATATAGAAAAAAGGACCACTGGGCCTCCAATAATTGGACCATTTATGGGCATTGATAGGCCTTCTTGTGCCTATTTTTAACTTTTGGCCAAATTGTCAAGAAAATGGACCTTAAATATTCAAATTCACCCCTGATAAACTACCATTTTAGCTACCAATATGAAACAATTTCAGGTCCAATAATATTCATTACACTCCCTCCCACCAAATATGGAAAAAACAGTCTGTTGGTATTCAAATACACTGTATATGCCAGTATAAACTCCAAATATATTAAAGCACAGACTGACAGACAAAGGGCTCCACTATATCTCAGCCAATATATTTGTTTGGATAATCACTATTGATTTCCAATGAATAATGTTCAGTTCATTTCATATTCAGTATATACTAATATAAGCTAAATGTCACTGAATTGGTTAATATTAATATAACCTAGACATAACCTGCTATAATAGATAATAGCGGAGTATTTTAAATTATTATCAATCTTACTCTCAGGTTAAAGATAACTGAGCATATACAATCAGAATTACCAGCTGTGTTAGCTATTCTACTGTGTAATAATATTTCTATAACATCACCTTACAGGGCTTAACAGTACTTTGCAGATCAGTAAAGTACATTAACAGATTGAGCAATATACTTGGGTATAGGAATATGATGTATTGGTGGAAGTACACAGCTTGATGCACACATATATTCATATACGTATAGCCTGATTATCAGGCACACTACAAAAGAGTATGTTCTTAATTAACAAGTCAGTGAGAAGTTCACATTGACATTAACACAGACAAATGGTGTGATCAGTTTTTAAACATCATGGAGACTGAATACAAAGACACAGACAATGCAAGTGAGGAAGACATGCAGGAAAGACAGATCATCAAGGACAATAAGAAGACAGATGGGGATGCCCCTGATGGAGGTTGGGGGTGGGTTATTGTTGCTGCCTGCTGGGGAATAAACTGTTTGGTAGGGGGGCTCAGCAAGGCATTTGGTGTTATCTACCTAGAAATGCTGAGGAGATTTCATCAAGGTGCAGCCACTACAGCTTGGATTGGAGGTCTAATGATAGCCTTCAGGATGGGCCTGGGTAAAGTCTAGTTTCTGTATTATATATTTTTCAGAGCACAGTAGGTCATGGATTTAGCTTGCTGCTTGAAAACGCTTATTAATGTAACATGTAAAATTACCTGAAAATGTTCACAGATCACATGTCATACTTATCTTGAATACTTATTTATACTTGAATAATTTTACCTGGAAAAAGGTGGAGGGGGGGGGCAGCATTCAGATTTATCAGATTAAGCTTTTGAGTATATTCCAAGGGATTGTAGATCCCACAATGCAATGGGGGGGGGGGCAGAGATTAAAGGTTTATATTTACACAATTAATGATTGTAGGTGGTAGATTAACAGTTGTTATGAATAACAATATTACAATGGTGTATTGCTATATACAAGTGTAACTTTGGCACCGTAACTTTGACTGTTTGAATTGATTTTCCAGACTTCCATACTACAATTATTTACAGTTTTAAGACAGTCCTATTCAACAGTTTTGCTTTATCATAATGACACCTGACACCATGAGCTTTCTAGAGAAGCTATTCTATTCTACAACTTAGGTCGTCAAAGGACATGTTACACTGATAAAAATGATTTGACTATTCTCACAAACATGAACTCAATAATAAAGTTTTCAATCCAGATGAGTACACCGAGATCTTCTCAAGATTGAAGTTAAGAACAGTTTATTAATGGCTTCTATAACAGGACATATTATTAGGTCACCCTGTAAATAGAATTGATCCCTGATCTCTCTTGTATTTTAAGTAGCATCCCATTGTTTAAATTGACACTTGTAAGTTTTGTAATTTATCAGAGATCAGCTGATAGACGCCTGACTGAAAGATTGATGGCAGAACCAGTATGTGCATATCATGTTGTACTTTGGCATTCTCATTCCCCAAGGCATTGTCAAACTGCGAGTTTAAGGTTAAAAACTGATCGGTTCTAGATTTAATCATGTGAACTGAATCATTCTTCAAAAAGGTGTTATTCAATCTTTGCACGAGATACGCAGCATCGAGTGTGAAATTTAGGATTTTTCAAAACAGCTGCATTGAAATTTACCGAGCACCTCCAAAATCAAATTATTTTCCTACCATAAAGCAATCAAGAAAATTGGAAATCATCCCTTATGGAAAATAATTGCTGCGGCAGCGCTGTGACAGCACTGTCACAGCGCTGCGACGGCATATAGGCTTAAAATGGTGGCTGGATCAATTTCAGCAACGATGCTCTTTCAGCCATGCGCTGTGAGAACGCTTTGAGAGCGCTGTCACAGCATTCTATTTCCATCCATCGCTGTGAGAGCGATGTGAGAGCAATTTCAGTGGCTGGATCAATTTTAGCAACATGCTCAATCTGTGACAGCGCTCTGGCAGCACTCTCACAGCAGGAAGTAAAATCAGTTAGGGCAGGAAGTTTGTAGGGGGAAAACAAGAAAGGAATTATGCTGAAATGGCCATCATAGCATTACTAATTTATAAAGCACATGTAAGGTATTGCACTACTGATTATTTAGAGATAACTTTGGAATGTTCTACTGATCTAGAAAACAGGGTCAAATGATATAAACTTAGTGTAAGTCAATACTGGTTAAACTATATTCCATCAAATAATTTAGATGAAAACAAATTATCACCACCTTGCAAGGCCTTTTCTCAAGATATAAGTACCAGTTTAGAAGGGTTATATTTTTAGAGGTTATGTCACTATGACGTGAAATATGCCTGAGTTCTCCCAATAAAGGCCGACCTTGGGAGGCTCTATATTTGGGCAAGAACGAAGGCATATTTCACGTCATAGTGACATAACTGATGTATTACATGCCTTTGTTCCCATGGTTACTTTGTATCAATGACGTGACGTCATGATATTATCATGGTTATTAAAGAAATCTAATATCAAAACGAGGTAAGCGGGCTATATCGGGGTAATCGGGCAATATCGGTGGATATAGCTCGCTAACTTTCCCATTGACTTCCATACAAATGCTTCGCTAGGTATGTAATACTGCTATATATGTGACACCATAGTGCTGGGCCACAATAGTACAATAACGTCAATTCGAAGGGCAATATAGTGAAATATTGGACCGAGGGCCAAAGGCCAACAGAAATGATATTATTAGTATTACTACCACCGTTAACGACCAGGACTGAAACAGCAAGAAAAGCTTACGCATTGAACGATATCTAGTTTCCCGGGGGAAATTGCCGGTCGTTAAATGCATTCTCGACCGGTCTGAAATGCATTCTTGACCACCACTATGACGTCACATATTGCTCAGGTCGATATAGTAAAATGAACGCCTTCTAAACTAGCACTGAAACCCCTAGAATTGCCCAAATGCGAGTAGGTAGTTACCAGTTTCACCACCAGGTGGCTGATTCGGGTCAATTAACATGGCAGGTATATAAGAAAGTTCCCTTAAACTTGAATTTTATCAATTTAAGTGGCTCAATTTTAATATAACCCTTATGTGTCTGATACTTATACTAATGAAAATATGTCCAGTAAAGCAAAATATTATCTGTCCACTAAAAGAAAAGATATTTCATTTTTTGTGATTTTATACTAGGGGTCTATGGGGAATCTCCCCGAGCTAGAAGTCACATTTTCTAAGAAAATTAATTTTTCAAAGTTGATAAGCACTTTTTAAAACCACATTTCTAGATGTAATTTTACATGTAGATTTCAAATATGATATTACTTTGACTGAATTTTTAATGACGTAAATCAAGATTATTTCTACTCGCATCTGGGTTATTGGCCCGGCAAGGTGGTAATAATGGTTATTTCTGCCCTGGTCCTGTGGTCTTAGTTTTCAATATGTGGTAATAATACTAATTACCTCATTTGAGCGGCTAACATAGTGAAATTCTACGAAACTCCCACATGGCACATAACCATCAAACTGATCACAATATAACACAAAAGGGTGTGATAATAATAATCCTTGCATCATTTCCTAAAAATGTGGTCATCAGAATATTTATTTTATTACATTCCTCAGATGTATTCTGTAAGAAGTAACAAAGATCATTCATTTTCAACAAATACTGTATAACATACTCAAGTCTAATTTTGGGCTGACCTCTTTTAAGGACATTAGTCTTTAAGCTACTAAATAGAAGACAATATAATGTAACTAGGAAACAGCAACTCCATATGGAGTAGCAAATCCCAACGAACAAAACATATTTTTTTTTTTTTTTTTTTTTTTTTTTTATAATTTTTTTGTTTCAAAGAATAAGCATGTTAAAGCAATTGCAAAAAACAATTACAGTACAGTTACATGGTAAACCTACATTTAACAATTTTACAATACAGTACAGTGGTTAAATATTTCGTCTTAAGAGACGTTATGGAAACAAAATTAAACAAATGAAACTGATGATTTTTTCCTTTAAATAAATAAAAAAATGCCAAAACATATTTTGATTAATACTGTAGATTGGGTTAAGTTGGCGCTACTTAATTTGGCGATTTTGCCATTTTTGGCATATTGGCGGCTATTTAATTTGGCGGATATGCAAAAAAATTTTAATTAACTTACTTTGCGAATTACCATGTAAATGGGCATGTTTGGCTATGTTCATTTTTTCTTTTGAGGACCACTGGCGATATTCACCACGTTTGTACATTTTTGTGAAATCATCCTTTACATTTTGCACCTCGATCGATGCTGCTACAATACCGCGCTTTTCCTTTTTATTTTTCCCTGAGTATTAATGAGTGACTGACCAGTTCTGAGCCAATTTATGAGAGACATTTTTTCATATTTTTGGAAAAAACTAAACCGGACGTGACCTAAATACATTGGACGAAATACCCTAGATAATTCCCGGGGATTCACTCTAAATTTTGGCGAAGATTTATATTGGCGAATTTTTCAATTTAGCCAAATTCGCCAAATTAAAGCGGGCGCCAAATTAACCCAATCTACAGTAGCACACATCTTGAAAATTTCTTCTTGATCAGAGCGCCATTGTCCCTATGTATCAGCATAAAAAATTTGAACAAAATCTGTCCACTGGTATTTGAGTTAGCAAAGATCAAGCTTTTTACGAAAAAAATAGAAATTCAGCTGTCATCTTGAAAATTTCTTCTCAAGCAATGTTCCTAGGCATTAGCATATAAAAGTTGAACCAAATCCCTCCACTGGTATTACAATTATCAAATATTATTTTTTACGAGAAATTGCAGCCATTTTGAATTTCAGCTGCCATATTGAAAATTCCTTTGTCCCTATATGTCAACATATAAAATCTGAACCAAATCCATCAACTGATATTCTTCTATTCTATTCTCCCTTGAACTTTGTTCGATGGGATAAAAAGTATTGATGGATCAGATGGTGTTATTATTAGTGCTTTTTTCTTCCCTGCTAGCAAAGAGTTAAGATTTTTGAGGTAGACGGTCCACCTATTGTCCAAACATGGACAACAAAATATGCAGGTAGTTCTATTTGGTTGAATAATTTGTGGCTTTTGTGTTTTTCAGGATTTGTTGGAACATCTCTGAGCCATCACTTCACAACAAGGAGTATGATTATGTTTGGGGGAGCAATGATGGGAATTGGAGTGATCACCACTGCATTTGCTCAAAATATTGGCCATGCTTATCTCACTCTTGGTATAATTACTGGTATGTATGATTATGTTGTGTACATATGAATCATGTAAGACCTAGTTTAGACACCAACATCTCCAAGCTGGATCAAGATACCTACAGGTCAGAAAAAGACTGATATCTTGTACAAAAGAACTTGCCATAAAAATTGAAGAATAAAAGAATATTGAAGTACTAATAAAATGCCAGGATCACGCTGTTGAAAGGTGAAAATAACTAACTACAGTAATATATTTTACACATACTTGTACTTGCAGGTATTGGGGGAGGACTGTTATATGCACCAAGCCTTGCTAGCGTAAATGAATATTTTGATTTGAAACGTGGAAAAGCTAATGGTATAGCAACATCTGGTTCTGGGTGTGGAAGTTTTCTTTTTCCTCCTTTACTTGGAGTGCTGTTTGGAACCTATGGCTATTTTGGTGCTATATTGATCCTGGGTGCTTTTTTATTGAATGCTTGTGTTCTTGGTGCCCTATTTCGACCACTTAAAAGACAACTTAAAGAGGTAGTGCTAGTAGAAAAGAAGAAAAAACATGATGTACATGAGCCTGTTGTTGGTGAACTCTATGATGTTTCCCCTTGTATTAACATTGACAAGCATGAAGCACAAGAGGAGGAAACCAAAATGCTTCCAAGTACATCTAATCCATCTGTTCTTAACAGAGTGAATTACCAACATGATATAATAATGATAACTTCCAAAGAAGATGGACTTGGTAATAAGCCACAAAGCTGTTGCAGTAATAAACCCAGAACATTTCTAAACAATTGTTTTTGGAAAATTAAGAATTTCAAAATCATACACAATTGGAGTTTTATAATTTATGGTATTGTCACATTATTAAACAGTATTGGTTACGATACGTCACTGATGTTCATTCCAGCTTTGGGCAAAGAACGTAATGTATCTGAACTGAAGGCGGCATTCCTTATATCAGCAGTAGGTATTTGTGACACAGTTGGGCGTGTCAGCTCTGGAATATTGTTTGATGTACCTGGAGTTAAACGCTTCAGACAGAGAATTTACTGTCTTTCTATGCTACTGTCTGGTATCTTAGCAATACTCTGGCCAATTTGTACAGAATACACACAATTGTTGGTATTTTCAACACTATTTGGGCTGATAACAAGTCCTATCAACAGCCAAAGAATGACAATAGCAGGAGATCTAGTTCCTAAAGAGGATTTGTACCATGCAGTCGGGTTAACAGCCTTCTTCCAAGGAGTTGGAATAATGTTGGGTCCATTGTTGGGAGGTTAGTATATAATGAATAGAGCAGTATATCATATGTACAGTTATGCCAAAGACTCAACAGAGCTCACTTAGAGGGTTTTCACTGTGCTGATTTATATGTTTTTAAATTACATATTACATAAAATATCAATTTTTTGGCCCATGAAATGTAAGTAAATTAGCATTTCAAATTTCTATAGAGGGGAATGAGATCCTGAGAATGAGAAGAGGTTAAATTATACAGAAAAAGCTTTGTTTTTCCTATTGACATTTCTAGTACAATCTTTGTAGTTCTTTCTAACTGCTGCTTTAATGCTTATTGTTTCAGGAGTGTTAAAGGACGCGCTTGGATCATATAACTACGCATTCTACCTACAAGGTGTGGCATTTATATTAGGCTCAGTGCTACTCATTTTGACTGTTTGCAATAATCAAGAAAGGAGGACTTGGTGCTGTGAAAGAAAATAATTAGAAGCATTCACCTTTTGCCCAGTTGACTTTCTTCTAACATATCATCAGTAACTCACACAGAATTATCTAATTTTGTCTAATGACATGTGGCAATTGTGGCAATGTTTACAGGAGCAGATGGATTTAAAAAAAATTGATTTTTTAAATATTTTACCTCGAATACTCAGTATGCTGTGGACAGTATAATACTTATCACAGAAGTGTACTTAAAATAAATTGAAATGTTAAAACTAACTTAAAGTACATGTATTTTATATTACATTATTAATTTAATGTAAAAAACATAAACAATGATTGGCAATAGATAAATATATTTAGTCACAATTAACTAGTTTATATTGGTCTTAGATATAGGTGTGTGCATGCAGCTCAAACACTGAACACATGAGGCACCATCTATAAAATCGATACATCATCCACAGTGTATTATTTCTATTCTATTCATCTGAGATCTTACACAAGGAAACAATATCCAAATTTTTGATAAAGTACTAATCAATTGACCTCCTATATACTATTCAATGTGTTTAATTGACCACACACAATTTTTACAGTTTTTCAAATTAAAAGGCTCACTCCACACTTAAGAAGAAACGGAACAAAAATTCATGGAAAATGTCTCTCACACAGTCATTTAATATTATGCAGAGCTTCTTTTGTGCAAATATTAGGCTGTGAAGAAAATTAGCCACTTCATAGATTGGTATCAGCATGTGCACTGTTTTCACTCAAGTGTTTTTTAAAATTGGCCTGTTTGGGCTCTCCTTGGTGTCAAATGAAAGTTTGAGTACTTATCAATCTATGGGAAATACAAGAGGGATGAAAAATGAAACTTTACTGAAAAGTACCGAGTCACTTTATCAAAGTCACATGATTAAGCATTCAATCCTATTATCATACAAGGCATTAGCATGCAAAATGTCACCACCTGCCATTTGTTACAGACGCTGACTGCCAAACACTGTCCACAAAAAAGTTGGAGACTATGACAATATGCCATCACTTCTGATGGTGACATAAAAAACATATTAAATGACAAGTAATACACCACTCTGTTCACACCAGATATGTATCTCCATATATTTTTATACCAAGAAACAACAGACAAGAGAAGTAAGATGGCATTCCCTTAGCACCCAATGCAATACAAAGTTGTTCAGAAATGACTTACCTGTTCAACACGATGCCTGGTCTGTAGGTATGGGTTGTACCTTGCTCTAATAGCTCTCATTGAGGTAGGCTACAAGACAAACAACATACATACAACTATAGATGTTGTTACTATAGTTTTCTGGTATAATGTCTCTTAGATGCAAAATAGGGGATCGGGAATGTGATACGTTTTCCCCAATCTATAAAACTACTTGTGTAAAATCTAAAGGAATCAATTTCGAGGCAATGTAGACTAATGTGTTTATATGAGGAGTAAAACATGTAAAACCAACCGCCTGGCTGAGAACTTAAAAGGACTTGTATTTTGTTTACAAGCTATGACAGTGAGCGTTAGCTCTTGAGGATATCGCCATATTCAAAGATGTGCACTTCTATACATTTTCAATATGAACAATTGCTATATTTAACCTGGCGAGAACCATGAACAGTTCAAGACAGTTCCTTTTATCATGTTGGAAACACTCTGGTACTGTCTACACAAGACAATATATTAGCACAAGCACAATCAACCACAGCTAGTGGTACTGTCTACACAAGACAATATATTAGCACAAGCACAATCAACCACAGCTAGTGGTACTGTCTACACAAGACAATATATTAGCACAAGCACAATCAACCACAGCTAGTGGTACTGTCTACACAAGACAATATATTAGCACAAGCACAATCAACCACAGCTAGTGGTACTGTCTACACAAGACAATATATTAGCACAAGCACAATCAACCACAAGTAGTGCTGGAACGTGGAATTGAACCCATGTCTAGTAAAAGTATGTATGCTCACCTCATAACCAGTATAGGACTGAGTGGAGTATTCAAAGTCAGAGTCTGGGCCTCCAGGACAATATCTGCAAGCCAGATACATTATGATTCATGAATCTATCAATGTACATTTTCAATCAATAATTCATATGTATGATGAAATGGGATGGGATTTATATTTGTCAACATTTTGCTTTAAAATCAAAACTGTATACAATTCATTCATTATATTATTTCATAATGAGGTAAAACTAGAAAAACAACAATGTCATTGAGAACAAGCAATGCTAAATAAACAAAATTAGTTTTATTACTTTCAAGCATCATGGGGGATATTTTCGACCATTTATGAAGCAGCAGCATTTAAAAAAGTTTTTTTGGCCCAGACAGATGCTCATATCATAGACAAGTTTTGACATGGTTAGAGGAATCAAAGTCTTAATTATTCATTTATATGTGAAGGAAAGTCAAATGTGGGCTGGTTAATGTCCGGGTTAATGTCACAGACCTGATATATATATTCATTGTTATACTTACACACAAATGTTTCCTGTCATGGCAATATGTGGACATCTATGAGGTTTGCACATGACTGCTACAACTGCAATCTGAAAGACAATTAAAAGAACATATCAATCAGCTGGCCCAAAACAATGGGACAATGTGAGGAAACTACTGTATCCTCAACATGAGTAAAGGCATTGTGTGAAAAGCATTCTACTCTAACAGGAGCATTCTGAGGAACACATAATACCCTGTATACGAGGTGCTGTTTAGAGAAATATTTTAAGGAATCTGCACATTTTCAAGTAATCACAGTAAGGGGAGACTGTAGGATCGAGCTGGAGTTCAATGAAAAAAATTACCTTAAAGGGTTCCGATTAGCATCCCGTATAAAAACAATATGGCGGCTCCAGGCGAATCAACTGGATCAGTCCATTTTTAAGAAATAGGGGGAGTTCTGTAAAATCCAGTTTATTGAAATTGTCTTTGAGATAAAGTAATCCGTTTATAATGATTTTGAGAACGTTATCCAAAGAGTGATTGCGTTCAAAGAATACAAGTACAACAGCCAATATAAATCCTTGTATTAGAAACCGATTTGTCTTGCTTTGTTTCATTTGTAGGATATTTCATATGCCAAGCTGTGTGCTATTACGTTATGGGGAAATTTAGATGCCAATTTTTCCTTATTGTACACAAATAGAAGATCCTGAAACTTCACCCATAAATGTGGAATTGATTTGTCAAAATAAAAATCACCCTTTTATAAATGTGTGACGATCTATAATATACTTATGCTATATAACAGTTTATACTAAACGGTGAGCAACACCAGAAACGAGCGTTCGATTTGCTAAACGATATGCGTCACCCTTTAACAGCTATTTGTGTGTGACCCATGCAGATAATCAAGACTGTATGGGTTTTATCTGTTTTTTATTTCAAGCATTATCTATTTTTTATTTCAAGCATTAATGATAGCATGGGCACATCCATTATAAGTTAGAAAATGATTGGACTCTTACCCCACTGGCAGTTCTGACAGGCTTGGCTTTAAGCTTGGGCAGTAATATCTGGAAGATAACCAATATGGTTACAGTTTTTTACAAATACATTCTAAATTGAGATTTACTTTGACCAGCTCAAAGTGTTCACATTGAGATCAAATGTGACTTTTCAATACCTTTATATATTGAGTCTTATTTAGAAGAATTTATTTTATCTACAAAAAGTCAATAATAACAGATATCATACATTTGTAATGGTTTTACCTTTTTATATTGCTGAGGTACTCCTGCAATGATATCTACCAGTCTTGGCTGTGACGTCAACCCATATTTACTGGACACTTTGCTTTTTATTCTAAAATCAAAATCAAAACACATTTCATGATAACGGTATAAAATGCTGTTAAAAAATATATAAAGAAGTACTAGTAATTATATACTAAAGAATCCAAGCCCAGGACTCAGTGAATTGTTTTTTGTTTTTTTTCATTTCTCATTTATTCCAAATATAACATAAAATACATTATAATATTATTGCCTACGTTTTTCAACATTGTCGGCAATATACAAAACATATAAAAATGGAAACAATGAAAATACAATAGATAAGGTACATAATATTAATGGCAGGGAATGTTAGAGGCTTTCAGGGGGGGGGGGGTTAATCTAAAATATCAAGAGCCTGGCAGATGTAATGGCTAACTATATGAATAATTTGTTCATTATCAGTTACAGTGAGATTTCTGTCTCCAAATAATAAAAATTGATTTTTTTCATGAGAGTTTAAATTTTGGAAACGATTGAAAAATCCTAAGGTTTTTAGTCCTGCTAGGAGAGTGCATCTTTCTTGTTGCAGCAGAGGGCAGTTTAATAAAAAGTGATGCGTTGTTTGTTGTATGTCACCACATACGCAGAAAGGGTCATTTACTGTCACAAAGTTATGGGAATATAAATGTGCTTTTAGAATCAGTCCAGCTCTAAATCTATTTAACAGAATTTCAATTTTCCTTGGCATTGTCATATTCATTTTAGTAGTGGATACTCTGGAGTCAGGGCTCATATTTCCTCTTACTAACCTTTTAAATCTAGATATTGGTTGGCCTTTCCTGTCCTCATATGGTATGTCATCCCACAGGGTCATAGCCCTGATAATGGTTGACTTTTTGAACGAATTACTGATTGGAAAGGGTATTCTATAATGCCTTGGTTGTCTTAGGGGCCGATTTGGAATATTCTCGTATGAACTAACTAAATCACAAATGAAAGGAGGGAAACAATGGTATCTAGCCTTGAAAGCAAAAATTTTAAGATGTTCTTCTCTCCTGGAAGCTAACGTTTTCCAGTTGAGTAATGATAAAACTTTCGATGTGTTTGAACCGTGTATTGCTCCTGACACATGGCAAGCTGCTTGATAATGAAGTCTATCCAATGTTAATAGTTTTGAAGTTGATGCCTTATCATATATTGTATCACAGTAGTCGAAATGTGGTAGTATAAATGAATTATATATATTCTCTAGGTATTTACTGTTTAGCATTTTAGTTAACTTTTTCAATGGTCTCATGAGAGAGATTACTCTCTCTATGAGTTGGTCAACATGTGAATTAAAGTTTAGATTTTGATCAAGTACTAAGCCCAGGTGTTTGTGTTTGGTGCAACTAGGAATCACATCTCCTCCTAGTTTTAAAGGGACTGGCTCTTGTAATAGTCTTCTATTTCCTGATACAAAGGTTAAGTCAGCACTTTTTTGTGCCTTAAAAGTCATCTTCCAAGTCATGGCCCAATTTGCCAAAATGTCAAGATCTCTTTGAAGTGGTTGGTGAATGTTTAAAATCTGATCAAAACTGTCATGTGCACTATAAATAGATGTATCATCAGCAAAAATAAATGTTTTGGATAGGAGATCATCTGGTAAGTCATTAATGTAAATAAGAAATAGGAGGGGCCCGAGGACTGATCCTTGAGGTACACCTGCATTGATTTTATAGTTATTTATATTGTGATCATTGTTATTATTATTGTTATTTGTTCCATTATTAAGATTTCCATAATTTTCAGAAGACCAATCAGATAAGCTGTTGTTGACTTTGGCTCGAACCCTTCTGTCTTTTAAATATGATGTCATTAGCTGTACAAAATTGAAATTACAACCATAGCCTTTAAGTTTCTGTATAAGTAATCTATGCGGGACTAAATCAAAAGCGGCTGTTAAATCTAAAAAAGCTGAGCGGACATATTTATTATTATCTATATTTTCATGGATATTGTGAACAATGTTAATTAACTGGTTAACGGTGCTGTGCTTCGGGAGAAAACCACTCTGGAATTTGTATAAAAGGTTGTGTTGAAGCAGATGAGCCAAAAGATGTTTGTGAATGATGGTTTCAAGAACTTTCGAAAGGTTACTTAAGAGTGTCACCGGTCTATAGTTGCTGACAAGTTCCCTGTCTCCTTTTTTATAAATAGGAACAATAATGCCTTCTTTCCATATATCAGGGAAAGTGTTCTCTTCTAATATCTTATTAAATAGTTTACTGGTTGGTAAAGCAAGAGATCTGGCACATAGTTTTAACATTTTGTTATTAATTTCATCAGGCCCTTGAGATTTAGTTGTGTCAAGGTCATGTAAAAGTTCAAAGACTTCTTCAGTCGTGGTTCTAAAATTTTGCATAGTATGTTGTGTTCTAAGTTGGAAGGGAGGAGTGTAGTCATCATTTATGTTAATTATGTTTTTTCCAACAAAGTATTTCATGAGAGCATTGGCTTTTTCATAGCTGGTACAGGCTGAAGTATTTAAAGTGGGATTTCTCAATACTGGTATTGTTGACACTTGATTTTTTCCAAGAAGTTCTTTTATCAATGACCAATAATCCACTGAATTTCTACTAACATATTCAATCTTATTAACTAGTTTTCTTTCATAATCAGATTTAGCTTCTTCTATTAACTGCTTTACTAATTGATTTTGTGTTTTGAACTTGTCTCTATAGAATGGGTCATTAGTTGATTTAAATTTGTGGTGGATTTTATTTCTTTTGTATATTTCTTTTTTAATGTCATTTGTAAACCATGGCTGATCATCAAATCTAGAAGAAATTATCTTATTTGGAATATTATCTTTCATGATTTGAAACAATGTTTTAATATAATTGTTAGTTGCATTATTTACAGTATCTGTATCAATAAAGTTCCAATTGATTTCTGATATCTTATTATTAATTAGTTCCAGATTATTATCATCATAATACCATATTGTCTTTTTAATTGATGGTTCCCTGGGAATTTTTAGTCTAAATTTTGTAACTATTGAACAATGATCTGAATTTCCAACAGGTGGATCCACATTGAAAGTTAGGAGGTGCTCAGAATCAGATATAAGGAGATCAATGCAGGATTTAGAATTGTTGGTGATATAATGGATGAGGTTCTTGTCGTTGAATTGAGGAAGGCACAATTAATGTTTCTGCTTAATACAGTTACCCTTTTAACCATACTGTTGTAAAAAAAAGTATGACTATGTATGTCTTTTGGTTAGACATTGATATATATCATGCCTAGCTCTATGTGAATAACAATCAATATGTTGAGATTGTCATCAGACCTTGTGCTTCAATAAGCCATTGTATACTTGCTTATTGAGATTGACATCAGAACTTGTACTTCAACAAGCCATTGTATACTTACTTACCGAGATTGTCATCAGACCTTGTGCTTCAACAAGCCATTGTATACTTGCTTATTGAGATTGACATCAGACCTCGTGCTCCAACAAGCCTTTGTATACTTACTTATAACATACCTATGATGATGTATAGTGCAAAGTGTACACAAGACAGCGGGCCAATATAAGTTTTGAAAAGCCCGCGCCCGCTAACTTTCTGATTGGTCAAGGCGCTGACGTCATAACCAATCAATCGAAGATAAAACTGCGCGAGCAATTTTTCTAAACTCATTTCAATCATTTTCAAACCATTTGTTTGTCAATTCTATAAGAAAACGGTACTCTCTGACCAGTCTACATCATCATAGGTATGTTATAAATCGTTTATGTCACTATCGTGGCACATATGCCCTCGGTTCTCAGAGATTAATGTCCCTCCCAAAGTCGGGCCATATATCACTGAGACCTCGGGCATATATGCCACGATAGTGACATAACCTCTAATTATTGAGCTTGTCATCAGACTTTGTGCTTCAACAAGCCATTGTATACTTGCTTATTGAGATTGACATCAGACCTTGTGCTCCAAGAAGCCTAAATGTATACTTACTTACTGAGATTGTCATCAGACCTTGTGCTTCAACAAGCCTTTGTATACTTACTTACTGAGATTGTCATCAGACCTTGTGCTTCAACAAGCCTTTGTATACTTACTTACTGAGATTGTCATCAGACCTTGTGCTTCAACAAGCCTTTGTATACTTTCTTACTGAGATTGTCATCAGACCTTGTGCTTCAACAAGCCTTTGTATACTTACTTATTGAGATTGTCATCAGACCTTGTGCTTCAACAAGCCTTTGTATACTTACTTATTGAGATTGACATCAGACCTTGTGCGTCAACAAGCCTTTGTATACTTACTTATTGAGATTGTCATCAGACCTTGTGCTTCAACAAGCCTTTGTATACTTACTTATTGAGATTGACATCAGACCTTGTGCGTCAACAAGCCTTTGTATACTTACTTATTGAGATTGACATCAGGCCTTGTGCTTTAACAAGCCTTTGTATACTTACTTATTGAGATTGACATCAGACCTTGTGCTTCAAAAAGCCATTTTATACTTACTTATTGAGATTGACATCATGCTTGGCCTCATGTGCTTGTATTAACTGTTGTATAATCTCTGTGACAGTCATCACCATCAACTCTTCACGGGAGTGATTACTTGCAACTAAAATATAATTGAACTAGTGATTAGGTGAGAATGTTGAACATTATTCACAAATAGTACAGGATTTGCTGAAGTGAGGATTTCCCATGTTTAAAATAAGAGAATTTTCAAATGGCAAAACATCAGCACATGACAGGGGGTGCTAATATATCCCAAAAACGTACGCTTTGCACCTGAAAAATTTTGAAAACACAGTGCAATTAGGGGCAATCTAAGCATTTTCCCCGCGGCATATTCCCAAAATCAAAATATGAATGACTTCATGAAAGAGGCTTCATTTTGAGGCGTCTTAATTTATTTTCCAAATAATTTCTTTGAGAAATTCTAACACATATACAGGCATGAGCTTTCTATACAGGTAACAGCTATTTTATCGGATTTTCAAAATGTATTAATTTTTTTGAAATGTTTTAGAGGGGGCCTCTGGCACCACCCCCTAGATCTGCTAGTGATGCTAGTGATCAGTGGATGAGAGTATAAGAAATGTAAAATATACACATTTTAGGGGATAGATCTATGTATTTTGACAATATTGGAAACTATGGGCTCTCAACCACTGTGGTTTGGAAATTATGATAGAAATCGACTTCTCATTTATTAATGATCGAAACTGTAGGCCTAATTTATCTTATTCTAAGCCCATATATATGTGAACAAGTAAATTGACTAGAGACTCGAGTAACAGTAAGGCCTCTAGTCGGAGACATTAAGAAACCTCAACCATCAAAAGTTGTCACAATGAGCTAAATTCTAAGTTTCATTTCTCAAACTCTCTCAAGCGGTAGAAAAATAATTACCGTTCACTTTAAGTAGCACAATAAATGAATCCAAAGCTTCATACCTGCCAATGATGGATAAATTCCTACCAAATCAAACGAAAGTTTTCATAAATCACCATGTTTATGATCCAAGGAGGATTGACTTCCAGAATGTGACACCAGTTAACCTTATTTACTAGTGACAGGTTTCAAAATGGCGGATCAGCATTTTGGAAGCTGGCATGTGTCATGTTGCATTCTGGGAGCCAATTTTCTTTGTGGCGTAATCGGGCTCCAAAATCACCTCAACATTTGAAGAGTCGGCATTAACATGTGAATATCACTTCAAATTTTTAAGTCCCTATTTGTCATTATGGACACAAATTCCACTATATTTGTAAGTTCCGGGACAGAGAAAATAGAGCACTCAATTCACTGAGGTAAGAATTTATGACATGTGTGACAGAATGTATTTTTCATAGTGTTAGTCATTATTTATGTTCACCACTTTAATATGGTTCTTGTGGAATTTTCAGTGTAAGACTTGCAGACTTGAATAAATACAGTGGTGAACATAAATAATTACTAACTCTATGAAAAAGACCTTCTGTCACATATGTAATAAATTCTTACCTCAGCGAATTGAGTTCTCTATTTTCTCCATCCCGGAACGTACAAATATAGTGGAATTTGTGTTCATAATGACAAATAGGAACTTAAAAATTTGAAGTGATTATTCACATGTTAATGCCGACTCTTCAAATGTTGATGTGATTTTGGAACTTGATGATCGAATGTTGCAAACATGGCGATCCATGAAAACATTCGTTCGATTTGGTAGGAATTCAGGGGCGTATCGTCATGTACGCAAAATACGCCCAGGCGTACTGTTTGAATTTGAAAAAATATTTTGAAAAAACATGAAATTCACTATTTTACTGTTATTTTCTTTGATGATGTGTAAACCTTTGTTGTACAAGTGTATTAACCCCCCTATCACACCAAACTAGTTTTTACCCGTTCTTGCCAGTCCTACGAAAACGTTGTAAAACGGGCTCAATCTGGCTGTGGTTGGGAAATATGTCTAAAATAATTAGCTACTTCGTTCTTAAACAGTCTTCAATACGTCCATCTCGTTCGCAGTTCGTTCGTGTCGCACCACGTCGGTGTCACTCTACTATACCTTGCATTTGGTGTTCATGAGCAACCCATTTGGCTTATTATTAATAATTATGTATTTGTTTTTATTTGTCTGTTCCTTATGAATGGTTTATCGGATGACGTTAGATGTTAATAAGATACTTTCAAAAATATACTAAACGATACAATTAGACAAACAGAGTATCTTATGCATTTTTAGGGGTTAGGTAAAGTAGAGTGGGTGTGCAACGTCGTATAACGCGTCCCTTAGTCTAGAAGGTCATCATGACCTGATTACAGAACGGTATGGTCGCCATCGAATTTTGAATCGATTCAAAATTGTAAAATCACCTTCCCGTCTGAGAACGATCATGAAGTTCGTAAATAGACCTTAGAAAGTTGCAGCTTAGTTCTGCCTCGTTCTCAATACGTCCTCAGACAGTTCAACTCGTTGATAAAACGTCCCTAGTAGGATCGATTGAAGTACGACGTTTCCGTTCGTAGTACGTCCAGCTCGTCGGTAGTACGTTGTCACTCGTTCTAATTGTAGAACGTATCGACCACGAGAACATTTTGAGCATGTTCTAAGTTTTAGGGGATCTATCCGTTCGAGTACGTTCGATGAAGTTTGTAAATAGACCCCAAACTGTTCTAAGTACGTCCAGTCCGTCCATACACAGTTGAAGCCCGTTTTCGAGAACGTAGTAAAAACTAGTTTGGTGTGATAGTAGTGTAACAATAAGTTCTCGATTCCCTCATTGTCATTCACTGTTTTCGTGATTCAAAGATTCAAATTTTTTCGTGATTCAAAGAGTTGCGTCATTCTTGTACGCTTCTTCAAGGCCGTATGGGGTCCATCCCGGCAGAGTACACGCTCAAAATCAGCAAATTCAGTACGTATAAACTTGAGTATCATTGACATTATTGAATGTAAGAAGTAATTTTTTATTCATCCACATACGGGGCGTACCCTTGCAAAATGACCACGATACGCGCCTGGAATTTATCCATCATTTGCATGTATGAAGCTATGTATTCATTTATTGTGCTACTAAAGTTAACAGGAATTATTTTTTTACTGCTTGGGAGAGCTTGAGACATGAAACTTAGAATTTAGCTCATTTTGACAACTTTTGATGGTCGAGGTATTATAAATAAAATTAATGGTGGGGGGTCTTTACATGACCCAAATATTAACAGTAAGTCTACCATTTCAAGTTCAAAACCTCATACCCCAACTAGATGTGGGGAGTCTAAAACAACTAATACAGTAGATAACGCAACAAAGATAGCTCAAAGAGAGACTAGCACAATTAGAAAAGCACAAAGGGAGGATAAAACTGAGAGAACTGTGGATGTTAATGTTCTCATCATTGATAACATCATTAATCCAGGTCTGTACAAAGACTGGGCTCGTGAGTACCTTGACCTAAAGAGTGTAGATTGGAACAAATTTGCAAGTGTATGTAAATCAAACCTAACTAAATGGTTTTCAGACACCATTACAAAACAAGACGTCAACATATGCTACTCGGAACTTTGTGAAGCCATCCACAAGACAACAGAGGAGCAAATTAAAACAAAGAAAGTGTGCAGCAAAAGTAGGGGATGGTGGAGCCCAGACCTATCTAGAAAGGTAAAAGAGCTCAGAAGAGCCAAACGTAAATACAATAAACGAAGTGACCCTAATAACTGGGAAATTTACACCAGGCTGGTGGACGAGTTCACCCAATGTGTACAAGAGTGTGAACAAAAATACTGGGATGAACTCTTCGGCCGGCTTGATGTAAAGTATCACCAAGGTTAAAACTAAAAAACCCATTATAGCTATAGGTAATAGAAAAGCCCGCAATGTTATAAATCAGATCATATCTGGCCATACAAAGCTCAATAGCCATCATAGTAAGATCAATCCCAATGTTGAATCTCCGAACTGTCCTCACTGCAAAATCCCTGAGACTATAAAACATTATGTTTTTGACTGTTCCAGATTTGAGACACAGAGGGAACAATTGATGGCAGATGTCAACTTTCTACTTCTGGGAGTAAATCATAACCCATATATCACCATCAGGACTCTAACTGGCCTAGATAGTGAAATTGACGACAATATAAACACTAAGATCCTCCAGAAATTCCAGGCTTATATAGCCTCGACAAGGAGATTCTAAATTAAAGAACTTTGTATATAGTAGGAGATAGTGACTCTTTCTCAGGTTAGCTGAAGTAAGCTAACTCATCTACATTTTTATTAAGCTTTCAACTCCTAATACATCAAAATTAAGCGCTCTCTCTCCAAACCACAAGTACAAAGTATAAGTGATAATTACAAGTGAGAAATGAAACACAAGTGATAAACTGTAGCAAGTGTTCAAAGGCAGCATAACAGTGCCAATGGCCTTAGACACAAAGGCCTAAAGGAAGAAGAAGAAGAATTTATAATGTCTCCCACTTTAGACCAAAATCCAACTTACATTTGTTTCGTGGCTTCCCCATGTTTAAGTTGATATATGCACACTAGTTGATTTCTAAATTCGGTGCAGTTTACATGGTTTAAATGCACAATATGCGAGACATAAAATTTATAAAAAATATTGCATGTTTTTCACTTCCGCCGAAAAGTGGTTGTATGTCGTAAATCATTGCGACAATAGTGCATGCGACCTCTTTGCGATAAACAAAATGAGCTCAAAAGGGAAAGTTCAGACAGGTATTCAAATACAGTTTACACTCGCTAAACGTAGCTGTCATGCCTTTTTACACCATGTATATATGCATAATGTTTCCCTGTAACTTTCTGGCAGATTCAATGTGAAATTTAGTGATAAACGAACGCGGATTTCATTGCCAAATATGACAAGTTTTCTATGACCTCTACTCTTGCAAACAAGTTTACATTTACACTATGAAGCTGTCATGCTTTTTACATGGCATGAGGTTTCCATGTAACTTTCTGACTGATGAACGTGATGTGATATGTGATATTCAGTGATAAATGAATGCGGATTTCATTGCCAAAGATGACAATTCTAATAATTTTTCTATGTTTGACCTCAAATGACACAGAATGATTGACACGCCCACTTTTGTTTTCTATGATGGCGATTTCTACTAGATATTAAACAAATCTGGAAGATTTACGTACGCGTAAATTGAAACATTATTTACCGTTTTTATCTGTTAATTAGTGTACGATGTACAATACAACGTTAGTTGCTTGATCTATTGCCTCACTGATTGACATTATATTAATTTTGTTTGTCGTTTTGCCGGTTAATTTATTGGTAAATAAATTTTGTTGCTTGTTTAGTTGTTTGCTTGATTGGTTGTGTCACTGGTACGTTGATTGGGATGTCACTTGGGCGTTTTGAGGCATAAAATGAAAAAATCAAATTCCTAACCCTGGTAGGAAGGTAGGGTACCCGGTCACCAGGCTACCCGGCTTCCCCATCACCCCGTTTTTTACACAAACCCAAAGAATCTCGATAGAACTTTCATTTTGTCTAACAAATAATATTGTCTTACAGTTACAGGATGGGTGGAACCTAGTGAGTTGGGTATCACTATGACCCATGAACATCTATCTATGACATTTGAAGTGGCACATGTGCCTGCAATGGAGAGGGACAAAGATTTGACTGACCTACCACTCACTATTGAGAATCTATGGTGGATCAGACAATATCCGTAAGTCTCATTTACTGATGCTATCACATGTCAAGCGAAATGTTCATTGTGCCTAAAACAATGAAGAGGGACATGTTAATATGTGAAAGCCATCCGTGTTCTTCTAAAATTATTTTCTTAACTGGATGGATGAAAAATACAAATACTCATTCTTTAGTATGGCATCATAGTATATCAAACTGTATTTATGTTGCCCTTTACAAAGTCACTGTCAAATAATAACTGTCAAAATCACTGTCAAAAAAGTCTTGAGAAATTTTACTGGCAAAACTGGATCAAAGTTACAAAAGCCAAGCTCCACACAAATCCACAATTTTAGATCATAATTCTGAAATAGGAGGATCACTATTCAACCTTTTCCTTTGAGACACTCACCCTGAAATTATAATGTCACATCGAATCTTTAACTTTTGTTTTTTATGAAAAAAAACATATTCTGATAAAGCAGAGATAGTCTGATCTAAAGTATTGATTTTGGGACTTATAATGTTATCTACATGTACAGGGTGGGCCAAAAAAACAATACCCAATTTTAAATCAGGATAAAAATAGCTTCTGTATGTTCAATAATAATACATTGATACATTGATTTATATATCATTTTAATGATAATCCATTTCAAACAATTTGGTATATAACCAAATGAAATCAATATTAAAGTTTTATTATACTTATTTTGGAGGCTGGGTTGCTATTTAAGGTCTCCAGATTTTAGGGAGAAAATAGTAAATCTGTGGAATAATGTTAATTTTTTATTTATTAGAATATCATTTTGTTAGGTGAATACAATATACATGCTTGTATATTTGCATAGTTGTGTGACTAAACTTATTATTTATGAAACAGAATCCTAAAGTGCTGAAATGAACTGCAACAGAAATCTGTCAGTAAGGCTATCGATAGATTGTGATACCACCTGAAGCTTATTGTTGACGCATAGGGGGGGGGGGGGTATATTGAGCAATTGTTGAAGTTGTTTAAATAAATAAAGTGTAAAATATTATTAAACAACACTGAAATTCATAAACAATAAATTTAGTCACGCAACTAAACTGTATCAATATCTAAGCATGTATTCACCTAACAAAAAATGATATTATATAAATAAAAAATTAACATAATTCCGCAGATTTACTATTTTCTCCCTTAAATCTGGAGACCTTTAATAGCGACCTGGCCTCTCAAATAAGTATAATATAACTCAACTATTGATTTAATGACATAGTGTTATATGTACCAAATTGTTTGACAATGTATAACCTTTAAAATGATATGTAAGTCAATGTGCCATATTGAATGTAACTATTTTTATCCTGATTTGAAGTTGGGCATTGGTTTTTTGGCCCACCCTGTACATACAGTATAGCTGTTTTTCCTTGCTACAGGTACAGCCATCCTCGGAACCTGTTCCTCAATGAAGAAAAACAAGCAGTTTTAGAGGAAATGCATTTATACAAGGTTCATTTATTTATTTATTATGTTTAAAAGTGTTTTTCTCTGCCAAATGATGACCCAAAGATGTATTTTGTTATTATTCATCAGACTCTCTGGGTAGTATCTAATGCTGTGTGTCTTATATCTAATAATTTGTAACTTCATGTATTTCAAATTGCTTCAGAAAAATGGTGGGGGTTGTATGGTGGACAACACTACTATTGGTATAGATAGAGATGTTCCATTCCTTAAGAAGGTAGCTGATGAGACAGGCTTAAAGGTCATATGTGGAGCAGGTATGTTAAAAGGGAATGGGAACATACCTCAAATCAGCTTCACTGGCGGATCCAGGGGAGGCACAAATTTTGTAGGGCCTCAATTAATGGGCCTTTTTGGGCATTACTTATCAATTATCAAAAAATGGGCCTTAAATTTTCAAAAGAAAATTTTGAGTCGTTGTTTCCAACAAAGTTCTTGTCTGATTTGAAATTTAGCCCCCCCCCTTTGTCAGCTTCTGTATCCACCAGTGAGCTTGGTGACTTTTTAAAACAATGAGTTTTAGTTGAGTGGCTAGTGCATATGCAACTGACTGTCTTCATATCGATTATTTTACTATGTCTACTATAATACAGTATTCACTTAATTTATGAAAATACCAAAACCAGCCATCCAAACAAACTCTCAATGAATTGTTACATTACTTGGTGGGATTAGGACCAATATGGATCTCATTTGGTCATGTTGATTGCATAGATATATATATGAGCAGAGGCAAAGTAAGAATGAATATGGGCCTAACTCATATCTGTAATGTATCGAAAACTCTGAAATTTAAATCCTAGGTTATTATGTGGGTGCGGCCCATGCTAAGACAACAGATTCTGCTACAGAAGATGAGATATATGAGAAGATAGTACATGATATTACAGTGGGAACTGATGGTACAGAGATCAAATGTGGTATAATTGGTGAAATTGGCTGCTCATGGCCTTTACAAGGTGAGTGCAGAACACACACATGCTAATCAAGTAATACAGGAATTGGAAACTTAGGCTGCATTTTTGTACATGCTTTTGCTGTGTCACGGTTGTCCAGCACACTTGTGATAGCCGGTTGCTGGTGCCCCACAGGCGTTCCATTGAAATGGTATTAACTGGGGATTTAACTACAATTAACCATTGTAAATTGGCTCAAATCTACACATGTTTTTGAACTTGCCTGCGGGTGTACCTCTGTTGTGTACTTCGGGTCACTTTAAACTTGCTGAAAAATATGGATCTCGCAGTGGTCCAGGTAAATATGAAACTTGTACATGAAGAGAATGAGGAAGACAAAGAGCTTGAAGATGAAAATTAAGCTTTCTAAAAGTTTCTGTATCACAATAGCGACCAACCTGAATCATTTGACCTTTGCTCGCGATTATAAGCCTGTTTTTGGATACACGCGGGTGACAATAATCCTATTACCAATTTGCCCGCAGTACTAGTACCAATAAATCTGTTTTTTGATACTCATGCTTAAAACGGATTAATTATGACACAATCCTATCAATTTCACTTGCTCCGGGGGTGTATGAAAATGCACTGCTAGACTGAACCAGTACATACTAGGGTAATTCCAGTATAATGATGATCGCTACTATTTCATAGATCATGGATTTATAGATGCAAAATATCATATTTAGTCAATTATGTATCATAAAAGTTTCAAATTTGAAAGCTTAAAAATTGAATTGCATTGTATATACACGTTGTCATGTTATGTCTCTTATATATTGTTAGCGGAATTGATCAATGATTGGTTAACAAACTGGAGACTGTTATTCATCAACTATAACATTTTGTTATTACAGACAGGGAGAAGAAGGTTCTACGTGCTGCAGCCAGAGCTCAAATCCAGACAGGATGTCCTGTGATTATCCACCCTGGCAGAAATGATGATGCCCCAGAGGAGATTGCCGAAATCCTGAAAGATGCAGGAGGGGACCTGTCCAATACAGTCATGTCACATTTAGACAGTAAGTAGGGAAGAATATGTCTGTTAATTGCACATGTATATATATATTGTTTTAAGAGCATGCTTGATTGTACTGTATTAGGACAATATACACTGATGTTGTGCTATTCTAAGGACTTAACACTGGGATGTCAGGTTATAGAGGTCGCAACGGTACTGAAAACCAGTACCGATAACCGTCACGCTAATAACCGTACCGTTACCGCAATACCGGTAAAAATATGTAAGATAAAATGCAAATGCGCTGCCACTCCCACTTTGTTCCTAACTTTCTCCGTAGCTTATTAAGTCTATATGCATACATGGTGCAAGACCGATTTGAATCCATACTAATGAACTTCACGAAAAAGTATGTAACTATCTTACGAATCAAGATGTATTTTTAGTTTTCAATTAAATGTATTACACATTTCAAACCATTTTTCAACTGTATCAATAGCAAGCGACGTGCAGTATACATGGGAGTGGGGTAGGTAAAATAGATTTTAACAAAACCCAAAACGTGGGGGTGGCGAGTTTGGCTGAAACATATCATGCTATTCCTGCGTCATCCGTGTCAAGTGAACGTCAGTTCAGTGCAGCTGGCAACACCATCACTTCCAAACGGGCACGACTTCAACCTGAGGTTGTCAATGCCTTGTTGTTCGTAAATGACTATTACAAACATAATTCAGTTTCTGAGCTGGATCTGACGTTGACACAACAACTGCACCGGAACTGCCAAACATAACTACAACCAAATCTGAGCCTGAGCATGAAGCTACTAGGGGAACATGTATGGGCCAAAACGGCCCTTTGGGGCAAAGTGGCCCATCGAAATATCTTTTGAACTATAAAGAGATGGTTCTTCAAAAGCCACACAATCGAATTTTGAAATTTTCGCTCCCTTCTCAACCGCCCTTTTTTAACTTAGCAGCGTCTCGCCTTACGTAAGAGGTAATTCTCTTTCTGCAAATTACCCCTTCCTAAAAAATCCAGCAACAATAGAATATCGTTTTGAATTAACATTTTATCTAGAGTATGCATATTTATCATTTATTTGTGAAAATTTCGAGCCTCAAGTTAAATTAAAATGACGTCTATTTGAAAATTCACATGTCTTTGGGGCAAAACGGCCCATAACAGATTATAACATACAAAAAGTCTTATTGTACAAGAGTAATTGATTTTCAAATATAACGATTTTAACATTTTGTTTGTACCTTATTTCCTTCCCACACATATTGAATCACTAGAATTATGGTAGGGGTTAAAAATACTTTGTCTGTCAAAGGTTAAAACGTCTGAGATAAGATTTGTGTGGACGAGTCTTGTAATTGATTAATCTTTGTTTTAAAACCCATTTAACAGAGGGTCGGCCGTTTTGCCCCATCCGTGGGCCGTTTTGCCCCACTCCCGACATTATTTTTGACCATTGAAAAATCACAGAAGATAGTCCTCGACAAGTATAAAAGATTCGAAAAATGTAAACCACAGCCCATTAATAAAGTGGAACATCAAAGTGCGCGATGATTGACTGAAAATCTAATTTTTTGGGCCGCTTTGCCCCATGTTCCTTTACACCAGAACTGCCAAACATGGACATCACAGCTGAACTGCCAAACATGGAAATCAAATCCTGAACTGCCAAACATGGACATCTTAATGTCTATGTAAATGTACGCATCGTGAAAGTGGAAATTAAACGAAATAATTAAAAAAACGACGTGTCTTTTATTTCCCCAGGGATTATCGTCGGTTAACCGGTTAATAATTTCAATACCGGTAAATGCTCAATTCCGTACCGAAACAGTATAACCGGAATTACCGTTAGCCTCTATCAGGTTACCTTTATGAGCAATATACACAGATGATCCCTTTTAAGTGACAAAAACACAGTGATAACACACTGATGTCATGTTATATTTAAAGGACACTGAACACTATTGATGTCATGTTATTTAAATGACATTATACACTGATGATACGTTACATAACTGATATAATGTTATTATGTACTGGACATTTCATATTGATGTCACTTTATTTTAGGAACAATACATACCGATGCCAAACTGTTGGAGTTTGCTAAAACAGGGTGTTATCTGGAATATGACTTATTTGGCATTGAAGTGGGACTGTACCAGCCCAACCCTGATGTTTACTGCTGCAATGATGGGGAGAGAATCAGACGTATACAACTGCTCATTAAGGAGGGATATTTAGATAAGATATTGGTGGCACATGATATTCACACCAAACACAGACTGGTGAGTAGATCTTTTCCAAATATGTCTGTATAATTTTCTATTAAAACAAGTTTGATTTGTAGTCATTTACCTTAATTCAAATTTCCAGGAATTTCACGTTTCTGAAAAAGATTGAGTTGAACTTAAAAAAATCTTTATATTCTTACATGCCAATGGAGTTTTACATATACCGGTATTCAAATGGAAATACTTGAGAAATCAAGAAATTAAGTGGCTTTCCAGTTGTCTAAATGTTATAAATAGTATTATGGCCCTACGAAAAATGTGCTACCATCTATTTATTCATCTCGAAGTACAGAGTGTCTCAAAAAAAATGTTACAAGTACAAAATGGTCAATATCTTTTTTTTGGAATTTACCCTCAAACATAATTGAATACTTAGAATAAGCTCTCTTGCTTTAATTTGATACCAAGCAGATTTAAAATTCTTCCATGGTTGACTGCACAGAACAGATTTCATTGACTCATGTAAAATCTGACCAAATCTGCCAAATTCTCAGTGATTAAAAAAAACAAATGACAACAGTTAATTCTGCAATTTTCCTATCAGTGTTTCGTAACAGGGCCGCCAGTATGTGTGATGAGCTCCCTTTCATGTTGTACCTCACTGACTTTATCAAATATTCTTCAATAAGGTTCATTCAGATCTGTTGGGAGTGTTGTGAAGATCTTGGTCTTCAGGTGACCACACAAGAGGAAATCCAGGGGGGTTAAGTTGGGTGAACTTGGGGGCCACTTGACTGGGTTATTCAATGCTATGATCCAATTGCACCATTTTTATTTCTCAAGATGATTGCTCTTAAATGCCTACTTAGAAAAGTACTTAGAAAAGTATTAGGTAAATATTACTGAGGAATATGTTTTTCAAATGTTGAGGAATTTTAACACATTAGTTTAATGGAAATGAAATGCTTAGTTTCTTGTGAATATCAAATGATATTCATCAATTAGGACTTAGTCCAGTGTAATTTTAATCTTATACAGGGTGTTTCAAAGATGCAACTCACATAATTTACAATGCATATCTTTTTAACCAATGAAGGTTGAACAATCTCTTTTTTGACAGGAGTAAAGGTAGTTCAATGTCCTTTAAGTTGAGCAAGTTTCATCAATGTAGCTTATGTATGACCCATTTGCTGCCAATATAAAGAATGTGCTCCAACTCTCTTCTTACAGACTGGTAAATGTCCTTTTCTTTTGTATTAGGGTATCTATAGTTTGAGCTCTGCAATGGTTCTAGGATTGTTGACATACACACTATCTTTCAGGATAATAAACATATGTTCCAATAAAAATGTGTGTTGTCAACAACATCACACAAAGTGTGCAAGTGGTAGGCAGGTTCTTTAAATGGCCAGCAAATAAAACATACACATGCTACAGTGATGAAACTTTGTCAAAATAAAGGATATTGAATGAACTTTAATTCTTTTAAACAAGACTGGTCATACAAAGATATGCATTGTTAGGTGGGTTGCATTTTCTATGAAACACCTTGTATATCCCTGGGCAAGGAGGATTGGCTCCCAGGATCGAAACTCGATATTTTCCAACAATGAAAACGTCGAAATGTCATTATTTTTAAAATTATAACCGACTATAAATTCAACATAAACAATTCAAAAGATTCGATCATATCTTGTGAGTTTTGGAATTTTTTGTTTGGAAATAAGACCAAAATTCACGATTCAAATGTTGAAGTGAACAAAATGGCGTCTTCGAATTCGAATTTTGAATCACGACATCTCCATATATGGGACAGAATATCGATGTTGCACTCTGGGAGCCAATCCTCCTTGATCCCTGGGAGTACATTGTTATTAATTAGACATCAATAGTTTGTTATTCCATTATTTAACGTGAACAAGGAAAATAAAAGTGAATAATAAATCAATATTTAATTCTATTTTAGGTGAATGCATGCACTAGGGCAGAGCATTTGTACAGAAAGGAGCGTTTTCAGTACAAATATGTACTGAAAAATGTACTAGTTTTGTTTCAGTACAAATTTAAGTATATTTTTGTACTGAAAAATGCACTGAATTTTTTTCAGTATATTTTTCAGTACAAATTCATGTACTGAAAAATATACTGAATTTTAAGTACAAATTTAAGTATAAATATGTACTGAAAATGTACTGAATTTTAAGGACAAATTTAAGTGCAAAAATATACTGAAAAATGCACTGAAAATTTAAGGATAAATTTAAGTACAAATATATACTGAAAAATGTACTGAAATTTAAGTGCAAAAGTGAGTATAAAAATGTACTGAAAAACATACTGAAATTTAAGGATAATTTTAAGTATAAATATATGCAATGAGAAATATTTGTGCCCAATAATGGAAATAAGAGAAAACGTAAATGTAAGGCATACTATAAACTCTAAATCACTCAATGGTGAAAAAGTGCATGATTTTAAAAGAATTTTTGGCCGGGGGGGGGGGGGGGGGGGTTCGCTTGGACCCCTGAACCCCCCCCCCCCCCCAACAGGAATGCTATTACATTATGAAATTATTTTGGATGCTTCCTTTACAGCAGCCTTTAACCAAACTTAAAAGAGTCTCTCTGTAATCAGGTTTGTTTTGCCTTGTCAAAATATTTTGTTTTGTTAGTGGATTAATAAAGTTTCTTTAGACACATCCTTTAAAGCAGACTCTAATCAAACTGGAGAGGCTAGGTTTACTGTAATCAAGTGATTTCCTTTTTAGAAGTTATGTTTATGGATTTATTAAAAACGGCCTAAATCACTCATAAAGTTCTTAGAATGGTGAAAAAGTGCATGATTTTAAAATAATTTTTGACCGGGGGGGGGGGGGTTCGCTTGGACCCCTAAACCCCCCCCCCTCAGGAATGCTATTACATTATGAAATTATTTTGGATGCTTCCTTTACAGCAGACTTTAACCAAACTTAAAAGAGTCTCTCTGTAATCAGGTTTGTTTTGCCTTGTCAAAATATTTTGTTTTGTTAATGGATTAATAAAGTTTCTTTAGACACATCCTTTAAAGCAGACTCTAATCAAACTGGAGAGGCTAGGTTTACTGTAATCAAGTGTTTTCCTTTTAATAAGTTATGTTTTTGGATTTAATTATTTAAGACGCAAATTCAAAAACATTAAAGGTACACATTTTCTCAGTCTTAAAAATAAGTTTTTCATGAGATTTCCACTCATATTGCTTGAGCAAATTAATTAATTGATGAAAATTAAAATATATAACATGAACATAGAACCTCATTTGTTCGAGTATAGCAAAATCCATGGAATAGATGTCAAAGTCAGGAAGATGTCGTAATTCAAAATCTAAGTATATTTTTCAGTATAAATTTACACTTAAATATGCCCTTAAATTTCAGTATATTTTTCAGTGCATATTTGCACTTAAAATCACACTTAAATTTCAGTATATTTTTAAGTACATATTTGCACTTAAAATCACACTTAAAATTCAGTATATTTTTTAGTATAAATATATACTGAAAAATGTACTTAAAATTTCAGTACATTTTTCAGTACATATTTATACTGAAATTTGCACTGAAATTTTAAGTATATTTTTCAGTACATATTTATACTGAAAAATATACTTAAAAATACAGTACATTTTTCAGTACATATTTGTACTGAAAACGCTCCTTTCAGTACAAATGCTCTGCCCTAGTGATGTGACAGTTCCACAAGATGATATTTCACTAGGCCTCCAGGCTTCGTGGAATATCACTTGTGAAAGATGCCTAGGCATTCACCTCAATAGAATTAAATATTTTTATAGTACATTGTGTCTATCTCCTTACAACCCACATGAAACTCAAAATCTGAATAGTATGCTTATTTGCTCCATCATTTTTTCAGATGAAGTATGGAGGACATGGTTACTCACATATTCTATACAATGTTGTGCCAATGATGAAACACGCTGGAGTAACACAAGAGCAGCTGGACCAAATACTTATACACAATCCTAAGACTTGGCTGGCTTTTAAGAAGTAAAGGACATTCCAATCCTATAACTTAGGTTGGCCTTTAAGAATTCATGGAATTCAGTAACTTTCCTAATCTAAATACTATAATCGATATTAAAGTGAGAATTAGATAACAGAGGAAGTAACAAACTTGCCAAAATCAACTTTACCTTCTAATATTATAAGTTAATGAATGATTTGAAGCGCAATACAGGATATATTCTGCTCAAGAAATTCCGTATTGGGACGAGACGAGTGCCAATACAGAATACCGAGAGCAGAATATATCCTGTATTGCACTTTAAATCATTCTATAACGTTTTTATCGTGTGATCCTCTGTATTGCTACTGATAATGTCCCCTACGTACTACGTAATATTTTCTGTATTGCGATGGAGATGATCAATGGGGACAATCTCAGTAGCAATACAGATTGGTACAAGAGCTGACCAATCAGAAGCCTTTATTTTACAGATCATACGATAAATACTAGTCTTGCACCAACAAGAAGTGTTTCTTTACTTAAAGATTAGAGTAAAGGAACCATACATTTGCTGTAAGACTAAAATGTTATCTTATGTCATTGTCGTGCAATTACCATTAACTACAATTTTTATCATTCAAACACTGAGATTTTTGGGTGTTGGATTTTACTATTCTTTATATTTGATGTATAAAAGAATAAATTGATAAATCACATTCTGTATTCTGTTATTCTGTGCATTTTCATGAAAGACAGAAGTAATGTATCATCATTCATTTTCTATCGAGACCATCATTAGTAAACAAAATGGTGACACGAATGCTTAGAAATTTCATTAAGATTTTACAACCCAAGAGACCTGAGCCCTTCACTGGCATAATGAGGCAGAGCAATATCATTCATTTTACCAAGTGATAAATCACGTATTTGGCATCGGGACTGATATTGGGATGATATTGGAATTAGAGGAATGATGTCGGGTTTGATATCCATACTTATCCTATGCCAAGTAGAGTTTTAGGGAGATAAGTTGGTAAGATATATCCCGTATCCTGATTTTGAGGTTTCCATATCCAGAACCTCCATATCTCCCGCTTCGGTGCATATCTTCCCGCTTCCGGTGCATATCTTCCCGCTTCCGGTGATGCAATAAAATGACTTTGCATATGAATGATTTGTTCATTTTTACACCTTGTACTAGAAATGGCCATATGCCCCTGAAAACTCTACTTGGTATAGGATAAAGCAGTTATGTACGGTCGGTTTGGATAATGGGTTCATCCCTCGTGAGATATGCACATCTACCTTCAGCCCCTACAGTCCCTCAGGTAGATATGCATATCTCCCTCTGGATAAACCCCATATCCAAAACCTCCCAGTACATAACCCTTATATATCATGCCGCTAATTCTAATATCCTCCCGGGTATAAATTCTAGGGAAATCTGTTTATTGAGTATAGAACTCTCAGAGGGAAATACGAATAGTGAAAGTGATGAGATGACTCACAAAAGGACATCCAGTGTTTTGTATTATTTCTAGTCATCATATGTTTTAATAGTTATATACACTTAGACAAACAACGGAGTGGAAGCAGCGGCTGTGCCGTTGTCCTTTAGCAGGGAGTAACTCAGTGGGTTTCATAACATAGCCTATAAGCTAGATAGCCAGTGGAAGGGTAATTTAATAGCCAGTTTCATTTTAAATGATTAAATCTTCCGTTGTGGGTCTACATGTAACATTAATATTTCCAAAATTTAATTATTGTCTTCTCATCCATCAGCTGACTTTTGAGGTACACTAGTGGATATTGCTCTTGACCATGGTATAAGGTCGGTATTCACCTGTCAGGATGATATGGGCAATATCCCTCAGATGATATTGATATCACCCTCGGGAAATATTGATAATTATTCTTGTGATATTTCCCATATTAAATCCCTCCTAGTGAATAACTACTCTTTTACACACTGGTAATAATAACAAAGACAATTGTTGCGTTTAATTATAGTGAGTGAGAAATATTGTTTTATATCATATATAATATACATTGTACATACAAATAGATTTTGTAAATTGAATAACAAGGTTTAATAAAAGTAGAGAATAGACTAAATTCTAGAAAATAAATCATATAATACATAATTTGAAATATGAATTAGTTTTAACATCTACAAGCTCCAGTTCTAGAAGATTTATTTACATGCTGATCATTATAGTATTACATTCTTCCAGTCATTCTTAATCTGACCATAGATGACTGAACTACAACGTACAGAGTTCATTGAAAATGCTGTATGTGTAAACAGCACCTCATTTAAAAATATAATAGATTCCCTATTTTTGCTACTAGGCCTACTGTATAAGGTTTTACCACCATATACTATATTCATTTCTCTTCTATGTTTCAATGGTACCATGATTGTATATATGTTTTACTACATTTTGAGATCAGACAGTGCTATTGGTCAGGCTTTCTGTATACTGTATATATTTTACGAATAAAAATACGTGGCTACAAATCTACAAAGAAGTTGTAGCTAAAAAAGGTACAAGGACGGAAGATTGTTGACTAGCTAACGTATAAGATAAATAAATTGAAATACAATCTGTGCATGTAAAAATTGAAAGTGCAATATAATGCTGTATGGGTTAAATCAAAATTACAAAAAGACTTTTTATAATGCTGTGGTATTATGACATAGGAATAAACCAAAATATGTAAAAACTTCTTGACAATCATAAACACTTTTGAACTGTACTTTGTGTAAATTATGCGATAATGATGAGCAGAAATATAAGATACAATACATTTACATTATACACTTCATATTTACATTTAATTTATGGTGAAAAAATATTTTTTATACGATCAAGTGAGCACTTTACTAAAATACAGTTTGATTATATACAGAATTATTATATACAGAATTGCACTGGCAAGTATAAATCACTTGTATACCTGGTTCATACTTGATACATATCTTAATATATACATTTTAATAAGTACAGTGTACATTTTAACAAATAACAATTTAATGTTAACATGATTTTTATAAAATAGATATATGACAAGGAATGACATAAGCCAAAAATATTCTAAATGAGAAACATTTTTAAAGGTTAGACCTGCATGTGGTCCTAGGGAGGCAAAATGCTGTAACAGCACTATAATATTAGATGTAGAATTTGTTTTCTTCTGCAAAGTAAACCACCAAATATGACATGAAAATCCTACTTTAACCTCCTTTAAATGGTTGTCTAAATTTTTAATTTTTCACTACGGCGTCATCAAGTAAAAAAATTATGGAGGTGTATCAGTGTAATATCAAATCCAATCTCCTAATATTCAGTGTGTAATGTCCAATCCTGTGTAGTATCCAGTGTGTAATGTCAAATGTCCGGTAATATCCAATATTGTATGATATCCTATGTTGATGTCCAACCTGACCTGGTATCTTTTAAACTGAAAAATGCAATTAAGAAAAATCTACACATTATGAAACCACATACAGTTCTGTGGAGAACATTCTGTAATATTTGATAATGAAACATTATATGTAATGAAAATTTCAATAAAGATTTAGAGTTAATCTTTCTACTGCAACTTTGTGTCTTAGTAGGTATTAATTCAAAGATATTCCTGGGTATTCCAGTAAATATATACCATGGTCTTTATAAAATTATTGATTCTCGGTATTTTTACTTTAGCTAACTTCAACATATATCTAGATGGAAACTGACTATGCTAATCAGTGTTAATACCTTTATATTTAACTAAGTAGGCATATCTTAACAAACTATACACACTGTATGTTCCATTAAGGTGTAATACTGTATAAGTGGTAATTTTACCTAATCATTTAATTTGCCTATTTCCTAATTTTTGCCAGGTTCGGAAAATTAAATGTCGGAAATATTGTATTTATAATGTTATCCAATGGGAGGTTTCTTGTCATTAGGAAAATTAAAATTAGGAAAATGATGAAATTTGACCATTTGAAAAATTAACCACTCGGATTAAATACCACTTATACAGTATTTAGATCTTCACTCTCGTCATCTTCCTTTCATCTTGTTACCTACCTTTAGTTTTGTTCTGATTGGCTTTCATTAGGGGATGTATTTTCTTTATCCTGTGTTCCTGCATCCTTATCATCGACTAAGTCCTTGTTGTCATTAATAGTGTCATTTTCACTGACCTCTTCCTTCTTTGCTTCAGGTTCATTGGGGACATCATTCTTAGATGTAGTAAGGCTGGTGTTTTCACCTTTGTTGGGGTGTGGGGTGCCAGGTTTGGAATCCTTGGCAGGACTGTTTGGCTTGGATTGAGTGGGTGTGGGAGGTTTAGGAGAGCCAGCTACTTGGGGAGTGGAGGGCTTTGATCTCTCAGTGTTAGGCGTAGTTGGCTTAGATTGAATTGTTTTATTTGGAGTGGCTGGTTTTGTTTGGGAACCTCTACTAGGAGGTTTAGAATTTGGTGTTTGAGGTTTAGCCTTGGGCGTTTGAGGTTTAGAGTTGGGCGTTTGAGGTTTAGAGTTGGGTGTCTGATGTTTAGCATTGGGCGTTTGAGGTTTAGAGTTGGGGGTCTGATGTTTAGCATTGGGCGTTTGAGGTTTAGAGTTGGGTGTTTGAGGTTTAGAGTTGGGCGTTTGAGGTTTAGAGTTAAGAGCTTGAGATTTAGAATTTGGAGTTGCTGTGCGTCTACTTGCAGCTCTCAACTGAGGAGTTGTTGGTTTAGATTGTGGGGGTGTAGGGACATTTGTCTTATTGCCATCAACTAGGGTATCAGGCACTCCTTCTACAAGCACTGTATCTTTATCACTTTCCTTATCAATGTTATCTAGATCTTGACTATCATTACCTTCCTCTTCATTCTCACTATTACCTAATTCCTCATTTTGGAATGTTGGACTGGATTTGTTATATGTTGCGTTAAGATCTACGACTTCCTCTGGCTGCAGATTGTTGCTATTGTTTGCATTGTCATCATCCTACAAAAAAGAAGTTATAATATATTTAATCACTTCTACGAAAGAACAAAAAAGTAGTTGTACTTGTTTATCAGACTCTCAGAAAGACAAGAATAGAATTCAACTACATGTAGTTGTAAATAAAATATAATTTATTTAATGAACATAAATACATGAAGATAAATACATTATAATTACACATGAGGAGCCATCCAAATACAACCCATTCTTGATTCCATTTGATTATCCAATACATATCTATTTTATAGATGTATTAATTGTTTTATACCTCTTTATACTGTATAGTTTTGTGACATAAATATCTTACCTCAACTTTGTCTTGAGCTTTCTGAAAACACATTAAATAATCATTTTAACATTTAAGATGAATTACATCTGTTATAATGTATATATTATGCTTAGCATAATGGTAAATACATAATACACAACATTAAGAAGGGTACAATGTATTCTGGCCTCTTTAATGGTAACTTTATTTTCTCTTTTATCAATGTGACTCAGATCACTGGTGATCCACTCGATTACACTGGTTACCGAAACGGTTCGTTTTGGTAACAAGATGTCAGAACATCAAAGGTACAATTTTTCTTTTTTCCTTATTTCACACGTTGTAGGCAGAATTCCCACGACATTTTTAACACAAACGCGTATCAGTATCATATGTTTAAGAAAATGTACATATTTGTGAACAAATAGTTCAGAAGACAACAGAATCGTTGATTTAATTCCTCACTTAAGTTACATAAACGTTTTTTCGAAAAACAGTCAAGATCTGCACTTTTAACCCAAACCGTTTATGTAACTTAGTTGAGGAATTAAATCGACGATTCTGTTGTCCTCTGAGCTATTTTTTCGCAAACATGTACATTTTCTAATACATATTATGCTCATACACGTTTGTGAGAAAAAACGTCGTGGGGATTCTGCCTACAACGCGTGAAATAAGGAAAAAAGAAAAATCGTACCTTCGATGTTCCGACATTTTGTTACCAAAACAAACCGTTTCGGTAATCAGCGTAATCGAGCGGATCACCAGTGTCAGATACAAGAAGTACCAGAAATTGAATATTGTTCTGTCTCATCAAATCAAATTTTCTTCTTTTCTCAGCCCGAAATATTATTTTCTAAAATAAGCTAGCCCACGCATTAAAGTTTGAAATATGCATGTGTACACGGTATATATAAATTTTCATTGGTCATAATCTTGGAGAACCTCTGTCCTAAATTGATGCTCATGAAAGTTCATCTAAAAGTATTAGTAATCAGTCATGGAAATATTAAATAAAATAAAATGTATAACATCACAATAGAATTAAATGACACAATAAAATAAAACTTTGTAAAAAGAGATTAAACTACATGTGCATGTACTTATATAAAGGATATCAATAATAAAATACTTGCAATAAATTGATAAAGTAATCCAGCTACTATTTTTGACTGCTGATTGATTGAAATAGATCACTTAATAGATCAAAATGAAAGAAATAGAAATACAAAACACATATAGGACTCGTCAATTAGAAAGAGATTACATCATAGATGCAAATCAATTATATTACAAAGTATGAAGTCATCCAATCTACAGTGTTGATCATATCATGTGACACAATTATCCCAAGCATGTCAACTAAGCATGAAAAAAGGATCACATAGGGTTATTATAATGGCTATAATGCAGCAGCTCCTTACTATATAGTGACATGAATCACAAAAACATGAAAATATACCAAGCATACATGTATCAGCAAAGCAGTTTAAGGAAATGCAGCTAAAATAATGTTGTCCATTCAGTTCTTCTTATTTTGTGAAGTAAATTATTCACAATTTCATCTTAATGATATTTAAAACCACCAGCTAAGCAGTGGGCCTCTAGAACCGTGCACATACACTATATTTTGACATACCGAATGTTTCCTTTATAATAACAAAAGAATAAGCAAGCTTTGTTGTTGCTGTGTGAAGTAAAGATTTGTTATGATAGACACGCGTGAAAAGATCACGAAAAAACAGAAAGTACACTCCAACATAATTTCTCCTGACTTTGGGTGACAACATTTATAATTGAAACTGAAATCAACAACAATTTTAAATCACATTTAACTTACTTTCTAATTGAACGATGTCATTTTGCTCATTGAAAGCAGAATTTATGTGTAAGTAATAACTTTTCTTGGACATGGTTAAATCTATTCTACACAGTATGTACAATATGTTGAGACATTTTTCATTAAAGACATGCTTAAGTCTGCATTTACGAATGTCACAATTGTAGCTCCTTGTCAGTTTCAAAATGAAATTCAAGTAGTTTATCTAAATTTAACTTAAATTAGTCAATTGCAGCATTTATACTTTATACTTGTGAACTTAATTGTGCATTTTATTGTGAATAGTTTGTTTCCTTTATGGTACTGTCAAGATGTGCCTCCTGAAAAGATACATTTGAACATGTTGATGAATAAGCATTCATTATGAATTTAAATCATAAATCTTATTACATATTAAAAGCTAAATCCTGTATCAAACAAATCAAGACTAAAAATTGTGAGCTTTGTTCTACAAGGTGAGGTTGAACAAAAAAACTAATCAAGAAAAATCAAATGAAGTAATATACACAGGGGCACCAAACAACACAAAAATTGGACAATAGGGCTTAAAAATAGAATCTTAATCTATAATTTCATATTTTCACTGACACATCATTTTTACTTATAAGGCATGTGAAAAATTGAACTACAGTCAGATCCAAAAATAAAAGACACCTGAAAATTTTGGCACAGTTTGCTGAATTTGAACATTTAATGTGCCAAACACTCCTCTATTGCTGGAATATATACTCCTGTAAATGATTATTAGCAGAATAAATGTCTCCAAGGCTTTATATCAGCATATGGTGGATAGTTTGTAAACATCTGAATCCACTTTTCAAATGGCAGCCATTGTTTTTGTTGTCTCAAACAAAAATGAAAATTGTTCAATTTGTATATCTGGTAATGGTTTTGTATCAATTGATTAATAAATACATATAAAGTATGGTATAATACATATCATAGTTGTGTAAGTGGTGAAATGTTATTTTAAAATGGGTTGTTGTAGAATTGCTTTTGAGACTATGCACAATTATTTTCAAAAATGGTGGACATTTAACATGTGGAAATCACTTCAAATTTTTAAGATCCCAATGGTCATTATGGACACAAATTCCACTATATTTGTATTTTCCAGAATGGAGAAAATATAGTACTTAATTCCCTGAGGTAAGAATTTATTATATGTGCGACAGAATGTCTTTTTGAAACTGATAGTAATTATTTATGGATCAGACTGTACTATCTGTAGTATATGACTTACATGTATTTTATGTAATGAGTTATTTAAAAAATCTAAGTCAATCAAGGTGACTTATATTATTACAAAGGGTGTTATCGTTGAAGTACAATACTTTCCAATATGGGTTTAAAAGATTAAAGTTAAAGTACTATAATCTAAGAATGAATAAGTAAATGAACTAACATACAATGTATGTACATAGCATAACATTTGAAACATTGCCAAGAGCTAAGTTACTGTTGTTCAAACAGATATATGTATTCAATGAATTCTCTGAACAAGTGATCAATTTTAATTTCCTATGTAGAGAGCTACATTTCCGAGACCACTATAGTTCTATGTAAAGCACTTCATATGATATATTTCGTACAACCTAATATCCTTTTACTGAGTAAGCTATATCAATACACAATAAAGTCTGATTTAGCATTGCTATTAACCTTGAACATGGATGAATAGATACATGTAAAACGCAACCTTAAGTATCATACGCTTTATAGAAATAAGATGAATTCACATTTTGTATATAATGTAAAGGTTTTTAGTTTTCACATTTTGTGTAGCACACATGGATTTCTATGGAGACTTGCAATGCAATGCATTGATCATATATTCATAGGCTTTCTGTATCACATACTGATTTTCCATTTTCTGAACCGCCAAAAAATTCTTAATTTGCTGGAAGACTAAAATTCAAGGTGGGAAATGAAGAAGTACCTTTAGAAGAAGCAAAATGTAATCCAATCATGAATATACAGATGTATTACATACCTAGCGAAGCATTTGTATGGAAGTCAATGGGAAAGTTAGCGAGCTATATCCACCGATATTGCCCGATTACCCCGATATAGCCCGCTTACCTCGTTTTGATATTAGATTTCTTTAATAACCATGATAATATCATGACGTCACATCATTGATACAAAGTAACCATGGGAACAAAGGCATGTAATACATCAGTTATGTCACTATGACGTGAAATATGCCTTCGTTCTTGCCCAAATATAGAGCCTCCCAAGGTCGGCCTATATTGGGAGAACTCAGGCATATTTCACGTCATAACCTCTAAATATTGTACCTATACATGTAATAGAGTATCGTGTAGTATAAAAGCTGCACAAAAGATCAGATTGTCATTACCACAGATGGTGCTATTTTCAAAGATGGCATGAAATTCATCTGGGAATGTGACAGAAAAACAAGTACATATCTGGTTGTTTGAGGATTGCGTTGTTTGGATACATTATTGTGGAAATGGTAGGTCGGACAACAAAAAAGACTTTATAATAATGTTTTTACTGATATTTCAACATGGGGAAATAAGATCCTAGAATCATGAACACAGCATCAAATTTCAGGTTTTATTGGAAAACAAAGATGTAAAACAATATCAACTGCATACTAAAGAGAAAAGATATACAAATTAACACTAGACAGACTAGTTATTACAGACCAACTCTTTCAAACAACACGAGGTAACATTAGAAAATATTTCAGTCCACACAACAGTATACCTTAATCTCATTGACTTGCTTCCTGGCTCTATGGCCTCTGTATTGAGACTGAATCTTAGTTGCTGCCTTATTATTTGAGTCCTAACAGTCAATAGAAAGACTAATATGTTCATGGTATTCAATAAACTAATTATTTTCTATAAAAGAATATAAGTTAATCAAACTACACATAGTTATAGACCTCTCAGGTCAACATCTTTAGAAATAAAGAAAATGCATCTGGTATGGTACATTAAACAAGATCTTACAAGTTCAGGTTATCAACCTATATACTAATATTATCTATATTATTCAGAAGCTCCACATCTAGAAATTATAAACTATTTAGGCTTGACTACCTTCTCTTTCTTATCTCTCTGATACTTCTTTCTCGCTACACTTCCCCTGTATGACGCTTGAATCTTGGTTGCTGCCACATCCTGCTCTCTCTATACATCAAAGAGAGAATCACAATAACATACATGATGAATAAGCACAAGGAATTAAAGGACCATATAATACTAATGGATGGACTATCAGTTTCATCACTGATGCATACAGCCAGAATTATTACCCTCGTTATATGCATTGAAAAGCTTCTTAATGAGACTTAGTATTATGATGATCGATGATATGCAGCAAAACAAAAAAGAGGATGAAAAACAAGTTGTATCTTATTTATAGTCTCTATGCTTTGTTTTCGATGAGTATATCTGTTGTGGTTATTCACCCATTGCATGGTTTACAACTTATAACAAATGGTATTTTCTTATCTAGATCATTCATGGTTTCTGCCAAAGTTTATTTACTTACACGCAGAATTCTGAAAGTGTATTTAGGGTAGGAGAAACTGGTTCCGATTCTTGCCTAAAGGGGGAGAAAGGTAAACAAGGCATTAACATGCAAAATGTCACCACCTGCTATTTGTTAAGGATGCTGAATGCCGTCACAAAAAGGTTGGAGACCAAAACAAAAGGTTGGAGACCATAACAATATGTCACCACTTTTGGTGGTGACATAAAACTAATGTCTGTAAGGGGTCTAGAGGGAACCAGATATAGTTAACTTAAACAGGCAATGCGCCTATTTTTGAAGGAAAAGGGACAAAATATTATTTGAGACTTGTCACTCACACAGTCAATCAAATATGATAAAAACTTTTATTTGGGATAATACTGATGTGAAAAAAAAATTACTTGCATAGAAAAACACCATTTGAAGTTCAGAGATTGAAAAAAGTGAATTACCACTTTTCACAAAGTGTATGTTTTAAATAACTCTTGGATTAAAAGATGGCGTATGCTTGAAAATCCTATCAAAAATGAATGGATAATTAATGCAAACAACAATGCCATCTTTCTATCGCATTGCTAAAAACTTGACATATAAAAATTGATAGATCAAAAATATTTTTTCATGATCAAGTGTCAATTCCGATGTGGTCTGTTTGAGCTGTTTTTGGTGTCAAATGAAAGATCAGGTACTTATTTATCCATTGGAAATACTATGAAGATTTAAAGTGAGACTTAATTTACGCACCTTATCCCTTTAAACTGGTCCTATCAACTTAAGTATTTAAATATGTTTAATAAGACATTTAAACATGTTCTACCTTAAGCTGACTATCATCTGGAGTATTGTCTTGAGCATTATCTGGAGCATCATCAGAATTATTTATATCTGGAGTATTATTTGATGATATATCAGCTGAATCAGGGGTGCCTGTGCTGCCAATACAGTACTCTCAGTAACAAAGCTCACACATCGCCATCCGCCGTACACTCATTCGGGAAGCGGGCGTAGTTCGTGCGCTGAGCGTTCGTTGGTCGCTCGCTATTCGCGCGCGATGCGGTCGTAGATCGCCAGCGCTCAATGCGCTGAGCGTCCGCTTCGCAGTCGTTCACCACCAGCGCAGTTGATGAGCATGTAAGATCCGGCCGTAGAATTCAATGGAACATTGCAACATTAATAACTGTAATCATTTTAAACTAGAATTCCAAGGGAGAAATGCAATTTGAAAGAAGTTATTACTTTCAACGCATTATTCATTATTTTCTATTTTTATTTACCTTTTATAGCAATTCATAATTTGAAAGAAGTTATTACTTTCAACGCATTATTCATCATTTTCTATTTTTATTTACCTTTTATAGTAATTCATAATTTGATTTGAAATATTTTAATGAAACGAACGGTTCAATAAAAATCGCGTAAAGATGCCTAAAACATAACGCTGAGCGTCCTTTTAGCAGTTAAGATCTCGGCCGTAGAATGTAATATGAAACTGTATAAATGCAACACTACGCTTTGTGATCGGATAAAATAAGGCATCGATTTCTGCAAGAAAATTCAACAAATCTAGAAGATTTTTTTTTCAAGATAAAGAGAAAGTTTACTCTTGAATTGCTTTAAGAATACAGTAGGCGCTGCAAACATCATGACATCTAATCAAAAGGTTCATCGTCACCAACGTGCAAAAGGCAATGTTTTTGCTATAAATCAGTGATCTACACGAGCCGAAAACAAATACTTATAAGGGACGTTATTATCACAAAACTAATGTTATTGCTTTCTTGTTAGTTTAATGTACATGTACACGTACCATACGAATGTACGTGTACACGTACCATACGAATGCGGTTGCCGTAAACGGGGAAGGGGGAGTGATACATACGATGGAACAAATTCACGAATTCGTATTTTTTAAAAGGAACTCATTAACTCTGAAGAGTGAGATGGGAAAATTTGGAGTAATTATATGAAATAAAATGAAGTAACATATTATTATCATGTCTTTAGACACATTACTCACCCCGTTCAATTTGTATAGGCCTATAACGCATGAAAACTTATTTTTAAAAGCAAGCAAGGACATTCATTTTGATGATCACTTTACTAACATGTATTTAAATCACAGGTCGTGTAGATCCCCGTGGCTTGATTTATAGCAAAAAATTGGCTTCAGACAGTGGGCGGAGCGGTCTCCCGATGTTTTCGTCCAGTACAGTTGTCAGAATTCCCGGGCGGAAAATACGCCCGGCAATACGTCTTTTAAAATCCCAATAGAGCTTTAATATATGTTATGGTATTTTTGATCACATGGTACTGAATCGACCAATAAAATCACACGGTTTCTAGCAATGATACTAGGCTATTATTAACATTGGGTACGCTATTCCAGTGAGCGAAGCAGTCTTCCGACGGCAAGCGGCTGACATTCTGAACAGCCTATTCCATGACACGTACAATTCTAGGGTTTTCTCTTGGTCCCTAGTGATATTTTGAGCTATAGGCCTAATGAGAGATTATACAAAAATTAAAAAATGGGGAAAATAGGGCGGGCAATCCAAACTTTAATAAATGGTCCATGATCATTGAATGGCCGCTTTGAACTCATTGTTGCACCTTTAATATGTTGTTTTTTATTATATGGTACTGTTTAATTGTTTACGGTAATAACTGATGTTGAGGTGTCGAGGTTTGGAGATCCTCGCCTGTCACGTGGATGGTCCGGGTTCGAGTCCAAGTCTGACATTTTTTCTTTTTTTTAGTAAATGGTTGGTTGTGCTTTGATTTTACGCTTAAAATACATTTATAAATACGCTTACTTTATATTATATTAAAGCATTTATTATCCCTTCAGTTGTATGAAAATGAAAAATTATTGATGTTCTCATATTGCGTTTTGGTTAATGGCCAGCCTTTAACACTGGGTACGCTATTCCAGTGAAATCTATAATATGCAAATACAACTCCAGAAGACCGTAGAAGAGAACAGCAGGAAACTCGACCTTATCTTGAACCATTTTGAAATAAATGAAACTCCCAGAACAAGAACAACTTCTCCATCAGATGAAATATTTTCAGACACCTGCATTTGGAACGCAACTATAGAACAATTTTACAAGGTCAGTGAGACAAGAAGAGTGTCCTTTGACACACTCTCTGACTTATGTGAACCCCCCCCCCCCCCCCCTATGATGGCCTACCTGATGTGAGCGATCCCTACACTATCGAGGCAGGAATTATCCAAGTAGAAAATTCTGCTTAAGCCGTAGTATAGTTTACAACATCAATGGATATAATTACACATTAAAATATACGTTGTTATTAAATTCAGAAACTTTCACGGCCGGAGCGTATTGTCGGATTTTAAACTTGATATTGTCTGATAGTCTCAGATATTGTTTATTGGATTGTAATCTAGATTCTTCTCCTATTTTTTTTATTTGGGAACGTATATCTTTTGTTATTATGTATGTATGTATCTTTTATTCCCGATTTCAAATCTCAGATCGGATTTACTCTTTATAAAGTTCAAAAGACGAGAGCGTTCGTTTAAATAAATAATTGAATAACGCAAACCACGTTCTTAAAGTTTTTATTCAGAATCGAATTTTATATTCAGTACTTAATTTATTTTATTAGTTACAGTGAAAAGCGGGCACATACAGGTTTGCTGCCAAGGACCGTATTTTGGGTTTATAACGGGGATATTGCTCGAGCTTGAAAATAAAAGGCATGTTCTTATACCTGTATTCTGTTCTTTGATTGTGTATGAAGTTGCGCTGCACGCCAAACGTTAATATTGTTAAAACACTTAAAATAAAACTTTATTCCTTTCAATTTACATAAAAAATGAAACAGATTAGATTCGAATTCCAGTCACACCGGCCACTGATCAAAGGAAGTACAAATATCTATCTATATGCTTGGTAAATTCTTCCGAGACAGACTTTTGCTATTTCAAAATTGAAATATGCCAAATTCCTATGAAAAAATCAAATAACCACGCGATCTTTTTCCCTGGGTTTTACTCTATTTAAAATTTATTTGAGTTTGTGATGATTGCGTTTGCTTCTCACGAGTTCATTGAAAAGTCCAGTAAAACTTCGGAGATCAAAAGACTAATTAGGCACCTGATTGCGAAAGTTTGATTGCATTTGATCGCCGGGATTTTACAAGCGTATTGTTTAAGAAGCGATCGTGTTTTTGGATCTTGATAACTTCTTATTATAAGTTAGGTTGGAACTGGAAGCAATGAGTATGTCGGCCTTTCTCAAGTCCACATAATGAAACAATACCCCTTTATATCAGTCCAATTGGGTTTTGCATAAACATACCAGTTTTATATTGCAAAGAGAACTATAATTAATAGCCTATATAAAAGCATCATGATAAACCATGGCATCTCATGTCTGCTCAGCATGTTTCAGGTGAAAAAGAAAGATACCAAGAGTAACAGAATGACATAAAAGGGTTTTGTTTGGTATTCAAAATAATTGTAAATAATATTTAATTCATCATACGATTGAATAATTATGATGCATCAATTAATACAATGTACATGAAATTCGTCTGTTTAATTCATTTCATTTCAGGATAGTGGGATGCTACGAGAGGGATAGCAGGAAGAGAGGCGAGGCCGAAGGGGTTGGTGCAAGCCTTCACTACAGACAGGAGTAAATGCATTGTGGAATTCGACGCAGTTCTGAAAAATATTTAGTTATAATCATTAATTCAATGAATGCATTCGACCATTTGCAACCACAACTGACTTTCGAATCCCAAGAGTCAGTGGGTTACTTGGCGTTCATGTTAATTTTCAGTTACTTGTTTCATTGTTTATATTTGAAAGTTAATAATTAAGGGTTTGCGTTATCTTTCAGATATGTATTAAGAGAGATTCAGCTACATACATTTAGCAAAACCTGATCTTTATACTAAACTAGTCAAATTTAAAGACAACTTTGAGAGATATACCCCAGACCCGTAGCCAGGATTTGCCAATGGGGGGGGGTCACTTTTTGATAAATTCCAGGAGGGGTTCACTTGTGACAATTTTGGTCCAAAAATGGCCAAAATCACTTAAAAATGCTCAGAAAACAGCAACATTTTGAGAAAATGTTTGGCCAGGGGGGTCGCCCGAACCCATCGAACCCCCTTCGCTACGGGCCTGTGCCCCAGGGAAAAATAAGTTTTACGCGTTCACCTAAAGAACGTGTAGCTTAACCTCTCTATTGTTTTATTACAGGTGGCGGCGATCGTGACAATTTCGAAGACAAAAAGCTCTATATTAGCAGTATTGAAATAGATTTATTGTTTTTGCATGTTACATAATATAAGCTTATATAGAGTTACAGTTTATAGCATGCTCTTTTTATTAATTTTGATATGAAAATGTTGCACTGCTGCCGCTGCAGATGTCTATTTCTTTTGATTATTTAGCAAATATTGCACTCTATCATGGTGAATTATACCTGTACATCTTTCAAAAGTGATACTACATGTACTGGTATACCACGAATCCTCCCTGGCAAATCCTGACTAAGGGCCTGAGATAAAACGAAATATTTGTTTTATTATATGACTGTCCAGCTTACATTCTCAATAATACTAAATATATTAAATATTATATATTGTCAAAAATAATATTATATTTGTCAAAACAATAAGTGTAATTAAAATAACAAACAAAAGATTATTCATTAATCCATCAATTTCCCTGTTCAGCGGATGTTTGGCTACTTTAATTATGAGAAAGTCTAAAGATCACCCAGGACTCTTGATTACAGCAGAAGTCGTCTAGGACTCTGATTATAGAAAATATCGTCTCAGCCTTTGATTACAGAGATCGTCTAGGTTTTCACCTTCAAACCCACCTTGTTGATTGGGTGTATTATGAGCTTTCGAGAAATCAATGACAATATTTGCCCTTTCAGGCCCGTAGCCATTTTCCAGTGATGGGGGCAGGGGGTCCACATTAAACAACATTGGTCATCACTTAAGTTAAAAGAGCTCAGAATCATGAAAAACTGCACGATTTTAAATAAACTTTGGAGAAAGGCGATGATTGAACCCCCTCCCCCTTCAAATGCAATGGAAGTCAATTGCAATTATATTCGAGGGTTGCCATTTGAATGAAAGAAAAGCATAAATTAAATATTAAAACTTCCCACACTATCACGTCTTTGCCTCTCTATGTTTGAATTTTTATTTTCCAATCCTTCAGGAAAAAAAACAAAATATATAAGGATATGTGACTTGATATGCGACTTGATATCCCCAAAGGTCTCAAAAGTTTATAATTATTTTTGAAAAACCTCTCCCATAGAAAGAATACAGGAGGAGGTGGAAATGGCTTCGAAACCCTAAAAATTAATGTTACCAGAGACTTCAAGTACACGCACGTTTGCGTATGGATTGATACCCTGCGTGCAGAGTCTAGTTAAACTAAGACGGAGCTCTCTTTTAAGAAGTGAAGTCGAACGAATGCAAAGGGTAATGGATTGAATACTTCACGTGGTAAGGTTCTAAACTAACTATCAAAACAAAACAAAGCATGCAATTCTATTGGCGATCCTGCCAGGCACACATGCACTCTTCGGGAGCGTTACCATTTCTATTTATTAAATTAAAATCAATTATAGGCTATATGGAATTCCTTGTAGGCTAGTCCTAACTCTGTTAAAAATTATTATAGATAAAACACAGAGATAAAACCAATGTCAGCCATCTCAATGCAGATAATATCTGAAAATCCGTCTAATCAAGTAACAATAACAAAAACAATTAACAGATTCGTGCCAATTAATTAATTATCGGACTATGGATTTTTCATAGTTTATGCTTGCTTCAAGCAACTGCGTACCCCTCTCTCGTCAGTAAACATAGGTCGGAAGAAATCATCTTGAGATTTTGACATTGTACTTGAGGCAATTTTCATGAACTATAAAATGAAGACCGCCATGTTTAATTGTTGAACACTCATTTAACCTGCGATATATTGCCTGTGTTGTAACCAATTTCAATGGGAACCCGTAAAACAGAATACAAATATATTATACAATATATTAAGAACGGAATGATAAAGTATGAAAATTCCCCTCATTCGTTATCCGGAATCGTGATTCTTAACAGGAAAACAGATATGATAGATAATTCTATCTGAATTAAAGGTGACAGTTTACTACCCAACCTCGGAATTCAAGGATGCACTTTCCGTGCTGATTTTATTTGCCAGTCACATAAGGCTCAGGAGGCATGGACTCTTTCAGATTTCCCAGATTTCCCCTGTCATTCTTATTTCCAGTATCGGGAGATTTAACCAGTTAAATGTTCCGATCGTCACAACATCCTATGGACCGAGAGGTTTCACAGGTTTATACATGCAGCACTTATTATTGGAAGGATATATGGAATGTACATGCATACTGTGCTGAATATACATGTACAGTATGCATGTATGAATCCGTGAAATCTCTCGGTGTATCGAATGTTGCGACGATCGGAACATTCACTGGTTTAATCTCCCGACACCATTGTGTGATCCACAGCAAGTTTTATCCTTTGGAATACCAAAGGGTTAGATAAAGTGAGACTCCGATAGATCAGAATGTCCCGACACGGGAATCAGAATGACAGAACAAATATAATTTTGAATACCATGGCCATGAGACTAAATCTATGAATGGGAGGTAGGGAATCGCACAATTCTGTAATTCCAATGCTGACCTTGTGTTTTATCAACGTTATACAATCAGGCCCGTAGCCAGGGGGGGGGGGGGTTCGCATGGTTCGGGCGAACCACCCCCCCCCCCCCGGCCAAAAATTCTTTCAAAATCATGCAGTTTTTGACCATTTTGAGCACTTCTCTAGTGATTTTAGCCTAATTTGGGCCAAAATTGTCAAATGTGAACCCCCTGGAAATTTTTGAAAATTGAACCCCCCCCCCCCCCCCTTGGCAAATCCTGGCTACGGGCCTGACAATGAACGATGCAAACAAAACAGATCGTACAGTCGTAATAAATCTTATTCTAATTCTAATTCCTACATGAAATCTCACCACCAAAGACTGGTAACATTTGAAAGACTTTATCTAATTCGTGTAATTCAAAAAAAACAAATCAAATCAAAATTAAAACATGCAAACATGTATATCTGCTTATGGAGGAATATCCGAGAAAATGTACATGTGTGACGCTGGTTTTCAGTCCCGGGTTTTCAGTCCTACATCGCCGCGTAATACCTGAAAAGCAACTAACTTATCTGCTTATTATAAGTTATCAAATAATTTAACAATGAAACAGAAACACAATGCATGCCAAACATTTATCTATATTATATTAGGGTTATTATGTGTATTTTGCACTTGTATCGAGCAGCTGTGTAGGCAAGACTCACAAACTATATCTCCATGGGCTATAACTTGAAGAACGCCACTGACGGGTCTGTGCCCTTTAGGATGGGCCGTATTGTTCTTGTTGGTATCTTACCCATGGGAACCTACAAAACAGAAAATATATAATTACATTGTGAAGAGGAAGTCCTGTCTATATAAAACTCCCTAGAATAAGATACAAGCAGTATAAACATCCATATTTGCAAAAAGTTACGATAAACCACTGTCAGAAGTAGTTGTAGTATCATATGCGTATAGCTTTTCGAAAAGTTGATAAAACGCAAAATATGATTGGAATAGCAAAACAATAATAATTGCAATTTATGTTTATCATTACAATTATTCCCTGAAATCAAGAATAAAATGTAACTTTCTTTAGATACATGTATCTGTCGCATTTGCTTAACCTGAAAGGCTAGTTCCGGGGGATAGTTTAGTCAAATTGACGAATTTCTAAAATGACAAATCATCATACTGGAGTATCTTTTGATTCTTTTCCACAGAGGTACGCTAATATCCGATCTATTATCGTACTTCAATATTTTTGTTTTTACGAAATGGAAACAAGATCTTTTATGTAAACATCCGCATTTAAAATTAATTTTGATATATCCTCAGATTATCATAGAATAATTCTGTGAATCCCAAGCACAACCCATTACAATTAAATGGTCTATCAGTCAATCTGTATTACAACAAATGAATAACAATCCTGAAAGTATTTCAAATATATTTGTCTTTGAATGTCGGAATAAAAATCATCGACGGTCCAACTTCAACGTACAATCTACGTGTGCGTACAGACATAATGACAGACTTATCATTTGTCCTCATTGTGATTTGCCCGTCTGAAAGATTATTTTATAAATTATGGTAAAGAATGCTCTATAAAAGGATTTCTACATTTTTAAAACGGCAATAGTAGTTTTTATTGAAAAAAACTAGTTCTAAGTATACTTATTTATTGAATTGTTTCAAGAATATAACTTAATAGTGGACACAATTTTTACCCGCTCAAAACATAATCTAACTCTCAAGAAATATTATTATGAGTTCATCGATGTTTTCTTGGATCCTTCGATGTACAGGTAAGTTGCACAATGCATTGATTTACACTGTGCCGACGGAAATGCCGTCCCGATGACTTAGCCGATCGGCAGAACTATCCCGATGGCGATGCCTATCGGAGTGTTACCAAAAAAGAAAACACCGTGGATTATATACAATTTGAATTCAGTTACATGTTCTTGGTGTGTATTATGGATTTTTCAACTGATAAACTTACTACCAATTTATTCATTTAAAGTATCGAGCATATTAGTGAACCAATGATTAATTACGACCGCATACAGTATAATGGATATAAAAACATCCAGTTCAATTACAATCTAAACAATCTGCTTTCATTTCGTGCTCACTGTGAATTCTACCGCTAAGCATATGTACAGTGCATACATGTATAAATTACTATCTGATAACTACATCGGTCGTATAGCGCATGCTAAGCGCTAGCTAAGCAGTAGAATCGCTGTCGCTGTGAGCACGAAGAGCGCTCGGCGCACAGACGAAGAGCGGGCGTGCAGCGGTCGCGATGCACGCGTAGAGCAGCCGGCATCTCGACGGCATGGCATGGTGTGAGCTTTGAAAATACTTGTACTGTAGGTGGTAAGACTGCATACTTTTTCTGTCCAATCTGTAAATAATTTGTTTTTAAGTGATGGGCATCCATCCAATCTTCCAACCAGAATTGTATAACCTATGCACTTATTTAGTGTTCACTAATAGAAAAATTTCATGAGTCTGTATATAAAACAAGGTAAGAAACAATTGATGATAATGATACAAAATGATAGAAATGTTGATAAGACCAAGGTGTTAATTTGTACTTATTGTATACTTTACTTACATACTGTATTTGTCTTTAATTTGGGTAGCGTTTTTAAATTGAGTTTTGGTGAATCAAAAAAATCAACAAATTAAATAGTCGCCAAAATCCCCGGGAATATGACATGTTTTTCATTCTGTGCAATGCTTATTATAAGAAAGATACCAAGATGGCTGGGCTGTTTAAATATATAGACACAACAAAAAATATTGAAGAAATTTATATAAACAACAAGAAATATTGAAGAAAATGTTCATCAACAACACTAACAATGAGTATCTTGAATTGGGTTGGATGGGAGGATGTCTTGGACACTTGAAAAACCGCCAAATTAAATAGAAGCCAATAGGCCCAAAAACAGAAAATCGACACTAAGTAGCGCCAAATTGAAGACAAATACAGTATATTGTGACCTATAATGGAGGTTGAGTGTGATAACATTGGAAGCTATGAGCATGGTCCAAGATAACTGCCTTGAAAACAAGTTCCACGAAGCCTACATTACTTACTACAGAATTTACTATAATGGCCTTAGCTGTTTATCTACACTCGATAAGTTTTATTTTGGGTTTATTTTAATAGAAAAAACATCTGGGACATCTTTGAATATATACAGCACACTTAATCTACCTTTGGTTGATCGTGTTGTTTGGCAGTAGGTTTGACAGGAGGTACAGGGTTACTACTTCTAACTGGGGGTGTATCACGCTCCTTTTTAACATGCTAAATGAAAGAGAATCAACCAAAATAAGCCATGCTTTAGTGTAGTTTAGTCCCGCATTAAGACCCTGGCAGAGCTTGAGCTAAGGGCCATTTCCAGATTACATTTGATACAAACTAGCTGATATTTTCAGTAGATAAAGGAAAACATAACTGCAACTGGTCCATCTAATGACTATTCATAACAGATTTCTCAGTTCAAAATTTCTCTACTGTGTTATTCGTGACACAATGCTTTCAAATAGCACATGAATGATCAGAAGGTGTAAAGGAGTTGTCAAGTTAAGTAACTTAAATGATTGTCATTCTTTGAACCTGGAATTGATCACTCTAGCTCAATCTCTGCTCAATATTTTGGACAAATCAGGTACCAAGCAATATTTGAACTAAATCAGAAGGCAAAAGTCACAAAATAACTAAACTGAAAGAAAATAACAGAAGAAATATCTAAATACACGTATGCTAAATAAATTATTCCATTTACAGGTATCATAGGATCAATGGATTACATCAATTCTTATTCTACGAATGGTCATTTTAATTGATATCTATCAGCTCAACTATCATAATAGGTAGGAGAAAAGACAAAGAAATCAATAAATATCATGGGTAACTGGTAACATAATACATGTACAGACATTACATATTCCTGAAAATCCACATCTAAGGCTATTGATTGGCTACCTTTTCGACTTTTCTTGCTTTGTATTGTTTTCTAGCCTTATGGCCCCTATAGCCAGACTGTATCTTAATAGCTGCCAGATCTTTGTCCTTCTACAATAGAACATGCATATACAACTAGAACGTATTCATATAGATCTACCATGTATAGTGTATACCATGCATAGGCGTAGCCAGGGGGGGGTGTGATGGGTGTGACTGAAAACTGAAACATTTTTGGCAATCACACCCCACCTGACTGAAATCTGGCTACGCCCCTGCCATGCCATATGACACCTTAGTGACATACAAAGTTACAAACATAACTATTTATCAAATCTTCCAACTCCTATAAAAACTCATAAGATTATCTTGGTCTTACCTCATCTGATGGATTCTTCTTAAGTTCTTTATCACTGGAGATAGACTTTGAAGTATCTTCTATCTCTTCATCCTGAAATAAGAAGACATTTGGTATTTTCAGAATTCAAAATCTGTATACTCTAGAGACAAAAATAAATCAAAAAATGATTTTAAAAAAGCCAGAAAGATTATTGAAACAAACCTTGATCTCCTCTGCCTCAACCTGGTCTATGGGTAGATCTACTCTTGTGTCCTTTGACTCTTCTATTTCCCTGGCATCCCTGTCTCTAACATGCCTTGCCTTGAACACTCCACCTTCATCTACAATAAACATATACAATTTCATATATTTATCCCTGTCTCTAACATGCCTTGCCTTGAACACTCCTCCTTCATCTAAAATAAACATATACAATTTCATATCATTTATCCCTGTCTCTAACATGCCTTGCCTTGAACACTCCTCCTTCATCTAAAATAAACATATACAATTTCATATCATTTATCCCTGTCTCTAACATGCCTTGCCTTGAACACTCCTCCTTCATCTACAATAAACATTTTCAATTTCATATCATTTATCCCTGTCTCTAACATGCATTGACTTGAACACTCCTCCTTCATCTACAATAAACACATACAATTTCATATTATTTATCCCTGTCTCTAACATGCCGAGACTTGAACACTCCTACTTCATCTAAAACAAACATATACAATTTCATATTATTTATCCCTGTCTCTAACATGCCTAGACTTGAACACTCCTCCTTCATCTAAAATAAACATATACAATTTCATATTATTTATCCCTGTCTCTAACATGCCTTGCCTTGAACACTCCTCCTTCATCTAAAATAAACATATACAATTTCATATTATTTATCCCTGTCTCTAACATGCATTGACTTGAACACTCCTCCTTCATCTAAAATAAACATATACAATTTCATTCTGGCATTCTAGCCTCTACCATGCCTTGATAATACACAGAATATTTGCTTTGTCTTGATAGCAAACAATAATACATAGGAACAATCCCGGGGGGTTCACTGTATATAAAACTCGACGGGGGTCCTAGGCTGAAGCCTCAAATATCAATATGTTCCCATACCAATCTGTCAAATTTCAATATGTTCCCATACCAACCAAAATAACGCCCAAAGGCCATACCAAATGTCCAAATATAGGACCAATGCCATACCAAATGTCCAAATATAGGACCAATGCCATACCAAATGCCCAATTATGGGACCAATGCCATACCAAATGTCAAAATGTAGGACCAATGCCATACCAAATGTCCAAATATGGGACCAATGCCATACCTTAATTCAAAGTAAATGAAATATAGGATCAATGTCATAGTGCAAATACAGGACCAATCGCCATACGTCAAATCAAGGACAAATGCCATACTGTAGTTGGGGTCATAAATGACCAAAATAACACGACTCACACTTTTACTCATAGAGATACATCACATAAAATGTTCGGATTCAGTTAATATTTTTAACATCTTACTCTTATCTTTGGCCCAATTTCTAGTCAATACATCAGTCTTAGAATGCATGATACTAGAAAATAAAAATGAGATTCAACCTTAGATAGTTGACTAGACTTACTGTACTGCTTTAATTTGGCAAATTGGGCAAATTTTGAAATATTGGCTACTATTTAATTTGATGGATTGATACATCAGTAAAATATGGATATTAAAGGGTTAGCTAGGAAGTCACATGTATCAACGTATCAGAATCTACAACGACCATTCTCATACCAGAAGAGCAAAAGTCCGACCATTGCCATACCTCAGAAGTCAGAAATTTCCGGGCATTCCCATACCAAATCCTAAAATATGGGTCCATTGCCATACCAAACGTTGAAAAAGGTAACCCACATGCGCCGAAGATCCCCGTCAAGGTTTATATATAGTGAACCCCCCGGGGGAACAATGTACCAGTGGAGTTTAAGGTCTCCTCAACATTGTTTGCATCCTTGCCTAAACCACTGCACAACATTATCCACAACAACACAGTAAATTGTCATAAAACATATATATATTCTTACAAAGAAATATAAAAAAGTCAATATCATACACATAACAAAGCATAACACAAGGCACTAAAATTCAAAATGTCACCACCTGCCTTTTGTTACAGATGCAGACCACCAAATACCAACCCATGTCCACCAAACATCATCCACAAAAAAGTTGGAGACTATAACAATATGTTACTACTAGTGATGGTGAAATAAAAATACTTGAGAGGCAGAATAAAGCATGTGAATTTGAGAGCTTGTTCAAACTAAAAAAAATCCAGAACTAATCAATGGAATTAACTGAATGGTATTAACTTACATGGACCTCCAATGAAGATGGATTAATGGACAGAACACACCTTTAATTAATAGCATTGTAGCATGAAATGAGTAGAGGCTGGTTGATATTCTCAAGGATACTTACCTTTATCCAGGTCTACTTGTCTGGTTGTTCTTTTGTGCTTCACTGGCTTAGCATGGAAAACCTGGTCATCTTCTTTCTTTGGGCTGACTCTGCAAAAGTAGAAAGAAATAACTTTTAATACAATATGTTTTTGGTAGTTTTGTGCCTTTTACCGTTCGAATGTCCTTGGAGTAAGAGTGAGAAAATATGGGCCAATATGCCTGGATACATTTAAATCTTAAATTTTTAAAATGATAAAAAGGATGAGTGGAAAAATTGAGTTTTTCTGTTTCTTTGTAAAAACAATTTACTACAAGAACACAAATGTGTACAAAATGTCCCCACCTTTGGGTGATCCCGTCAAATGGTTATCCTAATGAAGGACCCACGGTCCTGTGCTCACACAGTTTGGAACCTTCAGAGGAATTTATATCCTGACTTTCAAACAAAAATATTGACTTGGATTTGTAGTCTCGAACTTTGAGAAACTTAGATAGCATAGTTGTGTGACCTAGTTTGATGACCTTTGACCTTGAAAATTTTACTTATTCAGAGCTCAGTAAGGTCTTTTGTGATTAAGCTGACCAAAATTTACATCCAAAAATCAATTTGAAAAATCAACTTTTTTGACCTTTCGAAGGTCACTGAAGGTCAAGTAAAGGTCAAATCCTAAAACTAATGTCAGATTTGAACTCCTGGCAACTTGTAGATGATTTTCAAAAAAACTTTGGTCAAATTGAAGCAAGTTGAAAAATAACTTATTTTTACTGTTTTTTGACGTCAAATATCTCAAAAACGGTAAAAATTTGATGCTGACATATATTGAGAAATATGTAGGGAATGCTTAAATCTATTAATGATGTAATTTATTGCAGGAAATAATCAAGTATAAGGCAAACTTTAAGAATCTTGTCAATCGCAAAACCTGCCATTGACTTTATACATGAGAAAGTTTCCTGAAAATGACAAAGTCCTACTTTTTTTCAAATTTTATAGAGTAAACACCAAAAACCGTAATTCCAAGAGCTTTGAAATCTTCAGAAGACATAAGTTGCATATACACCAACTACTAAAAGTTATTTGAAAGTTCTACTTCAACAAAGTGTCTAGTATTTACAGAAAATTAGACTTTTTGACGTCAAAATCCGCAATTTCTCGGAAACTGGGCGAACTTGGGCAATGGCGATGATAGGTCAAATAGGCATTATGGATATGCATAAAATGAATGTGGATATGACTCAATCTGAATAGCAGTTTTAATTTGTGCGGCCAATGTTGACGGACGGACGGACGGACCAACGGACGGACGGACCAACGGACGGACGGACCAACGGACGGACGGGCGCCTGGTCAATCCCATAGGCTTACTGTGTGAGCCAAAAATGAGTAGACAAGACTTTACCGACACAATTTGAGGAGGGAATATCCAAAATGGCCACCTTAAAATTTACCCAGAATGCTCAAAAACTAATCAGATCTAGATTTTCATACTAAGAATCATCCCTGAAAATGTGAAATTGATCTACCACACAGTTCACCTAAAAATGCGTAGACAAGACTTTACGGGCAAGATTTTAAGATGGAAAATCCAAAATGGCTGCCTTGACATTTATCCAGAATGCCAAAAAACTAATCAGATCTAAATTTTCATACTAAGAATCATCCCTGAAAATTTGAAATTGATCTACCAAACAGTTCACCTGGAAATGCGTAGACAAGACTTTACAGACAAGATTTTAGGACGGAAAATCCAAAATGGCTGCCTTGACATTTACCCAGAATGCCCAAAAACTAATCAGATCTAGATTTTCATACTAAGAATCATCCCTGAAAATTTGAAATTGATCTACCAAACGGTTCACCTGAAAATGCGTAGACAAGACTTTACAGACAAGATTTTAGGATGGAAAAATCTAAAATGGCCGACAATAAAAAAGTGATTATGAGTTTTTGCTGATTTCCTTTTACAAAATTATCACATATTACTACTGTTAACAATAATATAGGCTTTTACAACAAAGTACACCTGAAATTATTTATAAAGCTACTAAATAGTTAAAGTATGAAAATTGAAAAACACCATTCAATATGATAAAAAGTATTATCGCGCGCTAACTTTTTTTAAAACATTCAAAATGGCTGACATGACTGAGCTAACAGGTCCAAAACCTAATCAGATGTAGAATGAAGTGAGCTGAACAAGATGTTAAAGTTTCAAAAGCAACTGTGAAGCCATTTTTCTTAAAGCTTGCAGACAAGTTATCACTGAAAATTTGAAGGTGATATCTGTGGCGGTTTTGGAGAAAACTGCCGGACGTACGGACGGACGGACAGACAGACAGACAGACGCGCCTAGGCCGACAATATGGCCCCACACTATGTGGTGGGGACATAATAAAAAGGAAACTAGGTCTAATGGCACATATAATATTAGCATACCATTATTTTCAAGCTTGATGCACTGTTCTCTAAGCAAACTCCCACATTGGAAATAGCAGGAAATACTAATAAGTGAACAGTATAGCATAATTGCCTTTCAGGTGTAATTAGGATATTGGAGATCTGTCACAATAATTACATAAGAACACCATGTCATATATTCAATTAATTTGCAAATGAGGCACATTTATTATTATCTCAAATGATCGGCCTTTTAAATCATTATATATTTTACATATAAGGAGAAAAGATAGTGGGAGAAACCAGTAACTTGAAACATCCCGATGATGTTAATTCAATATCCAAAAGATCGGCTTAATTCAAAAAGGAATCAAACAAATAACAAAATGTTTCTTATTGCGACATCATGCTGTGTTATAGACAGAATGATCAACACAGCCAACAGACCAATTTATCAATTTATGCATTTTTTCAAATCAGTAAATGATAACCAATTTCTATGAATATTGACCTTGCAAGTTTCAACAACAATTCCATTGAAATATTCCATGTAATCATAAAAACAGGATTAAAGCTAGTATTTAAAAGGCTCAGAGGCAACGGTTAAAACTTATCCAACAAATTTTGGTTCAACAATACACACACCAGGCAAATATTAAGTGTAGAAGGTATCGATCTTTATATAATAACTTGATCCAATTTCAATAATGTGATTTCTACATAAAACTATTTGAATTTGGCAATATGAGTCACTGACAAGTGAACTGACACGTTTCAACAGCACTCATTTTGAAATGTGACTAAGAACTTACCAGGAAAATACAAAATACAATTCTACTTTAATTAATTAATATTCTGTACAACTAAACTTTGGATTTCTTAAATGATATCTTCTTGAGACAAATGGACAGTAGAAAATCACAATGAAGTCTCCTTGATTGATCAAATAATATGATACAAATAAAAACCTATTGATCTAGCATAAAACTGATTAACACAGAGATGATATTAATATATTCATTACTAAAAATTTGTCCCGAGTGACTTGTTCACATCCAAATGATCTAGTATATAATTAGATAGAGTCTGATATACTATATATACTTTAAAATTCTCATCAAGTATTAATTACATCCTCTGTAATCGACTGTATCATTCAATTTCAAAGCTACTTAGTCAGATTAAATCTTTACTAGTCACACCATAAAGAAACATGTTATAAAAAATTCATTACGACTTTGAAATTGAAAGATTAAGAACAAATAACAATTCATCATAGGTGCCTTTTATCAAGGACATATTAAATAATGAGACACCTGGGGATAGTAAATTGCCTGTAGACTCAGAGAGTAGACATAATATCTTTTTTTGCCTTTTCATTATCATAGGTTAGGCTATGGGTACAATGACTGAGGATACCTTGACTGAAAGTGCCTTGACTGCAGGGTACCCTGACTGGAGTTACCTTAAATGAAGGGTACTTTGACTGAATAGCAACTTGACGGAAAGAACTTTAAATGAAGGGTAACGTACCTTGACTGAAATTACCTTGACTGAAGAATACCTTGACTGAAGCAGGGGCGTAGCCAGCTTTCAGTCAGGGGGGATGCGATCACCAAAAAAAGTTCAGTTTTCAGTCAGGGGGGTGTGATTGTGAAAATGTGCTTCATCGCTTAACCTAACCACTTTGCAAGTCTGTCTTCAAACACGCGGTGCCCATTTGGAACACATTATTTGAATGGCCAACAAATGGGCCATACAATTGCTATAGTAGTGAAACTTTGTCAACTTAAAGAACATTGAACTAACTTGAATTGTGCAAACTTTCTTTAACTAAACTCTATTGGTTAAAGAGATATTTTTGGTACACCTTTTTGTACTTTGAAAATTTGAAGTTATGTATTTTCATTTTGCAAACTGATAGGACTGATATTCATCCTACAGGATACAGATCATATCAGATGTTAATTGGTCGAAAAATATAACAGTGCAGCCAACTTGCAAAAAATGAAAAAGACCGATTTGAATGTATTGACCAACCAGTATGTACATGTATTGAACAATCATAGTATTTAAAGTTAAGCTTCTCCAATGAGCCTCATAGTATCTGAAGAGAATAATAACAGAGGTATCATTAAGAATGAAATTAATATGCTCACCTCTTTGACTTTGCTTTGCTTTTATCACTGGTCTCACTGGAGCCAGTAGAGTTGCGTGTACTATTGGTTCCCCCGTCAGATTTGCGCACACGCTTGATAGGTGGCAGCTTGCCAGGACTGTACTTTCTAAAAGAAGTAAAATAAAACATTCTAATGTAAAATAATGAAATAAAATATAATAAAGTGCCCAGTTTGACTTCAGTAGTCATTTCAAAAATTTCTTTTTCTGTCAATTTCATTCATTAACAAAATATCGTTATAACCGATCATTAACAAAAAATCTGAAATATGCCAAAATACTTATATATAGGGCATACCATTCTAGGATGGGTTATAACAAAGATCTTAAAATTCCAATAACAATTGCCTGGTCACAAAATTAATTATTTAAGGTCTCACTTTTCTATAATAATAGAATTCCTATAATGTGGTGATTGTAATCTTAAATAGAGAGAAGGCCAGGGTAGGCAAATGAATAACATGTATGTTTAGCATATCCTCAATGAGTGCCATGATTAGTCAAGTTGGTGCTTATGCATGTCAAAATGTTGACCTTGCAAAAAAAAGTAGTTGAATTTCACCTTTTTAGTGATATTGCACTAATTTTTTGCTATGTGTAAAAAAATCTATGAAAATGAATCAATGAAAACTAGTTATCTAATGCATCCATAACTTGTTTGTTAGCCCTTGAATTTGGGCTCCCATCCTCATTCAAAGTCTCATACAAGACACTCATGCTTAACAATACATTGAACCCTAAAACTTATATCATTTATTTGATATTTCTATGAATACTATGCCTTGGAAAAAAGAAAAAGAAATGCTATTCTCTGCAATATGTTATGAAATGTTATGTATATTGTTGCTTATTGAAGAAGGGTGGCCTCTCTGCCCCCCCCCCCCTTACAATAATAGTAGCTACAAGGATCTAAGAGGCAACTAAAATTCTGAATTTTGAGATGATTGCAATACCAGCTAGGAAATCATAAGAGGGCTGTAAATATTAGCTACAGGGTGGGCCAAACCCCCCCCCCCCCCCCTAGCCAATATTCCTGATATATGGTAGTTGAACACTTATATGATAATGAACACTTCTCCAGACGCTGTGATCAAAAAGAACTGAAAAAAAACTTTCCACATAAACAAAGTACAAATCATGAAAATTGTATGAATCATAAATTGTAAACAAATGGTAAAATGAGAGCCCTAATTTTTTCAATATATACTTAGTGATCAACGTGTACATTATGACTATGATGATTAAAAAGGGGGAAATACCAGAATTAATAGTTAATATTATATTTGTATGAGAGATAACGACTTCTCATTTATAAATCCATACTAATGTAGATGTTTTTCTCGCAGACTATGGCATTTCACAAGTCTCTTGACATTGAGCAAACCTACTTCACCTATGTTTGTAAGAGTTGAGTATGTGCCTTGAGCACTGCCTCATATCATTCTTGTCAACCTTGAAAATTAGTTCTCCCATATCATTCAAGAAGTATAAATTTTACAGTTAACCTCTACAGAGGTCAATAATTGTATATTGTAAAATGAAAACACAAAACCCAATCAGGAATACTAGTAATATTTAACTAGCCATTGATTGCGTAGGATATATAATTAGTTAAGTTAATAGTTACGGTATATATTGGATCAGTGAGTAATTTCATGGTTGCTATAAATTGCATGCAACATCAGATAATACAAATTACATGTAGATGATTTGTACCATTCAGAATACAAGTTGCCATAGCAACTCAACTTAGACATCCTGCCTCTTCAGACATCATATCTAAATTAAGCAATACTTCTGAATTGATCAACATTATTGTTCTTGATTTTGATTGATCAACATTTTTGTTCTTGATTTTGATTGATTAACTTTATTGTTCTTGATTTTGATTGATCAACATTATGGTTCTTGATTTTGATTGATCAATATTATTGTTCTTGATTTTGATTGATCAATATTATGGTTCTTGATTTTGATTGATCAACATTATGGTTCTTGATTTTGATTGATCAACATTTTTGTTCTTGATTTTGATTGATTAACTTTATTGTTCTTGATTTTGATTGATCAACATTATGGTTCTTGATTTTGATTGATTAACTTTATTGTTCTTGATTTTGATTGATCAACATTTTTGTTCTTGATTTTGATTGATTAACTTTATTGTTCTTGATTTTGATTGATCAACATTATGGTTCTTGATTTTGATTGATCAATATTATTGTTCTTGATTTTGATTGATCAATATTATGGTTCTTGATTTTGATTGATCAACATTATGGTTCTTGATTTTGATTGATCAACATTATTGTTCTTGATTTTGATTGATCAATATTATTGTTCTTGATTTTGATTGATCAATATTATGGTTCTTGATTTTGATTGATCAACATTATGGTTCTTGATTTTGATTGATCAACATTATTGTTCTTGATTTTGATTGATTAACATTTTTGTACTTGATTTTGATTGATTAACATTATTGTTCTTGATTTTGATTGATCAACATTATTGTTCTTGATTTTGATTGATCAACATTATTGTTCTTGATTTTGATTGATCAATATTATGGTTCTTGATTTTGATTGATCAACATTATGGTTCTTGATTTTGATTGATCAATATTATGGTTCTTGATTTTGATTGATCAACATTATGGTTCTTGATTTTGATTGATCAATATTATGGTTCTTGATTTTGATTGATCAACATTATGGTTCTTGATTTTGATTGATCAATATTATGGTTCTTGATTTTGATTGATCAACATTATGGTTCTTGATTTTGATTGATCAACATTATGGTTCTTGATTTTGATTGATCAATATTATGGTTCTTGATTTTGATTGATCAACATTATTGTTCTTGATTTTGATTGATCAATTCAACCTTGACTTTGAGTTTGAGTTTGAGTCAAGGTAACTTGACTGATTGTTTCAAACAACCTTGGGGTAATAGTCTAAATCATCTTCTGGATTGATTTTTGTGGAATCTACTTTTTCAAAAATAGAATCATGTAATGTTGCATGATTGTACTCACATTTTGTCAGTTTTCTTTCTATCATAGACAGAATAAGGATGCCTGCAAAGCTTATTAGCACCTGTGCTAAGAGCTATATTATAAGCACTTTTACGTATAGGAAATGGTAGTGTGTTCACCACTCTGGAATAATCATGATCAATCTTTCTCCTGTTTAATGGAAATAATCCAAGTTTATGTCTGTCATGTGAACTCTTTTTCCCAACATGATGATGTTCTCGCTGGTTTTTCCATTCTAGCACATGGGAGTAAATCCTGTATTTTTGAGCAGTTGACAGCCTACAGGAGCTGTACATGATCATTCATTACTGTTCTACACTGAAGTTTACATATTTTTGGATCTTTAATTAACTTTTAATAATCCAGCAACTTCCAGGTCCACCCACATTCCATTCTTGTTTTTTCAGTTACTATGCATGATTTCATCTTGTGTGACATCATACTTTTGACAAACACAATGCAGGACATAGAAACGATACATGAGCTGAATGGGATGGGATTTACAAAAAGCAAGAATGTCAAGTAATATGGGCTTAGGAATTATTATGGACAGTTTTTAAAGAAAAAAGTGCATACTGACAGAAGGAGACTGATGTGTAAAAACCTAATGATAGGATATTGTCTTGATTATAAACTAAGATATATAATTTTCTTACTGTTGTTGTCTTGGACTGGCTGCTCCAGACATATATGGAACTTTGTCCTCTGTGTAGGGAAGTTCTTTGAAGTTTTTTTCTGAGCCCACTGCAACATATTTGCCTTCTTTCTCGAGGTCTGAGGGCCTTGTGACTACTTGCCCATCCATGGAATAAATCCTGTAGAAAGAAACATTTCAAATTCAATATTAAATGCCACCACCTAGTTGCTCACAATATCATAAGTTCAAGCTTAAGTCAGATTTGAATTTCTGAGAACTTGGAGATGATTTTGAAAAAAAAATTGGTCAATTTGAAGTTGAAAGAAGACCTTTCTTGACCTTGAGAAGGTCATTGAAGGTGAAATCTTCTTTTACCTTGAGAATGCCATTGAATGTCAAATCTATAGTGAGATTTGAACTATTGAGAACTTGTAGATGACTTTGAAAAATAAAATTGTAGACCTTTTAACCTTTTTTGACCTTGAGAATGTCAAATCTTAAATCTAAAGTCTGATTTGAACTTCTGATAACTTGGAGATGATTTTGAAAAACAAATTTGGTCAATTTGAAGCAAGTTGAAAAAAGACCTTTTTGACTCTTTTTCACCTTTTTTGACCTTGAAAAGGTCACTGAAGGTCAAATCTTAGAAATAAAGTTAGATTTGAACTTGTTGATGATTTAAAAAAAATTTAAGTCAGTCTGAACAGTAAGAATTTGTTACAGTGCCAACTGCCACCCGCCAATTGCCAACCACCAACCGCTGCCACAAAAAAATGGAGACCAAAAAATATGTCACCGCCAAAAAGTGGTGACATAAAAAGCAGATGCAAATCAGAAGTTATGAACTGTAAAACATAGAACATACACAGTTAATGAACAACTTTTGAAACAATTCCTAATGACTGTAAAACAAAAATTGACTCTCAACCAGTAATATCATAATATTAAGGAACATAACACCATCTAATTAAATTGAACTTACCATCTTGTGGCACCTGTCCTCAGCTCAACCTTATCTGTGATGACATTAAGAATTTGTTGCCATGATCGCATTTCATTTGCACGAAGAAGAATCCTCGCTGGAGCTCTAAGGGCATCTCCATTTGCATATACCCTATAATAAATGTAGAGATGCATTATGTTCAATGCTATCATGAAGGATTTTAGATGTGCGTTTATCTCTTCAAATGTTGCCCCTTGGCCTCTACATGTGTCAGCTACACTGTGAATGAACATATTGTATGATGTGGTCTTCATATTATTGTTAGAGTATGAAACCATAAGGTGTCAGTGGGGCATTTAAAGTAGATACATGGTGAAACATTTTCTTTAAAACAAGGTTTGGAGGGTTCATCAGTCAACATCTGTATTCATAATTTTCAGGATACAGCATTGTGAAAAATATGAAAATTGTTTTTAACAGAAGATACATGTACAACACTTTATTTTGGATTATTTAAAAAATAGATACAGTACATGCCTCCTGATTTATCTTAATATATAACCAATAATAGAGAAAGATAGAACTGAAGAAGTTAAGGAGCTTTATCTTTATAAGATAAACAAAACAAACAAAATGCCTCTAATCTAAGCAACAACGAAAATATGACACAAAACAATCTTTAACTTCTCAGAATTTAAGAGAGTTGTCATTATGTTAAATCATTGAAACACTTCAGTCATTCACTCGGTTACAACTGACATTGTTTACAATGATCTGTTATTTTACTTTGTCACAGACACAGCTATCAAATAAAACATTTCGATAGCATTACATGTAATTTAGAGGCTTGTTTATCAACTTACAATATCGGGGTGACTTCCGTGCGAATTTTTCGAAATCGTCCGGAGACTTTTATTCTACTATGTTCTACTGGTCGGACCTGAAAAACAATTAAAATAGTCCAGTTTCCCATATGTCTGTTATGTATAGTATATATAATTGCAAAAATGAAACTATACAAACAAAACTGGTTGTGATAGCATAACCAAGATGAATTCTATAAATAAATAATATGGTAGCTTTAGGGCCATGTATATTGCGATTTATTTCAGGAGAAACATATTTAGCGTGATTAGTGACTAATTTAGTCTGCAAAGGGAAATCAATTAATCAATGAGGCAAGTTGTTAGGAGTTTGTCTAAGTATATTCTGATTATATAAGGTAAACACCAGTATGGCAGTGAAATTTACAATATACTGTACTGGACTTGTACAGTGCATACAACTGAAGGAGTATAAAAGAAAGGGATACACAGTTTATACTTCCTTTTTAACGAGCTCAAATAAGACTCACAGAGTAATGGAAAGTTCAGCTCTAATAACAAACAAACAAATGAATTAAATGAAAAGATTTTCTTCCTAATGTCAAAACAAATCTCTTAACTAAACATCTTAAAATTGTAATTCATCGTTGCCAAGTGGAGGTCAAACATTAACAATTTCAACCAACATGGAAAAAAGAATTTCTTCATTGTTTGTTTTTCCTTACAAATATTTGGGTATAAGATTATCTAGTGGCCAATCTGAGTTTTGGTGATTTGGTCACTATTTTCTGAAGTTCTGAAGTAGAAATATGTTTATATACAGCTTTTAGTAACTATTTGGAGAGAAGTAATTCTAATCAGTTCTAATTGTTTCTCTCTTTTATTTGAAAACAAATATAATTTTAGACATATTCACCATTGCATCAGTTATTGTAAAGTAACACAGATCCAGGAATCAGCAAATTCACAGAGAGTAGCAAATCCAAACAAATTATTAGAATCTCAAATCTGGGTCAGATTGAAAAACATAATATTATATGTGAAAAAGATTTCTTTTTTGGATTCAGAATCAAAAGTTCAAACCTATTGCTTTAGTTTGAAGATGTAAAACTTAGATTTTTAAGGAAAACACCTCCCATTTTAAAAATGGTAAAAATCTTGAAAAGTAATTTTTTGCCATTAATTACTTATACTTATAGTAAAATTTTAAATGTTTGGAACTACTTTGAATCTAAAAAAATAAGCAATCAAAGTACCATATTGAAACAGTATATGTAAAAATAGAAACATTTATACTGTACATGGCCTAACTTTTGTATATTCTAGTTTGTTTTGTAGTTTGGCTATCATATGTGTGGCCTCGTATATTTTGTTGCTTCTCTCCCATATTTTCAAAAAAATTAACATGGCTAAATCTCCCTAAATTACAAAAGGCCTAATAGCTTTGCTGCACATTAAACATAATTATCTGAAATATACAAAAGTTAGACCTTATACATATGTTTCTATTTTTTCATATATTGTCGCAATGTAGTCATTTGATTGGTTATTTAATTCAAAGTAGTTTTCAAACATTCAAAATTTTACTGTACCACTTAATACTCATCTTATTCACTATCATTCAAATTATATTCCAGACAGATGGACAGATAGAAGGACAGACTGAAGGACTTAAGCTTTACTTTAAGTTCACTATATCCAATATCACTATATCAAACATTGTTCAATAGGGATAATAAAGAGGAATAAAGTTGCCATAATAAACCATTAGTACTACATGGTGTTTACTTAGCTTGACTCACCTCTGGAAACCGTGGTGATGTTGATTTCTTGGGAACCTCAGATATTTCCAAGTATCTGAAATACATGCGCCAATATATATTACTAATGGTTGCTATCAAGGAAAGCATTTGTTTTATAGACATTAAACATAGGAATAAGAGATAAAAATAACGTACTGAACTGACACCATGACATGGAAACATTAGCAAACACAAAATAGAAGTAGCTACAAAATTTCATTAGCCATAAAATAATGTAAATCTGATACAAAACATGATTTATTCCAGTTCATTATGGCAATAATCACCTCTCTCTTCATCTAATGCTTGAGAGAAATACTACAGGCTGTAGATCTCACAATGGCCAATAAGCTATAATCAGCAACTTGCTAATGCTAACTAATAATTATAAAAAATATGTCGCTAAATAACAAATCCAAATGATTCAAGATTCAAAATTTTATTGTGTTTCAAGCCAAAACAATTGACTTCCTCACAAAATCAATTACAAGACATAATTATACAGTTATAAAGTAAAATGCATTGTTAAACAAATATTTAAATATAAATATCTTACAAACTTGTTTATTCCTTTTTCAAATAGCTCCCGATGTTGATTGAAAAGTTTATTTATAAAATATCTCAATTTGAAATACAATTTCATAATCATCTGGAATCATTAAAAACTTAAATCTTTCTTCATCCAACATATTTTCAAATGAATCAATAAAACTTAAGACTGTTAAAAATCTTTATAACCATTGCATAAAAGAAGAAAATGTTTTTCATCTTATTCATCAAATGTCATATATATCTGCATTTGCATATTTAGACAGACACTTAGACTGTATTTATTTTACTGTTCACTGCACAGTGACCAAGTTTTGAGTCTTTGCATCAATTTTTGAGTCCCTGAGTCTTGTGACAACATACATGAGATTGAGTCAACCATGATACATTTGGAGAGTTGAGATATGTAGAGAGGGGTATTCAAAAAAATAACGAATAAATCTAACAAGATTATTGACACAAATCTATCTATAGTAGCCGAGACAACACAAGTCCCCAGTCTGTATATTTACTCTCATTTCTTCACTTTTAAGAGTTAAGTCACCACATTTGCATCCACATTCCTTGGAGAAATCCTAACATAGATTTTCATTGGTTTTGATCATAATTTATTTGTTAAATATAGGGAAACATTTGATTTTGATTGGTCTATAATCAAAATTTTCCATTTTGTAACGAATGCAACATTTTGACGTAACTTATAAAAATCCAAGTTATAAATGACAGACACAATATGGTGTCTCTAATCTTATTGACAATAACTATCATCCATTCATCCTAGTTATTTTTTGCCAGTCATCAGATCATGCATTGGAAGTGTACCTCAATGAGAAATGCATTCATTGATTGTGGCAAGTAGTGAATTGTCAAAAGAATGTTGGAGTCTCACCATTATTTTGCCACATTTTGGTGCTTCTTTTTCCATTTAAGGTCGTTTGGTACCACTGTGATGTCATAATATATCATCTGATGTCATTATATGGGTACCAAATTAAAGCACACAAGACAAGCTTTAAGATGATACCAAATTCTCATCATTCATTTGATTAAAATGGTAACTGGAATAAGCTCAAAGGGTATGCCACTCCCCTACCCCATCCATTTTTCAGGCCATTGAAACACGCCAAAATCTCAAATAATGCAGGCATCTTCAGAGGTTGTTTTTCGCCCCGTTTTATTTAAAATATCATGTTTCTGCATACCATTTTTCTCAAAAATGTCTCAATTACCTAAAACAGTTGCACTTGTGCTGAATAAGAAAACATTTGGTCATTTTGGTGTTATTACACAAAATGACAAATTTTGGTTATAGGCCAATCAAAATCAAATGTTTCCCTATTTTTAACTAATAAATTATAATTAAAACCAATAAAATTCTATGTTAGGAAAATGTGGTTAAAATTGAAGAAATGAGAGTAAATATACAGACTTGGGACTTGAGTTGTCTTGTCTCGGCTACTATATGATTATATCTTTCATTCGAGGATCAAGAGGTCATGAAAGTAATTTCAGAAAAAATATTGATAATTTTCAAAAAAATAACCTTTAACATGTAATGCTACTTCATCATGTATGAGTTTAGAGGGGTATAACACCTGTATTGTAACATTGTTGTCTAACTTGCAAGAGAAAGTTACTCACTGGAGTTTCTTGAATCTTTCCAATCCCGTGGCAACATAATTTTGCCCTTGTTCTAATTCATCTATATCCTTTACTAAATGCCTCCCAGTTGGTGTATGTATCCTTCTAACAGCACCAAATGGAGCTCGAATTCCGATGGTGACATTGTTCAAAAAAGCATCAAAAGTTTTGAGCTGTTTTTTGTTCACCACAAACTTCTTTCCAGTATAGTGCGTATCCCCGTTTCTATAAATGTTCACTGTCTTTGCAGTCTCGGGGATGGCCTGGAGAGCCATTCTATATCACGTTTAACCTATAATCGCATAGATATCTGTGTGTTTCGGTCGAACAAAATATGTTTTTACTTTCAAACTAATCCACTTCCTTTTCGACTGACCACTACTGATGCATTGTGGGAAGAATTGTTTACATAATCTGACCTCTCACCTTAGTTACCTAGTGACGTGTAAACATACTATGCAACAGCAGCAGCCGCATCAGCTGAATGTGAACGCAGGCACTCCCAAAAACTAATTATTGATCGAATGGCTGCACACGGTGTTTTAGATCTTATATTACTTATCTCTAATACACAACTATCACTATCAGCGCATAAGATTTGCAAGATCGGTAACACGGGGAGTAGGCCTAGCCTAAAATGCCTAAAATGAAGCCACCCCTTCGGGGCGGATTCGAAAACTAAGGGGGGGGGGGGGATTTAAAGTCTAAACAAATTTTGACCAATCAAAAATTGGGTCCAAATTTAGATTTTTAAAGAAAATTTTGCCTAAAACTAAAAAACAAGGCGCAAAAAGGCCCACACAGTAATGGCCTCTAATTGGGGTCCTAAAAATTTAGGCCAAGAAATTTTCTGGGCGCAACTTAATTTGGGCGGGACCCATCCGTACCCCCCCCTTATCAGTGCTTTTATATTCTATAGCCTATATTATCACACCGGAATAGCCTGACAAGGGTAAAGACAGATACCGTTGTCACAAATGGCGGACAACCGTCGCTCCAATTAGATTTCCATGAACTGTATGTTTAATCTGGGAACATTGACTTTTAAACCATTTGTGGTATCTTCTGAAAGCTGGCATCTAAACATATATAACAAACCATGAATTCATCCCAAGAAAACCTTTGAATGACTCGATAACATGAAAATGCTTCGTTCAGTTAGGGACTAATTATGAACTATAAATATGACATTGTTTATGTTATATAGGCATATTCATGGGCGTAGCCGGGGGTATGATTGCCCCCCCCCCACCTCAAAAAATAAAAAAGCAATTTTGTAAAATTTGTTGAAAAAATTAACAAATTATAGTTTGAAATGCTTAGAATGCACCATATACAATGTAAATTTTTAAAAAAATCCGGGTGAACCCACGTATCCCCCTTTTTGGTGCTCGCTTCGCTCGCAGTAAGGCATTTAAAAAAACGCTGATATCATATCCCGGGGGTTCACTGCAAACACCCAAAATATACGGAATCGTAATTCAAATAAATAAAAGCAATTTTGTAAAATTTGTTGAAAAATTAACAAATTATAGTTTGAAATGCTTAGAATGCACCAAATACAATGTAAATCCGGGTGAACCCACGTATCCCCCTTTTTGGGGCTCGCTTCGCTTGCACTTATGCATTTAAAAAAACGCTGATATCATATCCCAGTGGTTCACTGCAAACACAATTCGGAAGCATACTAAATCATCCCAAAATACACGGAATCGTAATTCAAATCGTAAGCTTACCTGGTTTTTTGGCGATGACCTGGCTTCATAAAGAGCCCCCATGGCTGTTGTTCTGACTTCTTCGTAGGCTTAGTCCTCTTACTATTAATTTGATCAGCATTAATAGCTATCGTACCATGAGATGACATTTTACATCATATTTCAAAGACTCAAAATATTCCGAAAATCTATTTATCATGAAATTATTGAAGTCGTTGGTCTGAATGAGATGTTTGAATTAGTACGTTTAAGTGATCGCTATATGATGTGTGGAAAACAACTGACAGTTAGTAATACACATCAGAAGGCAAAATGGGCAATTATGGTATTAACTTAAGTTATAAGCCCCACCTCTCCAATCCATCTGTGTTCACATTTGCGTTGGATATCATGAAAATTCACTAGGCCTAAAAGTTACATTAACACGAATTCAGTGAAAGATCATCTCTGAGTGATGTTTATTAAATCTAAAGGAGCACTATGGATACAATATTCAGCACGATAAGCATGTTAAAGCCAACTGCAAAGTTTCTTAGGAAAACGAAATCGGAGCCAAAGTAGAAATATTAAGATTTCGTTGTGTTATTTAGGATTGGGGTTCGAAAATAGAATTATTGAATATCGCTGATGTTTATTCGATACTTATATATTTATTGAAAGTGAATTTATTTTAAAAATTGCATAACTATATTCAAGGTTGAGTTCATCCTTGGTCCAAGGGCATTTCACTTCTTTCCACTCTGCTTACCTTTAACTTATTGGTCAAAATCAATAAACTAAAGATAATACATAATACATTAATAAAATAAAAAATCTTTATAAACCTTATAGACAAATCCCATGATCTAAAATGATGAAGTAGAACTAATCGTAGAAGAAAAATCTCCATTTAAGCAGCAGCAGCCCGGGGCAGCAGGGAGCACATCTGACTAAATGACGTTTTCAAAGTGTGGGGGGAGCCACTATTGTAAAATATTGGAAACATGTTTCGAAAAGCATGCATATGTTCACTTTCAATACGGAAAAAATTAATTCTCAACTTATCGAACTAAATATATAAAAGTTGATGATAACTGGATGTTATATATTTATATTATTGGAAAAACAACGTCCAATCATGGGCTTTCAACTAGAGTTGAAAGCCCATGGTCCAATCTTTCGAAAGTATCGTGAAATGAGGCCAATACCTTGCTTCAAGCACCTGTGACCCTCCTTCATCTACAAACCAGGTCTCATTGTATATTTCAATGCCCCTAACTTGTGTAGAATGTGTGTTTCACTGGGGAAAGTGGCACACATTGATAATTCATGGGTGGTTTTGGGGAAGGGATTGGCGGGCCAATACTTACAAGATTCAATCAGATTTTACAATGTCGTTCTACACCCTATGCAGACAGAGCCTGTGGGAAATATTGGATGCGGAGCAAATGAGCGGAGGGTGCGGAGCTAACGGTCATTTTTGAATTTAAATTTGGGATATTTCTGAAACTAAGCCGTTTTGGGACTTCAAATATACCAAGATATGTGTATTTGACACCAAATATCAATACAATTGTGAAAATAGTAGCGCAATTCATTCTATAGCGACGCAGTGTGCCTTAAACCTTTCCCAGACCTATATATTTTGAAATTATCCCTTTAATACTGAGTCCCCAGCATTCATAAAAAAATGGTGTTCAAGGTGCACTATCTATACAAATTATTTTTGCATCTTGGAAGCCAGGCAGTATCTGTGTGATTTTATAAAAATTCGGAAATTTTTTCAGATATGAGCCCCCTCTAAATATTGGGTGCGGAGCAGCTCCATAAACGTAGCTCCGCACCCAATATTTAGAGGGGCTCATATCTGAAGAACATTTCCGAATTTTTATAAAATCACACAGATACTGCCTGGCTTCCAAGATGCAAAAATAATTTGCATGGGTAGTGTATCTTGAACACCATTTTTTATGAATGCTGGGGACGCAGTATTAAAAGGATAGTCTCAAAATATATAGGTCTGGGAAATGTTTAAGGCATACTGCGTCGCTATAAAATGAATTGCACTACTATTTTCACAATTTTATTGATATTTGGTGTCAAATACACATATCTTGGTATATTTGAAGTCCCAAAACGGCTTAGTTTCAGAAATATCCCAATTTTAAATTCAAAAATGACCGTTAGCTCCGCACCCTCCGCTCATTTGCGCCGCACCCAATATTTCCCACAGGCTCTGTCTGCATAGGGTGTTCTAGCTTGAATGAAAATCGATGGAAAATACACACGATAAACGTTTGCACATGTGCATTGACCTCCATTTTACTTCCTAGAAATATAGGGATACCTTTTTAATAAATGACACATAAAACTAATTGTTATTTTTATGGCACTATTCATAAGGTCAATCGCTAATCTCAGACCAAAATCCATTCAAAATGAAAATGCTTTTAATTTTGTCTGATCTCTTTAATGTAATTGTCAATTTCATTTTGTGGTATTCCCTTGAGCTTATAAATGTCTGCAACACTGCTTAACATATTTTCTTGCTGCAGGTACAGAGGTTCACCGTTACAATCAGGATCCCATACTGGGATCGTGCCAACAATCGGTACCTCAGCCTCAGAGCAACACAAGTATGGACCTCCGGATCCAGTAATTGCTCCTATAAGTAAAGCGGCGTCATCAGGCGTAGGCATACAATTACCCGCCCTATAGAATACTCCTATTTTTCTACCAGGTGGTGGGATGGTCACGTAATGACGTTCACACATGAGCTGACCAAATGCTTTGGTACGCGGACCGTTTGGAGTGTCAACGATAATATCTGATGAAAGACCAGAATCGCCCCACTGTTCGAGTACGGCGGCCCGGCAATCGATCGGACATCTCTGTAGGGTAGACAAGCAGGCATCACAATTAACTTGGGGGTGGAAGTAGTTTATATCAGGAAGATCATGCACCAATGTTGCGAACTCAGCCTCTCCGGCTGTCATGTTACCCAATATACGCATGTTACACCGACATCTAAAAAACACTTCGGTATGAGAACGACAAAATTACAAACGGTAGGTTTAAATTACAAGTTTATCAAAAAGCTTACGTGAACTGTGCATAATATCATGAATCCACGACCCCCAGTGACTACGGTCCCACACTCAATAGTTTTTTCCGGGACCCTTTTACAATTATCCTTTTATTCAATCGGCGAAGTAAATACTTCAAAGGAAAGAACTTTTCCCCTTCACCTCTCTGTTATCATCTTATAATAGCTAGGGTATTCAAATGACGCAATGGTAGCAATGGCGCCACGGAATACATATGAGCTACACCTCTGAAAATAAAAGTTCTCGATATAGGCACGGTGATATAGGCTGTCCTCAATTTTAAGAGAATGTAATATCTATCGAACCTGACCTCTCTGTGATGTTGCCTGGAGGTGCAGTTACTGGAGGCTCCGTTTCCTTTGGTTCTTCAGTTGCAGGCGCTGTAAGCAGATTGTATTGACAGTTCATGTTATTATTTAATATTCATGGCAAATTATTTTCATTAACTTTTATAGATGGAATGGTAATCAGTATAGTAACTTACGTTCAAGAGGATCTAGTTGCATTCCGAGTGGATAGCCATATCCCCTGTATGTGTTACTAATACTGCTGTGTCCATATAATAATGCGTACCATTCGTATTGGTCTCCTCCTGAATGGGTAAGCAAAAACTCAGGATCATCATTTAAGGGTATTTGGACGTAAGAATAATCGCTGTTGGGTATCTCTATGAAGCTAGCGATTGAACTGACGTTTGTACCAGTCAACTGAAGTCCATCTTTGTGAGCGGTTTGTATCACGACATTTACATAACTTCTGAAGCCGGTCGGGATCTTGAAGATGTTGTTCTGAGTATATTGCTGTATTGGAGGTATGATGGCCATGAAAGGGTCAGATCCTATTCCATCTCTTTGGTATCCCTTGTTGTATTGAACAACCAGACATTTCTTGTTACATTGTATGAAAGAGGCACTACCTGATGTTGCCAGTATCTCCGTAAATTGTCCTTCGTCAATCGTGTTGGAAAATCCAGATTCGGGTAGCCTGACAAGTGTATCATCGGTCCAAGATATAACCCGAACAATCTCACCGCCGATTCTTTCAGATATTGGCGCCACAATAAAATCATAACCAAGACTTATAACAGAGGGGATCATCTCTACAAGTTGGTCTCCCGCCTCCGTCCCCTCGGGAACTTGGGCGTAATCGCATCCAGAAATGACAGCCACTGGTCTATCTGAAACTACCTTCACCCCTGTAAGGTCCCTCGTGGAACGATATGTATATGTCTGGGTGTCGTAAAGATCGATTCGCAAAGCATTGTCATAATCGTAACCCCCGTCTCCTTCGTTTATAGAATCGTTACGTGGAACTATCCAAGCAGTGGTAAAGTTATCAAGGCCCACTATTATGATGTATGAATACGAGCCGGCGGACGGGGTGTAGGCTGCCACAACATGCTGGGTGCCTAGATGCACCTCTGGAAGAACTAAAAACCCATCAGCCGACCCAACAGTTGATGAATATGCAGCAACTGTTACATTAGCATCAGAGGTCACCCGTATCCCCTTTTGTTCTAAGCCTTCCGTGGTGCGGATGTTTGATGGGACGTCGATCAAGAGCGGCGTGAATGGATCAACGGTGTAGTTCGTTGTCTGACCAGTTAAGGAAAAGAAGACAGTCACAGCAGTAGGAGTCTCGCAAGTGATATAGAATTGGGTATCACCCGAGAGAGAATTCTGCTGATGAGGCAAGAATGCAAATGTGAACTCTGTACCTTTGTTTGTGCGTCCTGGGGCTGCAATATAAAGGTATCATCTGTTTCAGAATGATGCAAGTAATTAGGGATGATTTTAGATTTATCATCCCAGACTTTACTTTCATAGTTAATGAGTTATTCTGCAATGCAATGGCGTTTGGTTTTCTTATAATTGTTTGTTTGATTGTGATTGTGTTGTTGCTCTATGTAGAATTTACTCATTTAGGGTAACGAATCAACTTGAAAGCGATTATGGACTTACTTGTAATATCAATAGACTGGTTCGTGTTTATAAGTGCGTATGATAGTCTAAATCCTCGGTATGTCCTAGACCTGTCAGTCCTAAATGACAACCGGAAAGTTGTATCAGTCACCGGATCTAAATAGAAAGCGCAAAAGGTAAAGAAAAAAACCAATCAATGCGAACACGCGGCGAAAGTTAGGAATTTGTTACGAATTTCAAACTTTCGAATACTGTCGCAAGTTTAAAAAACGATTCATACCCACTAACATCCATTACATGTACATCCTTTATATAGCCCCGGGTATATAGCTTGCAATACGTACACGTATATGTTTGTCCAACACGGAGTGCATTTCGACTACTTCGACCATCTCCACTGTAGCAGTTGACAAGATCACCAACACAAAGGACATCATATCCAGACTCTGTTATGAAGTCCTCCACATAGAAAGAAAACGTTTCCCCAACGGTCGTGTTAAATATTACAAAATCACAGAAATGGTTGTTAGGGTAATTTGATGGGTAGTAGGTGCTCCGGATTTCACCAGTGATCTGATTTCCATCCTCATTAAATGTTTTAGGGCAGTCGTGTGTATCTGTAAACATTAGCATAGCAAGTGCTTCTTGAAGACCTATGTCATCATCATCATCATGACTTCATGTATTCCCCATTTCTGAATCAATCGATCAATGGTGTAATTTCAATGGTTATGAACTTTGCATTTACGAAAAGCAACAAGTGGATCACTTACTTGGAATGAATTGACATAAATCTCCCAGGTACCCAGTTCGACAATAGCAAAACCAGTCCCCGGGTCCATGGGAGTGACACGTTCCACCGTTCTCACAGGTTACGCCTTCACAACCCTCTGAAATGGGAAGGTGTGAACAATTTACTGCTCTTTGGTACATAGTACAAACGAGGTAGGGTGGTAATCTATACTTTTTAGGTTTACATAATATTTCACTTTCTTGTTAATGTAAAGATTAAAATGCTTCTATCAAACACGTGTCCTTTAAACATCGAAGTGACATCCTACCTACTGTGTCCGGTGAACCTGCCGCCGACTCCAAAGTTACGAAGTCGATGGAAAACCCCTGTTGCGAAGAACCGGAAGTTGCATAAAAAAGCAGTTGGAATTGATCCACACCACGAACTGAAAACAGACGATTGACATATTTTTGCTGACACCACTAAGGAAATATGGCTAGATAATGGGGGCAGTGACATCTACCATGATGTTACCAAAACAAAAGATGAAGCAAACCCAAAATACATAACTGATGCCCATACGCCAATGAACAGTTATTTACACCAAGAATATATGTAAGTTGATAATATATTGAGATATATTGTACGGTTATACATATATCCAAGGAAGCGCAAATAAACTATTTTGAACTTACATAAATAGGTTTGTCCAATTTGTAACGCAGTCCTTGAAACTGCTCCGTCACCGTAGTACTCCCGATTGTTTATGATCAATGAATCTCTGGAGCTTCGATAGACGTATGTCCGGAAGTTTGCAATATACATATTAATGTCATACTTCACTCCTGGATTTTCAAATATGATGGAGTAAAGGCAGGTCGATCTTATTGGGTAGAACTGTGGATAGCCAGGACTGGTGATGGAATCGAATACGTCGTTCCCAGTGAAATTTTGGTTGCATGGTGGAGCTAAAATTGATTTTGAAACAATGAAACTTAGAAAATAGAAGATCAAGAGTAGAATGGCGCTCAAGTTCCCAAAGGTTAATCTTTCTCTACTGATAAGTTCATTATTTTTGTATTTTTTAAGATGTGCTTATTTGAGCAAAAATACTTCTTACCTGTTTGTGAAAGTGTAAGCGAGGCAATTGACAAAACAGCACACAGTTTGATAATATCCATTGTGCTTTTACTGAGCAATTGCAATATTATTCCAATAATAGTTTCTATGAATTCTGTCAGTGGGCTATTGTAACATATCTCATTATCTGATAGCCTACATATGGGTGTAACCTTGACAAGAGTATCAGATGACAGAACACTGTTAGAAGACTTGTTAAGGACCAATATCAGATAAACACGATTGTACTTTTTTAAACTTGTCCCGTCGAGATGAATGCACTCGTACCCTCGTGCGCTTTTAAGAATTGTTTCTGATAGAATTGTCGACATTACCTTTGAAATATTTTTTCCCTGGGAAATAAACAGGGAATAGAACTAATATTTAAAAAGTCCCGTATCAGATCCTGTATCAGCCAAAATCCCGAATCAGATCCCGCATCAGAACTTCTCTCAGATCCCGCATCAGAACTTCTCTCGGAAATTCTCTTGATTTTTACTTTTTTTCGTTCTGTTTCAAAACTTGTCAATAAAAGTTGAAAATTTTATGATAAATCAAATTGTATCACTTTATATCACCATCAATGGGTGATGAAACATCAAACATGAAAATGAATAACTTTCAGAAAACATATTCTGGAATGAATAGGTTATTGATGTTCGTGATGGACTATGATTTTTTACCTTTAGAAAATATGATATTGGCCTCAGAAAATATGTTAACACTCGGGGTGTCGCCCTCGGTCAATATGCTATTTTCCTTGGCCGATATCATATTTTCCCTTGGAATAAAATTCATATTTCATCCCTCCCATAAGTCCCGATGCCCAGCTACATGTGATGAATTGCAACTAAATCGTGTACTTGTGATTGTTGAATGTGTTAAAATCACACTTGATATCCGTTCCTGGTGTTTGTTGGAACAACGCATAATAGTTTAGTACTTAAACACGATTGACAAGAAATCGAATATGACAGTATATAGCTTGATTGAAGATGAGGTTCAGGAAGACGCAATCCATATTAAAAAAAGTCTCTCAAACTTACATTTAATCACTTGTCAAGTGAAATTCCCCTAATTGGTCGATTGTTGATATAGGGATTTATTTCATCCTAATAAAAACACAAGTGTGACAAAATAGAAATGAATATATATACGTTGAACAAAATTGTGTATTGATGATGGCTGCGATACTTCGACTGGATGTGTGATGGTTATGGAAATGATGAAATGATTCGAGGAAAGAGGATAAAGGATAACATTATACTTATTCACAAGTTGAATTCCAAAGGACAACTAAAAAGTATGTTTTGCTTCGATCAAAACAACGCAATCTCTGTAGTTATAGAATTTAAATGACCTGTATTTTTATGTAATTAATTTATTATATCTCATTTTCATAATTTTCCAGTGACGTCGAAGAGAACGCTCTGGATTATTGGAATGACTTTTGGGACTATATTTGTAATAACAAGAATTATGGGGAGTATGAATGGATCGGGGATGATTATTTATTACAGACAGCGTTGTCCAGAGCAACCAGACCACTATTCTTATAAGAACAACTTATTGGATGTGCCATCAAAATACGAGTTCAGTTATCCACTTGGAGGGATGACATTCACCAATGATGGTTTCGGACGGTTCATCCTGAGAAATGTCACAACGTCATTAATCTATGCATTTTCTCCTATGGTAGATGAACGAGCCCGTAAGTTTTATCTTGTAGGGGCCAGGGATCTAATAATCAACGTGAATCAACCGACCATAACGTGGCACAAGAACCACCTGGTCACTGTCATGCGCTTCTGGATAAATAATGCCATCTTTACACTGGGCGATAGTAAACGGTCGGGGAACAAGTTTTCTGATAACCACCTGTATGTTCAGAGATTCAACAGAACTATGGGACCGCTTGATGTTGGTTCTTTGGTTGGAATGGTTGGTCCAAAGCATAACATTGGAGATGGCCCCATTAGTCCAAGACTTTTCGTATTCAATGAAAAATTGTATCTATGTTTTACTTTAAAGTACCAAACAAATACCAAAACATATGTGAATGGTTTGTTTCTATGGGACTTTGAAGAGCACGCTGTCATAAAACCTACATTTAAAGGGCTCCGTCGATTAAAACGTTCACCGAAAGATAAACATTGGATACCTTTAATTAGCAAAGGAGAGTTGTATTTCGTATACAGTTTTGATCCTTTACGTGTATTTCGATGCAAACTACAAGGAAGAAAGTGTACATGTGGCTTTGTTGTATTTGAGGGAGACACACGCAAATCCTCAGTCAACAAGGACTATATACAAGGCGGTACTCCGTTTGTTCATTACAAAGATTCCTATCAAATATCAATCGCGTATAGTACCTTCTTGAAAAAAACATCAATGAAAACATATTTTACAGCCAACTTAGTTATCATTTGCACTGAACCAAAACCTCGCATAGTTTATGTCAGTGCCCCCTTGCGGATTGACAATGCATTACTCCTTGCATATCCTATAGTAAGACACTGGAATAGCGAGGACCCTTTTTTCATACCCTTTGGAATAATTCTAGAAAACTCAGACAGTGCAGTGGTCAGTGGCCATATCAATGAACATAGTGGCGTTCTTATTCGCATCAGAGGTATCCAAGGTGTTATAGAGAAGGCCATGGCACTTGATGAAGTGCATAAAACCACGGAGTCTGTACCAATTGGTTCAGTTCAGACTTTTGTAGGAAAATCAGCTGCGAAACGTGACAAACTGGAACTATTCGATTAACAAACGCACATTAATTTGTAAAGGATCACGATATATTATTGTTTGTATCAACCAAAAAGCACAATGTGCCCATTTCAGCATTACATACATATTGGTTTAGTTTATGTTAAAAATTTATGTTAAAAATAACAATTCTATATAAATATAGAGGTCGTTCCCAATAAAGAGCAATACTTTTATACTCAGTATGCATGGTATGCCAGTATGGTTCTTTAAATGATCTATTCGCTAAACATTTTTTATTTAGGTTATTATTTGAATTTCATTCTATCATTTTTATTCATGAAATTATTTAATTTAAGTGGATTTTTATTTCCCCCTGGATAATAGTCATTGACATTCAGATTTCCAAATATGGATTTCATTTCGCTTTCTTTCTTGGATTTCTTTGCGCGTTTTGGCACTATGGTCGCTGGCTTATCGCATGTACTGCATTTTCCACAGAGGCATTTGTTAGGTAAGTGGCTGAAGTAAGAATAAACATAAGCATTTGTTGTCCTCTGGCCCAACATCCAAGGCTCTAATGGCAGACGCTTTGCCCTAGCGTCTGCTAAGGCACGGTTGTACGCCTCGCCATAGCTACTGTGGGGGTTGAGATCTTTCATAAGACACAATCTCTTTGCTTTTTCGTCTTGTTCATTCAATAATTGAATCTGAAACATTTTGTTTTCTAACTCAATTTGCTCTTCGGTTTTTTCCTGTACACGGCTAGTGATTTGCGGGACGACGACAGGCTCCGGTTCATCGTCGATGTCACCAAATGACATTATAGCTAAGTTAGTCCTTGGTTTCTTCTTAGGCTCGTATTTCAATCTCGGAGTAGATTCTTTGATAGTCACTTCAGGCAAAGCAGGAATTGCCATTTCTATTTTGATTGGTGTTTCAGGTTTCCGTTCACTTTTAGTCAGTTTCCTACTTCTTGACTTCAGCTTTTTACGACTTGAAGATTTTCTCAATTGCCCCTCAGATCCATGTTCGTGAGATTCCACCGTGGAGATTACCGTTAATGGTCGTGAACTGGACCCTGATGACCTGGCACTTGTCATGGAAGTCGATGCCAAAGCAAGCCCACAATCCCCACAAACTGTTTTCTGTCTGTGAACGTCCTTACTAGAGCACCACATTTCATGTTGTCCACTTCCCAGACACTCTCCACACTTTGTTGATCCTGATCTGGTTTTTGGCCGGGGTTTTTCACAATCACAATGTTTGATGTCAATTTTGGGAGCAATCTTCACGTTTGTTGGAGATATCAAACTTGAATTAGAACGTTGTGTCTCTCTACTATCACGTATTCTTTGTTGTTTCTTCCCCAAAACGAAACTATCTTCATCCCTCATACCCGTAATTTCCTCATTTGTAACCCCTTTAACTGGAATACCATAATGATAACGGATTTGTTGTCCACCACCAGTTTTTATGCCACCTCCTGTTGGTTTGGTGTCTAGCAATGGAGGGAACGTGCTTAGAGTCTTATACGATGTTTCACTGTTTGTTTCTTCATCGATGTACGCACTCGGGTCAATGGGCTCAATTGGAAGTTCATCTGATTCACTCGGAACATCTCCTTGGTCAAACTTTGTTGATCTATAACTGTCGTAAGCGTGGGAATCAACTAAAGGTGGTGGTGACAATTCGGTGTCACTTCTCCGAGTTTTTCTTCTTTTTGGGTTCTTTTTGTAGCCTTTGGGAATAGAAGACTTACTTTTGGATTTATTTTGACTGGAATCTTGCTTTCCCGAAGTAACCTTGTCATTGTCTCGAATGTTAGGTAACCAATTGGACTGTCCACCTCCTAGCGATCGCGTTACCAATTGCACTTCAGATTGATAGTCTTTGGGGGCACGTATATGTCTAACATCAGAATCCAGAGAATATCTCAATAGTCTACTGTTTTCTTCTTCCTTTAATTTCTCGGCCTCGATTTTTTCTATAGCGTCCAATTCCCTTCGAGCTTTAACATAGTCCAGACCCTCTTGGAGGAAATCAAGAGCAGGGTTCCGAAACTTTCCCTCTGGATCAAACTGTTTACAAAGATAAACAGGGGCAGTCCGTTTTGAAATCCGATTTCGATAGTTCTGAAACAAAAATTAAATTGATTGCAAAATATTGGATGCAGCTGCATTGGAAGTTGAATTCAATAAGAAGTATTGTATAAAGAATTAATGATATGACGAATGCCAATTTGCTGTAAGAATGGATAGAAGTTTAGCTCGAGCTGGTACGTCAACAGTTGAGCAAAATATGTCAGTGTAGTACCCGAAACAGGGTATACTTTAGACGATTTTTGATTTACTCTGATTTATTTTATTCGCTCTGAGATTGTCATTTCAGTTCAAACAGCGAAATATTGACCATCTGCATTCTATACGTGAGGATGCTTCACATCATGTTTTAAATCATTTTGTTCTTAAGTACATCCTTCTTGAATCTTGACCCAAAAAACGATAATACAAACCAATCGTCAACACCCTAAACGTGAAACGTTCTCCTTTGATATATTTATTATTAGCTTTAAAGAAATTATATTACCAATGATAAGTCCCCTTCTAAATAAACCACATTTCAGAATAACGATAAGAAATGGAATATTAATCTGGATTAAGTTAAATTAAATGTTTGTCAATCTTTTTGGTGTACTCTCTGTGATCTATTCGTTCACTGTTTTATCTGGGAGCAGGGCAGATATGTACAAGAGAACTCACCCAATGTACAGGTAGATCAATGTCTCTCTGTCGCATAAGAGCAGCTACCCTCCTTTGCTCTTTCCGAAGTGGGCCAAGATTCAATGGATCCCTCGGGGACTTCCCTCGGCCCTTCCGCTCTGCCTCTAATGCATTGTCCGGTATTTTCCGTGGCTGGGTTTGGGTGAACACCCGTGGGAAGTCGAACTCTTCATACGTATGACTAGTTAGGTTAAACCCATTGTCGTTAAAGCCTTCCCCTCTAGTGGATCTGCGGCTAGGAGGTGGAGGTTGGCCCGGAGTCGGATCATAGGAGGTTCGTGTTGTAATTCCAAGCGCCATACATCTGTGAAGAACACAACAATTAGGGTTCGTTATTTTAGAATTGCAATAATCAACTATATCATCTATGAGTACACTTCGTTCAAACATTGGTGAACCCATTTTGGATTCGGAGATGTTTATATCCTTTCAAGCAAAATATCCCTTTCACTTCTTAAAAATTCATATGAGGTAATCTTATCCTTTCAGCACTAAAATACACTGCATAGAGTATCTCCAGTTCTCAGAAGAATCTCCTGTTATCATGTGTATTCTCGACTAGAGCACTTAAGTTGTTCAATTATTAAATGTGACAATCCCTATTTTGAGAGTGCTCCCTGGGATAACCAATGTTATCTGCTAGACACTTCAGAAATGTTAATTGAAGTTTGTGTTCAGGAATTTCATTTTCATGAAACTTGATAACACTTCTATTGCATTTCATTTCGTCCCTAACTCCCACAAACACCCATTTCAACAGAACATTGACAATGAGTACAATCGCCCTCCTCATATTCATTTGCAACCTAATGTCCATCAGCTCTTCATTAATCTTTGTCTGATTCTGTAGTGTGATTGTTTCTTTTGTTTCATGTTGCTAAGAGGAATCAATGCCAATATGTAATTGAAGACAATAGCAATAAACAAAACGGTACCTTAAGCCAAATCGATCTGTAATTTGCCTTCTTATAATTATGATATAGTAAAGCAGAAGCAACGTTTATCGACGAATATATCCCTTCCACTTTGGTGCATTTAAAGCTAGATATCATTTCTTTCTATCCTACCATTTATAAATACAGAACTTATTTGTTTTAAAATGATGAATATGTTACCTTGGGGATTTCTCCTCTTTCCTAGCATTAATTATTATTTTCCTTGTTTGCATTTTAATTACCCAACACAGGTCAAATAAATCTTAATTGGTAGTTCTGTAGCTTTATAGATATCAAAATAATGCACTCTTCTATCGTGTCGTGTACACTAGCAACGTATCCCTATCAATTCCTATCAACCACTTCTATTTTTCTAAGTACATTATCATATTTGTCCTAGCAAGTGGTTAATCTCATTCTACATGTTGTTTGGTGATATTGGCTACATATATACAGGGTCGACCATTTTTACTGCATTTTATTTTGCACCTTCTTTTTGGGTGACTATCACGAAGGTAGGTTTGGAGAGCATTACATTTTATCAAGAAATGTCAAGAATTTCTCATAACTTATTTTTAAACTAAAAGCTGTAAAATATTGCAAAATCAAAATCAATCATTCTTCTGAGGGATTTTGCACAAATACCGATTAAAACACTTAATGTTTCATCCATGGGTCTTTGCTTTGTTATTCCTTGGTAAAGCGCTGCGGCAATTTATCTGTTCTAGCACTTTACCAAGGAATGTTTTGAAATAAATTGTGAAAATTCTTCATTAGTTACCTTTTGCATTCGTTCGACTTCTCTTCTCAAAAGAGAACTTCGTCTTTGTAGTTTATAACTAGACTCTGCGTGCAGGGTGTCATTAGTACAATGCGAAATTTCCTGGTAGAATGTCATGTTCTGGCGCTTTACCAAATGACGTTCCATACCCGTGATTATGTAGTATTTGAAAGACACGTTCTGATACCTTTTTTGATACCATCTTTTTGTTTTTTGAACGAATGGCTGGCCAAATGCTGAAACTAATATGAAACACATATTTGCCTTTGTAATGCTGCTTGAATAATACTGCTTTTAATCATTTTAATAAATTATTCAAAATGTTTTGCAATGTAGGAAAAAGGTTTCAAAACATGAAATGAGACCTGGAATTCCAAAAATATATTTGTTGAATTGTATCGTTAAACACTCCGAGGATACAATGTCCCTCGTATTTCACCGATCAATAAACGATTTCCATATGCTAAAATTTCTGAATGATAGCACTTTCTTTTTATTAGAACTATCCCATAGGACCCAAACAGTACCACGAGTCTCTGGTTTAAACCTGTATACAAGTAGAATTGGCTCCCAGGTACGCAATTCGAAATGTCAGAATGTCGCTATTCTGACATTATAACAGACTAGAAATTCATAATCAACAGTCCAAAAGATTCGAACCAATACATAATGATAATATTTCATTAGATGCTGGTTATAAAATGCTGAAAATGTAAACTTAGCAATCAAACTTGTAAGCGAGTATGTGCATAACTTAATGCGAATGAGGCGTTCATCACACTTCGATAACGAGAGTATGAATCAAATTCATTTTTCTGATTGTGTACATGTTAATATGTAAATTGAAAATAATATTGACGTAGATTAGTCTCAAATGTGTACCACCCTGTATTTCTTAGAGTGTTTATTGTCACCAGCACTTGTTGTCTGACAAACAGCAATAAATTGTTTCAACTTTGTCCTTTGTTTGATAAACCACTCAACTATTGGCAACGAAAAATTTCGTCAAATCTTGAAAGTTAGCAAATGTTTATTTTCAATATCAACGGAATCATTACAACGTAGAAGATATTGTAACAATGTGGGATTACAACTAGTGCCTCGAACCAGTTAACCGCACCCTTTACGCTTCCCAGCTACCACTACCCCGTTGAAAAATGTGCATACTTTTGTCATTGAAATATATTTGAGAAACGATAATATAACGCTTGTACCATGGTTACATTTCCTTGTTTTGTACTGTGGTGTAAAAAGTAAATGTCATTAAACGGAAAAAAAACAAAAACTAAAACGTGAGAATCAAGATGTGATGAGGTAATGATTTTTTTAACGTAAAAAGAAGCGGCCTACAAAAGTGAATGAAAATGTGAATAGAATATTCATCAATAGTCACGGATGAAATACATTTTTTGTCAATTCATTAGTTTCGACCACTTTTTACTGAATTTAGTCAATCTCGTTTGTGTCAGCGTTAATCTTATGGGGTAATGATTTTTGAACGTAAACGAAGATGGCCGAAGATATTTCAACCCGCTTCCTAGTCATCTCAACCCCAAGTCAACTCAACCCAGTAAAACTCAACCCCAAGTCAACTCAACCCCAGTAAATCTCAACCCCAAGTCAACCCAACCCTGTTAAACTCAACCCCAGTAAAATCCAACCCTTATATATTTTCATTTATTGATAAACTTATATTCAACATGAATAGAAAGTTTATTTCATAAAAAAGTAAAAGAGTAATTTTGTGATTTTAATTCTTAGACCTGTCTTTTACAATTAATAATGAGTTTATCTTCAAAATGTCAACATGGTACTAAAATATGGGTAATTTTATTAATCTCGCTAATACATTTGCTTTGTTGTAGGCCTAATCCCTCTGAGGTTGACTCTTGATCATTTGGAATACTAGAACATGAACATTGCTTTCAGTTCATTAATTAGTAAATGTTGATGATTTCAATATTATTGAATGATGCATGTGCATAATAAAAACGTATATAACATTGTCACACCGGAATAGCCTGACAACGGTGAAGTCAGATACCGTTGTCACAAATTGTTGTCTTCAATCACTTGGTCCTCATTTCATGGGATTTTATCGTCGCTAATTCTGTGCATAAATTAAGCTCTTGTGATGATGTATCATATGAAATCCCAATTTCGATCAAATTGGGTCGTGGATCGCCACAATATAGCGTCTTTGATATCGTCAATGACAACGGAATCTGAATTTGAGTAATTTAGCATTATTAGCTCACATGGTGAGCTTTTGCAATCACTCACTTGTGGTAATTACAGTGTCCATTTTGATTGGTTAAATTAAAGACTTTATTTCGATGGTAGAACATACAATGAGTATTAAGACACGTTGATTGATTGCTGTTCGAAAGGAATTTAGTCTAGGTGCTCTATTAAACATACAGTTCATGAAAATCTAATTGAATTGACGGTTATGTCCGCAATTTGTGACAACGATATCTGACTTTACCGTTGTTAGGCTATTCCGGTGTGATTGTTAATTATTTCTAAATTATCTGAATTTGATTTCAAAAGATGCGTTAAATCAAACTTTGATTTATCAAAATTTAAATTCTTCTTAAGCTTACTGTTTTTTGAATATTTTAACAACTTTCTATTCAAAGTATCATGCAAAATGCTAGATTTTCAGAAATGAATTCGAATGACTTAAATTACTCATCGTCGCAGAAATGAATAGGGTTGAGTTTTACTAGGGTTGAGTTGACTTGGGGTTGAGTTTTACTGGGGTTGACTTGACTTGGGGTTGAGTTTGACTGGGTTGAGTTGACTTGGGGTTCAGATGACCTGTCACCCTTCAACCCGATCCCTAAACTTTAACCCCTAATTCCAACCCTAAAAAAGACTCGGAATTTCGCTCGGCTTTTTACGGTTGTGTGGCATCGATGCTCTCCCAATTTTGTATAGTGAAGAGTTCAAGGTCAGAAATCTCATTCAATGAAAGGTCAATGCCATACATATTCTAAAGAGGAGGGAAAGCCGAAGAGCTTTAACGATGACTAAAATGTTACGTCTCCCTTGCGTACCACCTTCGTTTGCGCAAATTCTCACCAGTTTGTTTTCGAATATAACGCGTCGGTGTGATGTTTTAATCGATTTAAGCATATTACTTACATTTTTCTTTATCTTGATGTGACAAGCTATGATATTGGTTAACACGCCAGAAATTTACATAATTTTATTCGAAGCGTTATTAGAAAATTTTGAATCCGCCATTTTTGTCAGTCGATTTTGACCAATCAGAGACGTTGGTCATCTCAATACAGATTTGCATTATAAGCGTATGTCATCTTTGAAGTCTGAGGTTAATCCCCCTCTTATATTCTAGTAAAATATGCTGAGGGTCTATGTCATAAAGTACAGTACAGTCCCAGACATCACGTGGGTCAATGCATTAAGCACTTGCCCTGGAGTAGGCTTACAAATATAATTCAGTCCTTAGGTATCATTTGTAATAGATACCTTCACAAATAAAATATACAAATACTAGGATCACTATACTGTAGCTAGGAATATGAGATCTCTATTGTCTTAGATTGGTACGATGAAAGTACAATCAATATGATTATTTGATAAGTGTGTGACCATGACAGATCGCTATGACCATAACAGATCGAAATTTCGTGATGTATTCTAATTGCGTTTATCTTGCTTCGTCGGTTTAAGTCTCGTTTTGTATTTTTCGTAAATGTCATTATTATGACAGTCCCTTAAGCTACCAGGGACATAAATGTCTCTGGTTTTACCAAGGTTTTATCAAGGGTTTAAAATAGAAATCATTCTTCTCAATTATTTAGGCTGATGTCATGTTGAATTTCATTGAACTGAATATCCCTGATGCGAGTAGAAATAATCTTGATTTACGCCATTGAAAATTCACAATTCAGTCAAACTGATGTCATATTTGGAATCCACACGTAAAATTACAGTTAGAAATGTGGTTTTGAAAAGAGTTTATCAACTTTGAAAATTTAATTTTCTTTGAAAATGTGACTTCTAGGTCGGGGAGATTCCCCATAGAGCCCATGTTGTAAAACCACAAAAAGTGAAATATCTTTTCTTGTGTTGGGCAGATAATATTTTCTTTTACTGGACATATTTTAATTTGTATAACTATCAGATACATAAAGGTAATATGAAAAGTGAACCATTCAAACTGATGCATATTCAAGTTTAAGGGAATTTTGTAATACCCTGCCATGTTAATTCCCCCGAATCAGCCACCTGGTGGTGAAACTGGTAACTACCTACTCGCATCTGTGAAATTCATACAGCCTTCGGGAAGGCTCACTCCTTTTACGTGAGCTACAAATTCAAAGTCTGTAATTACATCGATTCTGTGGAGAGGTTATACTTTTAACTTTTGTCCCAAATCATCATTGTGCTGTGACATAATGTCCAAAAATAAGAAGCTTGAAAGTGGTATTATTTACAAGTGTTACCATTTAACAATTGTATTTTCTTTTCTCCATCTCTTATATTAGGTATAATCTTCAAAACAG